AGGGATGGGGAGAGAAACAGGAAGAGAAAGATAGCGAGGGAGAGAGAGAGAGACAGAGAGAGAGAGAAAGGGGAAGAGAAAAGAGATGGAAAGAAAAAGGGAGGAAATAAAGAGAGAGAGAGAGGAGTCAGAGACAGACACACAGAGGGAGACACACACACAGACGGAATCGCACACAGACACACAAGAGGAAGAGACACACACAGACACACGGAGGGAGTTTCAGAGTTTGCTATCAGGAGAATAACAATATCAATGTTTCCTCAAGACCACTGCCAGGCTCCTCGGTGATCACTGACCTGACAGGCAGAGGGGCCGGGAGGGAGGGAGTACAGGGGAGTGGGGAGAGAGGGAGTACAGGGGAGTGGGGAGGGAGGGAGTACAGGGGAGTGGGGAGGGAGGGAGTACAGGGGAGTGGGGAGAGAGGGAGTACAGGGGAGTGGGGAGAGAGTGTTTACAGTGGAGTGGGGAGAGAGGGAGTACAGGGGAGTGGGGAGAGAGAGTGTGTACAGGGGAGTGGGGAGGGAGGGAGTACAGGGGAGTGGGGAGAGAGAGTGTGTACAGGGGAGTGGGGAGGGAGAGTGTACAGGGGAGTGGGGAGAGAGGGAGTACACGGGAGTGGGGAGAGAGGGAGTACAGGGGAATGGGGAGAGAGGGAGTACACGGGAGTGGGGAGAGAGGGAGTACAGGGGAATGGGGAGAGAGGGAGTACACGGGAGTGGGGAGAGAGGGAGTACAGGGGAGTGGGGAGAGATTGTTTACAGTGGAGTGGGGAGAGAGAGTGTACAGGGGAACCAAACTCATCCTGTCCCTGAACCCACCACCTGCTCCCTTGACCCCATCCCCACTCCACTCCTTATCTCTCAGCTCCACCTCCTTGCCCCACATATCACAGACATCGTCAACCTGTCCCTCTCCTGTGGCTCTGTTCCCATTCCCTTAAAAACTGCCACCATCACTCCCACCTTGAAAAAACCCTCCCTTGATGCGTCGCAGCTATCAATCTCCGGCCCATCTCCAGCCTCCCCTTCCTGTCCAAGGTCCTGGAATGAGTTGTGGCCTCCCAGCTGCGCTCTTTCCTCTCCACCCATTCATTATTCGAACCCCTTCAGTCGGGTTTCGGTGATGCCCATAGCACAGAAACTGCCCTGGTCAAGGTCACCAATGACATCCTGACCATCTGTGACCAGGGCTCCCTCTGCCTCCTCGTCCTCCTCGACCTATCGGCAGCATTCGATACGGTCGACCACACTATCCTCCTCCACCGCTTGTCCTCCCACCTCAACCTTCAAGGCCCTGTCCTTGAGTGGTTTAGGTCTACCTCTCCCACCTTCCACATGTTAACTTCCACATATATGCGGATGACACCCAACTCTACCTTTCCTCCTCTACCCTCAACTCCACGACCCCCGATGTCCTGACAGCTGTCTGTCCGACATCGAGTCCTGGACAAGAGACAACTTTCTTCAGCTCAACGTGCGAAAAACCGAGGCCCTCCTGATTGGCTCACGTCAGCGCCTCCGCACCTCAGGCACTGACACCATCAGCATCCAAGGCTGCACTCTCCACCTCTCAAAGCCGGTCAGGAACCTCGGGGTTCTGTTCGACCCTGAGCTGTCCTTTCTCCCTCATATCCGCACCACAACTGGCACCGCCTTCCATCACTTCCGGAAAATGGCCGGACTACGGCACTACCTCACCCCTCACGCGGCTGAAACTCTGGTCCACGTCTTTATCACCTCAAGGCTGGACTATGGGAACTCTCTCCTCGTCGGCCTTCCCGGCCCTCCCTCCACACTGCAGGTCATTCAGAACTCTGCAGCTCGTGTACTGTCCCGTACCAGACACCGCGACCACATCACTCCCACCCTCACCCTCGCCCTCGCCCTCACCCTCGCCCTCGCCCTTACCCTCACTCCCACCCTCGCCCTCACCCTCGCCCTCGCTCGCCTCCACTGGCTCCCCATCCCCCAGAGGATCGAATTCAAGATCCTCATCCTCACCTACAAGGCCATTCCCGGTCTCGCTCCCTCCTACCTCTCTGATCTACTATCCCCCTACCTACCCGCCCGTACCCTCCGTTCCTCTGGCTCTGGTCTGCTCCACATCCCCCGCCCCAACCGCCCGACCATCGGTGGCCTTCAGCCTCTCAGCCCCGAGGCTTTGGAACTCTATCCCCAGTGCCTTCGCCGCTTCCTCCCTTTCCTCCTTCAAGGTGGGTCTCAAGACTTTTCTCTTTGACCTTCAGCCTTCGGTTCCCCTCTCGACTCTCTACCCCCTCCTCGCTCCCTCCCTTCCCTCCCCTCACCCTGACCATTTCCCCCCTCATCGCTCCCTCCCTTCCCTCCCCTCACCCTGACCATTTCCCCACTCCTCGCTCCCTCTCTCCCTTCCCTCACCCTGACCATTTCCCCCCTCCTCGCTCCCTCCCTCCCCTCCCCTCACCCTGACCATTTCCCCCAATGCTCGGGTCCTGACCCAACTGTACAGCACCTTGGGACGTCCTCCCGACGTGAAAGGCGCTCTATAAATGGAATCCTGTTGTTGTTGAATGGGGAGAGAGAGTGTATACGGGAGTGGAAAGAGAGGGAGAGTGTACGGGGAGTGGGTAGAGAGTGAGTGTGTACAGTGTAGTGAGGGGAGAGAGAGTCTACAGGGGAGTCGGTAGACAGAAAGAGTGTGGGGAGAGAGTACATTGGAATAATAATCTCATAATAATAATAAACATTTATAATAATAATAATTCTTGCATTTGATATAGCGCTTTTCACGTCTGGAGGACGTCCCAAAGCGCTTCACAGAACACACTGTAAAGTGAATTGACTGTATATTTGTGGGCGAACGCGGCAGCCAATGGCGCACAGCAATGTCCCACAAACAGTCGTGGATTGAAAATGACCAATTTATTATTGTTTTTGGTTTTGGAGGGATTATTATTAGGCTCTGTGTGGAGTAAGGAAACTTGCCCGAGGTTTCGCCCTCTGCCTGGAATTGAACTCAGGTCTCTCACTTGCAAAGCGAGTGCTCTAACCGCTGAGCTACAGGACTCCACAATTTTGGTACAGCACAGAGTACAGACTGGATGGCTGGGACTGTTCTCCTTAGAGCAGAGGAGGTTGAGGAGAGAATTAATAAAGATGTTCAAAATTATGAGAGAATAAATAGGGAGAAACTGTTTCCACTGGTGGGTGGGTCAGTCAGCCTGGGACATAGACTTAAAATAATTGGCGAAAGAACCAGAGGGTAAATGAGGAGACACTTTTTTACCCAGAGAGTTGTTACGGTCTGGAATACACGGCCTGAAAGCGTGGAAACCGATTCAATAATAGCTTTGAAAAGGGAATTAGCTAAGTACTTGAAAAGGAAAACTTTGCAGGGCTATGGGGTAAGATTGGGGCAGTGTGGCTCGGTGGTACCTCTCTCAAAGAGCCGGCACAGGCACAATGGGCCCAATGGGTCTCCTTCTGCGCTGTAATATGATTGTATGACTGGTTTATCTCCGCTGATCAGTGAATCGTGAGAGGGGAAGAGATTTCACGATGATCACAGAGAGAATTAAAGGGGAGGTTAGAAAACAAATGTCTTTACTGAAAGGGCAGAGGGAATGTGACATTCTCTGTCACAACTCGCAGTTGATTCAGAATCCACAGATTATGGTAGAATAGAACTCGGCAGATGATTGAGGAAGAGGAATATTGTGTGTGGGGGTGGGGGGGTTTGGGTGTGAGTTTGTGTGGGTGGGTGAGTGCGTGTTGGGGTGTGGGTGTGTTGGGGTGTGTGTGTGTTGGGGTGTGGGTGTGTTTGTGTGTGTTTGCGGATGTGTGTTTGTGTGTGTTGGGGTGTGGGTGTGTGTGGGGGGGTGTTTGTGTGTGTGTGTTTGTGTGTGTGCGTGTTTGTGTGGGTGTGTGTTTGTGTGGGTGTGTGTTTGTGTGGATGTGTGTGTGTTGGGGTGTGTGTGTGTTGGGGTGTGTGGGTGTGTGTGGGTGTGTGTTTGTGTGGGTGTGTGTTTGTGTGGGTGTGTGTGGTGGGGGGGTGTTTGTATGTGTTTGTGTGTGTTTGTGTGTGTTTTGGTGTGTGTGTGAGTGTGTGTGAGGGTGTGTGTGTCTGTGTGTGGAGGGATGGAGGTGGGGTGGGAGAATGCAATGGTTTTCTCAGGCAGACAGGTGTCTGACACATTCAGAAACGCATCACTGCACTTTAGAGAATACGAACCAAACAGAATTCCAAACATCCGTACGAACATGGAAATTCCCGTGTCGGTAATGGAACTGCGCCCTCTCTCCCCGGAGAGATGCATCGCGCTATATCTAATTCAAGATAGTATTAGGTGCAGTTGGAAAGAGCATTGGGACCGATAACTGCTGAGTCTAACCATCTAAAACACTCTGACAAGCCAAGCTTCCAAAGGCCCTCATCCTGTGTAACCGTTAACGGTTCCATAAAAAACCACGACAAAATCTCACCCTAACAGTTAAAGTTTGTGTTCAAAGTCTTAAAATTGGAATTTTTTTTTAGTTTTAAGGATCCTCCCGTTCCCCCATTCCTGCAGTGTGTTGGTTAGAGCTCTCGCCTCGCAAGCGAGAGGACCCGAGTGCGATTCCCGGGCGGGGCAAAATGTTGGGCAAGTTTCTTTGCTCCACACACATCTGCTTACCAGCAGTAAGCGGGAACCCGGTTGTTTGTCGATTGGCGGATGGCTTTTCCGGGAGTAAAAATCCCTTCAAAAAGTGATAATAATTTGGTCACTCAATCCACGGCTGTTTGTGGGGACGCTGCTGTGCACGATTGACTGATGTATTTTGCCGACAAAATATAGTCAATTCACTTGACAGTATATCCTGTGAAGCGCTTTGAGACGTCTCGAAGACGTGATAGGGCACTGTATCAAATGCAAGGATTATTATTATTATTATTATTACTCCCCCGCCCCTCCTCCCCGATGATTTAAGTTATGCCACCTGCTACTCTCTGTTCTGACGTACAGTAAACAGCAACTTCACCTGAAATTACAGCAATCTTAGCTGAGCCGTGCTCGTCTCGGGCGATGCGTTCAGCCTCCTCCATTAGCAGCGTGCCAAAGCCCTGGAAAACAGGAACAATCAATAATCACAGGGAAGAGCAAGCAGAGTCCGCGAGCAAGGGTGTAATTTCAAGGAGAGTTTAATAGACACACGGCATTTGGAACGGGTGCTCAAAGCAGGAGGTGCAGTCACTGGAGATGCACAGCACAGATGACCGTCATTTGGCTGAGTTATTAGCAGTGATGTGCCACGCGGGTCGTGCTCTCTCGCTGACAGGAAAATCACGTACAGTTAAAAAAGACTGTACTTGCACACAAGTTGCAACTATATAATAATAATAATCCTTGGGTTTGGTATAGCGCTTCACATCAGGCAGACGTCCCAAAGCACCTCACATGATTTACTGTGAAGTGGAGTGACTGACTGTGTATTTTGTTGGCAAACACAGCATCCCAATTGCACACAGTAATGTCCCGCAAAGAATCATAGAATGAGGGACCAATTTTTATTTGGGGGATTGTCAGCCAGGACACCGGGAGAGAGAAACTCCCTTCTCTTTTAAAATAGTGCCATTGCATCTTTAACAACAACAACAACAAAATTACATGTGTATAGCGCCTTTCACGGCGAGAGGACGTCCCAAGGCACTGAACTTAACGTCGACCTGAAAAGGCAGAACAGGATCTCGGTTTAACGTCTTCACGTGGGGTAGAGTCTCGGAACACTGAGGACACAGGTTAGAGATGCAAAAGGCAATGTCAGAACGGAAACCAGGAAGTATTCCTTTACTCAGAGGGGAACTGGTACAGGTGGCCAGGAAGGTGGGTTGAGGCCAGAACACTGGACTCACTTATAAAGCAGCTTAATGCTGAGATGGGGGTGTTGTGGAAATGAGATCAGATGGGCCGAAGGGTGGTTTTAGCTGGTGAGACTCCAGCAGTTACCCCAACCCACACTCTGGAATTCCCAAGCCTTGGATCCTACCAACCTGTGCCTAATACTTTCTGGGAATTAGGTCAACAGGATGTGTCCTTCCAGGGAGAGAGAGAGCGCATTCCACTCCAACAATCTCTAATCCTGGTAATGGCTCAGAGAAGGATTGTGAAGTGATACTGCAAACACTGTTCAGCATTCTCCCACAAAACTCAAATCACCTCCAGTTTACAGTATATCTGCTTTGACACGCCCTGCTGCTGTGTAAGGCGTTGGATTAAATGAGTGGGCAGTGGAAGCTGTTTAAGCCGGACGCCTGGTAAATCAGACAAAATGCCTGACCCTGATCGTTTGTATTCTCACCTATTTTAAATATGCCACTTAACTCGGACACTATGCTGCGCTGGTCTCCACTGTGTCTACTCACTGCGTCCCGAGCGGCTCCGGGATGGATTGATTGACAGCTGGAGCCGCTTGCGGATGGGTGGATCCCAAACATCCGCGAGTGTTTCCACGGCTGTCAATCACCTCAGAGCCACCCTTCCCGTCCAGTGGAAACAGCAAAATTCAATCACCACAATTTTCAGTATATCCTGTGAAGTGCTTTGCGATGTCCTCCCTAAGTGGGCGACGCTACACCAAGTATAAGAATTATTATTATTATTTATTATTACTATTATTATGAAGAGCAGCAGAGCGGTCTGTCTGAGAGTAAGCAGAGACACAGTGGGTGAAACAGCCTCCTCCTATGCTGTAAAACTGTGTACACCAACAACAAATTGCATTTATATAACACTTTGCATGTAGGGAGGACATCCCAAGGTGCTAGACGGCGAAGAGTTTCCACCTGAGCTGGGGGTTGGAATCAAAAGAGGGTGGAGAGCAGGGAGGTGGGGGTGGAAAGATGACCAAAAGGACAGTTAAAGAGGAAGGTCTTAAGACAGATCTTGAAGGAGGTAAGGAAGAGTGAGGCGAGATGGAGTTCCAGATGGTGGGGGCAAAAAGGCTGACGATCCGACCGCTGATGGTGGGGCGGGTAGGGCAGGTGTCATGGAGCAGGGCAGTGTCCGCCGAGCGGAGGGAGCGGGCAGGTTGGTAAGACTTTAGCAGGTCATAGAGGTAGGGAGGAGCAAGACTGCGGAGGTCTTTAAACGTATTCGAAGAGAAGTTTTATAACTAGAATTCACATTCACCCAGTGTAACGCTGTAACAAATGTTGATAAACGACACGATGAGACGGGCTGGTCTGGCTCCAGGGTTTAAACCTATCTATTCAGGTGGGAACCCTGTATTGGCTGGACAGCAGGGTTCCCAGGGCTACACCTGCAGGAACATACGGCCGACACATTAACAGCACCGCACAATGCTGAGCTCTAATCAGGAGATCAGTAACTCATTTCCTCACACCTGTCACCTGCTGTTAACCCCCTCCTCGCTTCATTGCCAGCGAGCACCAGCCTGCTCCACATCCTCCGCCCTATCTGCCCCACCATCGACTTGGGGGCCGTTCTGCTGTCTGGAAACGTCACCTTGGTTTCTCCCTCCCACCCCTTGGTGCAGGCACACCTCAAAACGTACCTGTGGCCGTGTTCATTCACCTCTCTCCTCACTACCCACTCGGCTCCCAACGTCAGATCGTCCAGCACTGTCAAGAGCTTTGAAACAACCTCCTGACGGTGAAGGCCGTGTCAGTCTAAACGTATTGTAATGTATTCACCATCTGCATTCTCTCTTTGGATTAAACAAACTGTGAAGTGCTTTGAGATGTTACATATGTTTTTCAAATGGAGGGAATGCAATAATTATTATTCTTATTCAGACCTTTTGCTGTCATAGGCAGGAAACCAAATGCAGCGATTCTTATTATTATTCTGATTATTAGTAACCTTTGCATTTGATACAGCGCTTTATCACATCTATGAGACGTCCCAAAGCGCTTCACAGTATTCACTGCAAAGTGAATTGACTGTATATTTTGCGGGTGAAATGTGGCAGCCAATTGCGCACAACAGCGTCCCACAAACAGCCATGGACTGAGCCACCAAATTATTACTGATTTCTTTTATTATATATTTTTGAAGGGATTATTACCACCGGAAAAGCAATCCACCAATCGACTAACAATTTTAGTCCTATTTACTGTTAGTTAAACAGAGGCGTGTGGAGTAAGGAAACTTGCCTAATGTTTTGTTCGGCCGGAAACTGAACCTGGAATTGAACCAAGGCGCGAGCTCTAACCAATACGTTACAGAACTGCACATATATATGATAATCCTCGCATTTGATACAGCTCCTTATCATACCATTGAGATGTCTCAAAAGCGCTTTCCGGGATGTTACTGTAAAGGGGTGTGTGTGACTGTGTGTAGCTTGTGGGCAACCCTCACAGCACACAACAGGAGTGAGTTTGGCACCTCACTTGGACGCTGTGAGAAGGTGTGAGAAGGAAAGGCTGAGCCGGGAGCAGTGGGGAGGTGCGTTCCACCGCTGCAGTCCAACACCTCTCCGAAGTTCATGCCCACAGGGTGCAGTGAATCCTTGTGCTATCAGTGTCTAACATTCACTCAGACACCAGCACTCGCTCAGTCCGTACACGCCTCATTAGACAGGAGATTACACTTGACGAGCTGCCAGGGAAGATTTCAAGGTTAAATTGTGAATGCCACAACCAATCCAGGTTTAAATATGTAAAGAAAATAAATATCACCCATTTACACCAACATCGAGATAGTTCTTTCTTTGTGTGGCGAGGCACAAACCTTTTTGTTCTCCTGCAAACTAATTGCTCTGGTCTTTACATCATACCCTGTGAGCACTTCCCTGCTGACGTGAAAGGAGCTTTGTCAAATATAAGCATCGTTGTTATGTTTTATTTTTATTTGGATAGCAGATTCTGTGCTATGGTGTCACTGGCAAGCTGAGCTGCCTTCTCTGGTAGAATTTACATTTATGCAGCGGCTTTCACGTCAGGAGAACATCCCAATATCGGCTCGACCCTGGAGACGGGAACCACTGAGATTCAGATGGACAGTGTGAGAGAGCTGAACCCGTTTGCTCTCTCCTCTGGTGAGGTCAGCATCTTCTACAAGACAGAGGTTATAATTATTCCTCCAAAGCACACAGTCACTACACTTTACGCTAGATCTGTGAAACACTTTGGAACGCCCTCCTCACGTGAAACCTTAGGACGTTCTCCCGACGTGAAAGTTGCTATACAAATGTAATTTTGTATTGCATTGTAAGGCACTATAACAAATGTAAGGATTATGATTTATTATTTTAAAGTTGTAAGCAATACACACACATACGTACACAGGGACACACACATGGAACACACGCGCACAGAGAGACCTACATAAAATCTTTCATGCGCTGGCAGACACAAACAAAGACACACGCATGCCTCGACAGATGCGCACACATACACATGGGCGCGCAAAGTGGAAAGACGCACTGACACACAAACACATGGACACATAAACACAGACGCAAAGACACAGGGAAACATACACTGAGACAGAGAGCAGAACAAGGCTTTTCATCAGGTGAGTGGTCAGAGCGGTTAGTCGCAGTGGGTTAGAGCACTGGCCTTTCATCTTGCCAGCCTGGCACTGAAGACAGCCAAGGTTGACAGGATGAAAGGTCTTCTCTCTCTGACGTTAACTCCTACACAAAGTGCTCTAGAGCAGCACCACCCTATCAGGCAGCTCACACCAAGTCGCGATGGGGAGAACGAAGGGAGAAGCTGCAGTGTAAGGAGCTGATTCAAACCAACAAAGGGAGTTGAGATGTTAGACAGTGAAAGCTTTCCCTCTGGTAAAGGATCCAGGACAACAACAATAATAACCTGTGCATTTGATATATCACCTTATCGTGTCTCCGAGATGTCTCAAAGCGTTTCACAGAATATACTCTAAAGTATATGGATTGACTGTATTTTGTGGGCAAAAAGTGGCAGCCAATCGCATCCCTCAAACAGTCGTGGATTGAGTGAGCAAACTATTATTATTTTTTGAAGGGATTATTACTCCCAGAAAGTAATCTGCCATTCGACTAACAACTGGGTTGCTAGTTAATCCTAAGTAAAGAGGTGCGTGGAGTAAGGAAACTTGCCTAAGGTTTCGCCCGAGAATCGAATCCACGTTCTCTCACTTGCGAAGCGAATGCTATAACTACTACACTACAGGACTTCACAAAGACGTCATTTTAAACGTGGAACCAGGAACAGTTAGAGGTGAGACGAGGAAACATCTCTCCACACAGAGAGTGGTAAGGCTGTGGAACAATGTGTCCAGAACACAATAGAGGCAGAATCATTGGGAGATTTAAACCCGAGATAGAGAGATACTGAGGATTATAGGTGGAGATTAAAGGATCTGCCACAATCTAATACCCTGGTGGAGCAGGCTCGATGGGCTGAATGGCCTTGTCCTGTTCCTTTACACCGAGAGGACGTCCCAAGGTGCTTTGTATCAAAGCCAAAGTTCCTTGTTTGCCACCTTCACGTAGGAATTTCCGTGTCTGGAATGGAATGTGCTCTCTCTCTCTCTCTCTCTCTCTCTCACCAGTGGAGTATTAGGCGCAGGTTGGCAAGAACCAAGGCTTGGGGGCCCCACTCCCCATTCGGCCTTGCCCTGGACCCCCACCCCAGGGCCCCCGTGCCAAGCCCCACCCCCATGCTGTAACCCTCCCCCTTGCCGCGCCCCCCCACCCCAGGCTGCTCCTCCACCGTCCCCACCCGACCCCCAGGTACCTGGTGCTGGAACTTGCCGGGGTCCCGGGTGTTGATGGGGACCACACTGCCGTACACGTGCAGCTCCCGCACGATGGACACGCCCTCCTTCAGCTCCGGCCGGAAGCTCTCCTGGGAGCAGCGACGAAGGCGGAGGAGGCCAATCAGGATGTCCTGCTCAGGGTCCTCATAGGACAAAAAGCTCTCCCACCCTCCATTAGCCACATAGTCCCTTCTCACCAACTCCACCTGAGGAGAGAGAGAGAGAGATATATACAGTAGATTTCTATAGCTCCTGGTCCTCGCCAGCTTCCCATCTTCCAGTGGTTTGAGTATAAGGTCCCCACTTCCCTATAAATCCATCCACTCCCTGGTGCCCAATTATCTGTGTGATACCTTCCTTCTCATCTCTGATCTCCTACATCACCATCGGTGGCCGAACCTTCAGTTCCTACACTCCTTCCCTTCCTCCCTCCCCCGCGCCCCCCACCACTCTCTTTTCCGCCTCTATTCCGCTTATAGCCACCTCCCTCTCCCACCTCTCTCTTGCTCTGTGTCCCGTTACTGTGCAGCGCTCCAAGACATTACCCCAGGTGAAGGGCAGCACCCACAGGGTAGTGAAAATCTGGAACTCCCTCACCCGGAAGGCTGTGGACACTGGATCCATTCCAATTTTCAAGTCTTTGGTGGATAGGTTTTTGTTAGGAAAGGGAATTAAGGGATATTGGACAAAGGCGAGTAAATGGAGTTGAGGTACAGATCGGCCATGACCTTATAGAATGGCGGAACAGGCTCGAGAGCTGAATGGCCTCCTCCTGTTCCTATGTACTGTAATCTCCTAATCACAGAACTAAATAACAGCAGCAATAACATACATTTATAATAATCCTTGCACTTGATATAGCCCCTTATCACGTCGTCTCGAAGACGTGATAAGGCGCTATACACTGTAAAGTGAATTGACTGTATATTTTGTGAGCGAAATGCGGCAGCCACTGCGCACAGCAGTGTCTCACAGACAGTGTGGAGTGCACTAATCAATTCATTTTATTATTTTTTTTAAGGAATTATTACCCCTGTAAAAGCGATCCGCTAATCGACTAACAACCAGGTTCCTACTTACTGCTGGGTAAACAGAGGCGTGTGGAGTAAGGAAACTTGCCTAAGTTTTGACCCTGCCAGGAATCAAAGCCAGGTCTCTCGCTTGTGAGGCAAGTGCTCTAACCACTGAACTATACGGCTTCGATGTTATATAGTGTTCTTAACGTCGGGAGACCGTCCCAAGGATCTGGACAAGGAAGGGTTTGACCCGAGCTGCGTTTGGGATCAGAGAGGGGTGGAGGGAAAGGGGGGGTGGGGGAAGGAAGATGACCAAAGGTACAATCGAAAACGAAGGTCTCGAGATGAGCCTGAAGGAGGGAAGGGGAGGGAGCAAGGTGGAGGATATAAAGTTCAGAGGATGGGGGCAGAGAGACTGAAGCCGATAGTGGAACAGACAGGGCAGGGGACGTGGAGCAGGCCAGTCATCCTGAACTTATCCGAAGGACAGTACCTCTAACCGTTGCCCCCACACTACACAAGACTGGATCATGACCGTGGGTGGGTGGGTGGGTGGATGGATGGCTAGATAGATAGATATATAGAGAGAGAGAGAGAGAGAGAGAGAGAGGGAGAGAGAGGGAGATAACTAACCCCCCTCACCCCACTGGCTGGACATACCTGGTAAGGTCTGACTTTATGATGAATCTCCTGGATCCCAACCTCTCTTGTCCTGACGTCTCGACACTGCGCACAACAAGACACAGGTCAGATCTCGAAAGTTACAACAACTTGCATTTACCCAGCGCCCTCCAGGCAGGATGGCGGCTCGGAGCGCTGTACAGTGGCGAGGTCGGATGCTGAGCAAGGGAGAAGGGTGAGGTGGCCGAAGGTGTGGCTGAAGAGGCCGGTCTTCAGCTGGGATTTAAAGACCAGACATGTTGATGGGGGGAGCTCTTTCACGCCTCAGTTAAAACAAAAAGGCACAAAAAATGTTCAGAGTCTGATAGTGTACAGTATCTACACCCAGACTCGTCCCCTCACTTCCTGTGTTGAGAAGTTTGTATTTTTCTCTGCTGCCTCCCTCTCTGATTGAGCTTTTACAGCTTCTAAACATCAAAACAGCTCAAAGTGCTTCACAGCAGTCAATATCACGAGTTTCTGTAGCGAAACGCTGCAGTGATTTTGCACACAAGATCCCCCAATTAGCCTTGAGGTGAGTGTACAATAAAGGAAGTTTGTTGGCCAGGAAACCGGAGAAACTCTTTGCTTTTCCAACAGTCCCGTAGTGTCAGGAGGACGTCCCAAAGTGCTTCACCAAATATACTGTGAAGTGAAGTGACTGTGTTTTGTGGGCGACATACAACAGCCAATTTGTACACAGCGACGTCCCGTTATGTTCACCTGAATAGGCAGACGGATCTGTTCAACAGCTCATCTGAAAGACCGCACCTGGGACAGTACACCACTTCCCGCTGTTGTGCATATTAGAGAAAGAGAAAGAATTCCTTCTATTTCCTAATATAGAGCATTACCTCTGTTCCCAAATCTTTCATCCTCGCCAGTGCCAGTTCCCGCAGATTGCCATGTTCCACTCCGGAGGTGACGAGGGGCATTGGGATATCTCTGTGAGGAAAGATACACGTGACAAACTCAGGTCACATCAAACCTAGTGCTTGTGAGGATCATACATATCACTGCCCTGGGGGCATTCAGCCCATCAAACCCTGCACTCATAATTTCTTTGCTTTAATTAATATATTTCCATGTTTAAATACGCACAAAGGAGGGAAGTGTCAAAGACCAAATAAGACAAAAGGCCATTACTACAGCACCTTTCACATTGGGAGGACGTCTCAAAGTGCTTGACAACTGGCTGAGCACCTGAGCTCGGGGTGGGGAGGGGACAGATGACCGAAAGGGCGGTCAAAGAGGTATGTTTGGGGTCAAAGAGATACGGTTATTATACCTTACGTGTGGAAAATGTCAAAGTGCTTCACAGCAATTACTGTCAAGTGTAGTGACTCTACAATTTTACAGGAAAATGTTCCCCAATGGCCACAAGATGAATGATCAATGAATCTGGGGAGTTTGTCGGCCAGAGAAACTCCTTTCTGTTTTCTGATAACAGCATGGACATCCACCTCGGAATAACAGCGCCTCTGAAAATGCAGAGTTCACCCCAGTACGGCTCTGGGGTATCAGCCAAGACTGTGAATTCAGAAGTTCAGGATCGCATCCCCAGAAGCTGGACTTATTCTGAGTGCTACAAGAATATAAAATTCCCTACAATTGGTAGACCATATCAAATTGTCGAGACTCCTCAAAGCGCTTCACAATTTTTTTTACTGTGACACACAGCAACTGTGTATTTATTATTATTATTATTATTATTATTTGTGGGCGAACCCAGCAGCCAATTTGTGCACAGCAGGTTGAGAAATTCAGATGATCAAAATAAGAATGCGACATGAATCAAGATGATAAGATAATGAGTTTATCTGCGTGGGACAGACACCATCAATTTTCATAAATAGTACAAAGGCCAAAGGGTCAATGTGGTTTGCCAAGCAGTGCCTTGTGCCTCATAACATAATAGGATTCTTTGACAGGGCAACTAAATTAATGGCTAAGATTTATACATAGATTTGCAGAAAGCATGGTATGATAATAATATATTATTTCATGTGTAGAAAGAAGTCGATAATGTTTTGACATTGAAACTTTGTGAATTCAATGTGTAGAGGCATCTTTCACACTGGATGAACGTCTCCAAGTGCTTCACGGAGACAATGCTGCTCGTCTGTGTGTCAGCCTGGCTCAGTCAGTCGCTCTCACCTCTGAGTCAGAAGGTTGTGGATTTAAGCCTCACGTCAGGACTTCGAAGACACATATTCCAAGCTGGTACTTCAGTGCGTTGCTGAGGGGGGGGGGGAGCACTGTATTGTCAAAGGTGCCGTCCTTCGGATGCAATGTTAAACCAAGGCCCTATCTGCCTGTTCAGGTAGATGTTAAGGATCCCATGGCGCTGTTCGAAAAGAGAAGGGAGTTTCTCTCTCCTGGTGTTCTGGCCAACAATCCCCCAAATAAAACTGGTCATTTACTTCTTGTGTTTATGGGACATTGATGTACGCAAATTGGCTGCCGTGTTTCGTCCACAAAACACACAGTCACACCACTTTAAAATAATAATCCTTGCATTTGATACAGCGCCTTATCACATTGTTGAGACGTCTCAAAGGGCTTCATGGAATATACCGTAAAATGGATTGACTGTGTATTTTGTGGACAAAGTATATTGTGTGACGCGCTGTGAGAGAGACATCGCGACGATGTGACATTATATCAAATCGAAGGATTATATATGATGACGGGGAGCACCAAAAGCAATGTAATGCTTTGACCAAAGCCACAGTCAAAACAGTAGGTCTTTTATCTGAGGAGAGATAACAGTATTATATTATGAATGTGATTTACAGCAGGGTTATATTGGGAAAACATTCCCGGTCAGGACTAGTTGTCCAGCTCTGAAACTAAACAGCAAGAGCCAAAACCCTGACAGGATCCCCTCTGGGTAGACACGCAGCAAACCTCAATCACTGCCGGTGTCAGATTTGATTCATTTTGGTAACTTCAGAAGGTTGGAACTGATGGAGCCTGGGCTGGGCCAGCTGCCCTCCACCTCTGGGTCAGAATTGTCTACGTACTTACAGTCTAACACTGAGCCCTCCGTCTAACACTGAGCTCATCGTCTAACACTGAGCTCACAGTCTAACACTGAGCTCACAGTCTAACACTGAGCTCACAGTCTAACACTGAGCTCACAGTCTAACACTGAGCTCACAGTCTAACACTGAGCTCACAGTCTAACACTGAGCTCACAGTCTAACACTGAGCTCACAGTCTAACACTGAGCTCACAGTCTAACATTGATCTCTCACAGTGTAACACTGAGCTCACAGTCTAACATTGATCTCTCACAGTCTAACATTGAGCTCACAGTCTAACATTGATCTCTCACAGTCTAACACTGAGCTCACAGTCCAATACTGAGCCCACAGTCTAACACAATCTCACAGGCTGACGTTCCAGTCACAGATGAAGCTCAAAGCACAAGGTCTTCAAAGCCCTGTTAATATGGAGGCTGAGAAATCGCGAGCGTAAGCAAACTTTCCCTCCAGCTCACAGGCTTTTTACAATTTCCAGGCACATCACAAGCTTCTGTGGTCACATTCGTGCTTCGCTGCAGGTAATGAAGTGAAAAGCGCTCAACTTCACTCAAATTCTCAAACACTTTAATAGCCTTTAAGATACCAGGAGGCAGCTGGTCTAGTCCAGCACTTGTGGGGATGAAAGCAAATTGACTCCCGAGTACCAGTGATGCACAGACGGCCCAGGAATGCCTGAGCATCAGCCAAGGGCAAAGCAGAGTAAATCCAGTTACTTCCACAGACGCACATCAAAGGGAAAGGGTGAGATTTTCTGGGGTAATAGATTTGCTAATAACTCACCAATTATGCGGATACAAGTGACTTAGGAGCGTCTTGGGAGCAAGGGATTTCAGGATTAGGATGGATGGCTTCATTGGAGGAGCAAACGTTGACACTATTAACACGGGCTAAACGGCCTCCTGCTGTGTTAGAGATTTCTATGACAGATGACTCTTCCCTCCGTGAAGTGTGGCCTTTGGTGCCTCTCCCCTCCCGCAGCAGAAGTACTTTACATGTGGTGAGCGGGTCACTGAGCAAGCTGAGAAGGGAGGTGACTGAAGGCACGGACAAAGAGGACAAAGGGGTTACTTTTTAAAAAAGGAAGTAAAAGTCAGGGAACACAGTGCAGGGATTTTGAGAGGGATTTATAATAATACATCTTGGATGACAATAAACCTTGGATTTGATACAGCGCCTTATCATGTCGTCGAGACGTCTGAAAAGGATTTTACTGTAACGTGTAGTGACCCCAAAAACAGGCGTGAAGCGAAGGCCCAATAATCCCCCAGAGAACATTAGGCACTCGCTTCATGGCTGTTTCTGAGACTTTGCTGTGCACAAACTGGTTACCGCATTCGCCTACAAAATACAGTCCTGTGAAGCACTTTGAGAAGCCCTCCCGACGTGAAAGGAGTAAGACCCTGGTCACAGCACACACAAGCCAATTAGCACATCCCACAGTAGAGATTGCTGTTTTGTTATCTCCTGACAGTAGCTTTTGTGAGTCAAAGCGACAAGGAGTGCACATCCTTGTCAGGTGCTGAATTGCCCACTGTTCTACATCAGATTGTCTGCTGTGAGGACAGCGGGGATACAGAACGCAATGGTAAACACGCGCACACAGACAATAATGGCTTGTGTCTTACGCTTACAGCTCAGAGTTAATTTTAGTACATGGCTTTGTCCTGTAAAACTCCACCTGAATCACCACAACAGCCAGAAGGGATATCCTTTCTTTCCATTTGAGTTATTAAGTTCAGTCTCGTTTCCCTGCTCTTTCCCCATCTGTGCTTGTCCTCACTCAGCTTCCTCATTGATCCTTCTTCCCCACCTCTTCCCCTCGCCTTTCTTTACTTTAAATAACTACCCCTCGCGCTTGATGCCATACCTTTCACATCGAGGGGACGTCTCAAAGCGTTTTGCTCACAAAATACACAGTCAACTCACTTTACAGTATATTCTTTGAAGACGAATATACGTCACAACGACGTGATCAGGCGCTATATCAAATGCAAAGATTATTATTATTAAAGCACTTCACAGAATTTGCTGTAAAGTGAAGTGACTGTGCATTTTATAGGTAAACATGGCAGCCAAGTTGCGCAAAACAATCAATGTCCAACAAACTGCCTGAAGGAGATGACCAATTATATTTGATTGTTGGCCAGGACGCTGGGGAGAGAGAAACTCCCTTTTTTTGAATAGAGCCACAAATTCTTTAATGTCCATCTGAACATGCACAGATGGGATCTCTATTTAACATCTCATCCAAAGGACGGCACCTCCAATAATACCTCAAACCCCAGCACCGCACTGGACTGTCAGCCCAGACTATGTGAGTTCAGAGTCCCAATGTAGGGCTTCAACCCACAGCATTGTGACTCAGAGGTGAGAGCGCTACTGACTGAGCTACTTAAGTTGACACCTAGGAGGGTTTTGAAGATAGTGAGGAAAATGCCCAAAATGATGGGATTTAGGAGAGAGTTCCAGAGGTCGGGGCACAGGGCTGGAAGCCCAGTAACTGATGGTGGGTTAGAGGGGTGAGGAACGAGCACACAACCAACAAACAAATAACAAATAACAACAAATCACATCGGGAGGACGACCCAAGATGCTGGACAGTCAGGGATTTGTTGCACGGCTGGTGATTGGGAGCAGCTGTGGTATAGGGCGGGGAAGGTCGGGGTAAGAAGGTGACCAAAGACGCAGTCGAAGAGGAGGGTCTTTAGATGTGTCTTGAAGGAGGCGAGAGAGGGAGTGAAGCAAAGGGACTGCGGATGGAGTTCCAAAGGGTGGGGGCAGAGCGGCTGAAGCCCTGTCTGCCAATGGAGGGATGTACCGGCCGGGAGACGTAGAGCAGGCCACAGCCCCCTGAGCAGAGGGAGCGGACAGGTATGTGGTTAGCAGGTCACAGAGGTATGAACGAGCAAGGCCTTGGAGGGCTTTCAAAGCAGGAAGAGCAGAGGAGGTGGGGGAGGAGAATAAGGCTGGAGGAGATGGACTGGAGTGTCATGAGGCCTGGGTTTGTGTTCCTCTGAGGTGCGACAACTTCATGACAACTGATTCAGACCCGTGTAAGTGACTGACCGGCTGTATAAATAGAACAGGACACGGTGCTGGACGCTACAGGTGTCCGAGCCCAACCAGCCGCAGTGATTTAGCCACTCACGTCAGCTCCACTCACTGTGATGTGGTGTCACACTGGGACCCCCGTCAGCACATTCTCCCCACATTATTCCCTGCCCTGGGGGAGGAGACTCCAGCACAAACCTTCCCAGCAGTGAGGCTCAGCGAGGCTTCTCCCTGACCCATTTCGAGGAAATAAAGCAAAATTCCCAATCCGTCAACATTTGCACTCGCCCTACACGTCAGAGACATGTCTCTAACCCTCAGAATTAATTCCCGCCCCACTGAATAGGCACGAGCGTAGTGACTGTTTTTGTAGGTCAAACGTGGCTGAGTGGACATAGAATTTAGTTCAGGCTCAGGAAACCCCATTGAGAGAATTCATTAGATGTTTCTACCATTTCTTGATCTTATCCTTCCTACATGTACCACCTGCCTAGACATATAGGCACAAACCCACAGACACAGACAGACACACACGAGTAAGCACACACAGACATATACAGAGGCAGACTGACACAGCGAGACACAGACAAACACAAAGAGAGAGAGAGAAAAAGCGACACACACTCACACACACAGACGCGTTCAACATTTCTTTCGCTGCACTCTTCCAACATACAGTTTGGACCCCTTTGCTGCTGTTGTCAATTGCTTGTCCCAATACTGTGCAGCTGAATGGGCTTTCCTGCCACTCCCAGCTGGAGACGCCAAACACAAGGCTTGCTCGTATATTATCGATAGACATGTTTGTGATCAGTACCTCTGCACTCGATACACTCGTGTCCAGGGCGGGACGAGGGCCAGGATCCTGGCGACTAACTCGACCAGCGTACTGGGAGTGTAACTCTTGTATCTGCCTGTCTTCCACAGCTCGTACAGGCCTGTACCCCGGATCACCAGCGTGGGGTACAGCTTCATACCGTCAGGGCGGAATGCAGGGTTCTCAAAGAACTCCTGTAAAACAAGTAACAAATAATAATACTAATCCTTGCCTTTGATACAGCACCTTGTCTCGCAAGTATTAGTCTCCATGCAGGTTAAACAGAATAACGTAAATATAATAATCTTCGCATCGATATTGATACGTCTTTCACATTGCGAGGACCTCTGAAAATTGGCGAAGGCGACGGCTAATTGTCTGGGTTTGTGTTCACAGCAGTGTCCTCACAAACAACCAAGAAATGAACGACCGTCAATCTGGGGGACTGTTGGCCAGGACACTGGGAGAGAGAGAGATTCCTGGCTCTTTTCGTATAGTGCTGTGGGATCATTTCCTATTTCCCTGAAGAACTGGCAGACAGCAGTTCAGTTTAACGTCTCAACTGCCGCTCCAATGCAGGGCTGGAAGCACACTGTTAGAGGCACTGTCCTCCAGGTGAGATGCTAAACCATGATCCCATCTGCCTGGTCGGGTGGATGTTAAAGCTCCTGTGGCCATATTGGAAAAAAGAGAGTTTTTCTCAGTGTCCTGCCTAACAGACCTCCAAAATAAAGTTAGTTCACTCATTTCATGGCTGTTTGGGGGGATGCTGCTGTGTGCAGATTGGCTGCCGCATTTGCCTACAAAAGACACTTTAAAGAATATCTTGCGAAACGCTTTGAAACACCCAATGTGAAAGGAGGTTTACCAAATGTAAGGATTCTCATTATTAAAATCCTGTGAAGTGGTTCGAGACGGCTCGACACGGTCTGTATCAAGGGCCAGGATTATTATTATTATCATAATTAAATCTCGAGAGTTCACAGCTTGGTCAGAAAAGACAGCCAGTGTGACAAGTGCTCAGACTGAACACCAGGTTTGCTACTAACCTGCATATAACGCATAATGCATATAATTATAGACTGAATTTGCATCTGTGTCTGCAAGAAATCCACCGCAACTCACACAGAATGTTAAAGGAAGGGTCATTCAATTAGCTTTTACGGGGAACATATTCATCTCAATTGCCATTCAGCTCTTAAATGCTGTGAAGTCCTAAAGCCCTGTCCATTACCTTTAAAAAGAGGCATTTTTTTTACTTTTAAAAGCAGTGCAGGAATGGGGCAATGCGGTGCTTGCTGGGTATAGGATCTTACTCGGCCAAGGCTGTCACTCCAGGACAGTGTTAGGGGTTGCCGCAATGCTGGAGGTGTCGTAGAGGACAAGAGTAATTTGCTGCACATCTCCTCTCTGCTGGCTATTTGGAGGAGCGAATCATTCATTGTGGAGCCCGGTAGCACAGTGGTTAGTGCGTTCGCCTCACAAGCAAGAGGTTCCCAGGCCTGGAGAAACCTTAGGCAAGTTTCTGTAAGTAGGAACCCGGTTGTTAGTCGATTGGCGGATCGAGGGGTAATAATCGCTTCAAATAAATAAATAAATAAATAATAATAATTTGGTCTCTCAATCCACGGCTGTTTGTGGGACACTGCTGTGCTCAATTGGCAATTCAGGCACAAAATAGACAGTCAAATCATTTTGGAGGACTTTGAAGGTGAGGACCAGGATCGTGAACTGTATCCTCTGTGTGGTGGGAAGTCAGTGGAGTCGGGTGAAGATGGGGTGATAGGGTCACAGAGTCTGGTGCGGGAGAGGACACGGGCTGCAGAGTTCTGCAGTCAATGGATGGAGGAGATGGGGAAGCCGACACACGAGGAGTTTGCACTGGATGTAATGAATGTGTTATTATTATTCAGTCCCATTTCTCCTTTTCAGATATTGGCCTTTGGATGAAACATTAAACTGAGGTCCTGTCAGCCTGCTCTTCAAATGGACATTAAACCATCCCGTGAAATTATCGGAACTAGAGGAAGAATTTCTCCTGGGGCCTGGCCAACAATTCTGCCCTCATTTACCTCGTGGCTGTTTGCGGGACCTCGCTGTGCGCAAAATGTTCGTCACTGAACTGCCACTTCCTCTTGTGCTTTTACAATCCAATTTATAATACAATTAACATTTACTTGGCGCCTTTCATGTCTGAAGCAGGTGCCTCTTTTTAACCTCCTTTCATTTACACAGCGCCACTCCCACAAGCCAGGGTCCGTGCCGGCTGCACAGTGACAGGGTTAGACACAGAAAGAGGCAGAGAGGAGGGGAGCGTGGGCTTGGGCAGGTCTTACGGTGGGATTTAGAGATAAAGGGAGAGACAGGGAGTTCCAGAGGTCAGGGCACAGCGGCTAAAATACCTAAAATCACAGAGCTTGCCATTGAGAGCTTTCCCGCTGCTTGTCCAGCGAGGACCAACTTACCTGTTAGGTACGAGGTGGGAAGAAAGCCGGTGAAATTTGAAACTTAAAATTGAAGGCGGCTCAAAATTGTGGAAAATGTTTCGGACTCAAAGTTGAGACAAATGGGAGAAAGCCGGGATATGGGACCAGGAATAGGATCCAGGATGGGCACGTGTGTAGGTGTATTAACACAGGCTGGATAAGCCAAATAGCCTGTTTCTGAGCTGCACTTTCTATGCATTAAGCGCTCAGGGACACTACCCTGCGTGAGGGGCGCTATATAAATGCAATTTGTTGTTGTTGTAGTATCGGTCTGAGCTTAGAAACCTGTTTTTCTGTAGTTTTGAAAGAAATTAGGTCGGAATTTAAGAATTTTCTACAATTCTGCACTACCTTAGGTTTCAAGACAAAACAGTCCTACAGGCTAAAACTAGGTGGAATTTGGGGGCCTCGTTCCATCTCTCTTCAACTCAACCCCAGTCACGACTGTCTCTTTATTCGTCCGCTCGGTGCTGTTCACCTCTTATCTTGTGACACTGGTGCCAGTGTTACCAGGAGAGGAGGGGATGAAAGCAGAATGCAAACTCAACACCATTTCAAACAGGTCAAAAGGTTACGTCTGATCAAAGTCTCTTTCTAGTGCTGGACTGAGAGCAGGTTTGATTTCTCAATCCCTTTTGTCGCTCGGCAAACCGCACATTGCCGAAAGAGCAGGTCAACACCACCCGTGTGTCCATGAGGAACGTGAGGAAGACTGACATCCCGTGGCGTCACCCAGGATCTGGGCCCCTGGAATTGCACACCTTCCTTTAATCCAGCCAGCCCAGCTGGGGAATCAACAGCACAGAGTAATAATCATAGCAATAATCCTTGCATTTGATATAACACCTCATCACATCTCGAGACGTCTCAAAGCGCATCACAGGATATTCTGTGAAGTGTAGTGACTGTGTATTCTCTGGGCAAAACAAGGCAGCCAATGCGCACAGCAGTCTCCCACAAACAGTCGTGGATTGAGTGACCAAATAATTTATTTCTTTATTTTCATTTTTTTGGAGTGAATACTGTCTCCAGAAAAGCGATCCACCAATCGACTAACAACCAGGTTCCTACTTACTGCTGGTAAACAGAGGCGTGGGGTACGGTACTGTGCCTGAGGTTTCGCACAGGCCGGGAATCGAACCCAGGTCCTCTCGCTTGCGAGACGGGTGCTCCAATTACTGAGCTACATGACTCCACGTGGAGCTCCCAGCCACCAACGGGTGGGCAAGCTTCACTCTTGCCAGCTGTTGGTTAGGATGTGGAACGTCCTCCCGGTGGATGAGGCAGAATTCACATTAGCTTTGAAAAGGGAACTAGACAGATATCTAAAATGGAGTAAATACAGATTTATGGTGAAACCCAGGTAAATGGGAAAGAGAGGTAGAGGGCAGGTGACTGAAGGCAAAGTTCGAGAGGTTGAAGGATTTTGAGCACAGGGAGAGTTACACAGAGTGACATGCACGGAAATAAGCCATTCGGCCCACTAGTCCGTGCCGATGTTTATACTCCACAGGAGCCCGTGCCCTATTCCCTGCTCTTGTTCCCCTCTATTCCCTTCTCCCGCATGTGTGCGTGACATTTTCTCTCAAATACATTGATGCTTTTTTTCGTCAACCACAGTGAGCTCCACATTCTCACCTCCCTGTGCTTGAAGACTTTCCTATGAGGTCGAGTTTGGTCGTTGAGTGAAGGAGAACGGAGAGGTGACCATCAGCGAGGTCAAAGAGGTAGGTCATAAGGTGGGATAGACAGACAAGGGGGGATGCGAGGCAGAGAGATTGAGAGAGGGATTCCCTGCGGTTGGGGGTGCGTCTAGAGGTGGCTGATACGCAGTGAAGATGGCTGTTTAATAGAATAAAAGAATCCCAAGGGTGTGGTTCAGTTACAGTCTGGCAGAGAGTTCCACACTCCCAATGCCCTCTGTGTAAAGACACCTCCCCATGAACTCGCTTTGTAATTAAATGAAATGTATGCCGTGCTGTCACTAACTGGCCAATCTATTCCAATTTAAACCACTAAGACTGTGGAACGGGAAGAGATTAGATGGTGAGATGAGTGGAGAGTGATCTGGACTCCACAGCCCAGTTTGAATGGAAGGAGACAAGCTGAGGTTTATCTGAATTATCTCCTGTAATCCGCCACCATTACTAGGTCAATTGCTAATGAAATATCTGACGTCCCGACAAAGCCCCATCTCCTAATAGCCTCCCTGCCAGGCTGATACATGGGCTCAGGGCTCGGGTTCCCCCTGGCACTCACCCTAATCCGCTTTGTGTGTGAAGGAGAGCCTCGTGCTCACTGAATGAGCGGAGGCAGGTGTGGTCGGGGCTGCTCAGCCCATTTCTCCACGCCAGTGAATAGTCTATTTACTCTCTCTTATCACAATAATCTTATCAGGCCCCTGACAGCCGAAGTCATGCCCAGGATTTGCTGGAATTGAATTGCCGTTGATTACTGCACTGGAGCAACTCTTCACCTTCATTTGGCAGAGTTAAAATCAAGTTAAAATCAAGAGACTCTCCTTTTTTTTGGTCAGACAGGTGTGTGTCTGACACTCGCAGAAACCCATCACTGGGCTTAAGGGTGTTCAAACCAGACAGGGTTCCAAGCATCCCACCTACACATGGACATTCCTGTGAACTGGAATGGAATGTAAACTCTCCCATCCTGTTTACCTAATCTGGAAAGTATTAGGCGTAGCGTGGTAAGAGCCAAGGCTTGGAGACCCCAGAGCTGGAGTCTAACCAGCTAAAACCACACAGCTTGCCATTGATATTGCTGTCTGAAATCCATAACATTCAGCCCTGTCGACTGAGTGACCAGACAGACTCACTTACTGACGGTGACACATTATAGCATAACTGAGCCGGTGACTAGTGTGGAAAATGCTGAGAAAAGCTGTCCCTGGGCTGGCAGGTCAGCGAGAGGCGACAGGTGCTCGTGATCAGTCAAAGGGGAATCAACGGACAGGACGTGTGTGGACGGTACTCACAATAAATTGCTCGATGTCCCTCTCCAGCCCCACGTTTGGCAGATCAGGCATCATGTGGGCGACCACTTTAAAGCCAGCGTCCTTGGCCAACTGAAATGACTCACACACGGCTTTGACAGTGTGGCCCCTGCGGGAGAGGGAGGAGAGGTCAGCAGTCACGACACTTACCCCACAACCCCCACCATAATGCCCACACACCCCCCACCCCCCACACAGCCCTCGCAGGCATGTTTCTCAGTGGTTGGGAGGGGGGCAGCAGGAGGCCAGCACCTGCATGGCCTAAAATAAACACACACTGACGTTTGCTCTTCCGGGCAGGAATTAAAATAAACCCACACGTCACCAGCATCACACCCTGCTTTATTCTCACTTCACTGCCCTCCATTGGAGGGTGGGGGGGGGGAGATAAGGAGGGAGGGTAGAGGGAGGGAAAGGAGAGTGGGGGGGAGATGAGAGGAGGAGGGAGTTTCTCCCCACGCCCCAAAAAAGAATCACTCATTCTCTTCACAGCCGTTTGTGGAACATCGCTGTGCGCACAGTCACTACACTTTACAATACGTTCTGTGAAGCGCTTTGAGCTGTCTCGAAGATGTGATAAGGCGCTACATCAAATGCAAGGATTATTATTATATCCTGTGAAGGGCTTTGAGACGTCCTCGCTACGTCCTCCTCGACCTATCGACAGCATTCGATACGGTCGACCACGCTATCCTACTCCACCGCTTGTCCTCCCACCTCAACCTTCAAGGCACTGTCCTTGAGGGGTTTAGGTCGTACCTCTCCCACCGTCTTCACTTTGTCTCTACAAACGGCTTTTCCTCCATCCCCCGCACTGTCTCGTGCGGTGTCCCTCAGGGCTCTGTCCTCGGTCCCCTCCTCTTCACCCTCTATATGCTCCCCCTGTGGTGACATCATCCGCAGACATGGAGTTAACTTCCACATGTGTGCGGATGACACCCAACTCTACCTTTCCTCCTCTACTCTCAACTCCACGACCCCCGATGTCCTGACAGCTGTCTGTCCGACATCGAGTCCTGGACGAGAGACAACTTTCTTCAGCTCAACGTGCGAAAAACTGAGGCCCTCCTGATTGGCTCACGTCAGCGCCTCCGCACCTCAGGCGCTGACACCATCAGCATCCAAGGCTGCACTCTCCACCTCTCAAAGCCATCAGGAACCTCGGGGTTTTGCTCGACCCTGAGCTGTCCTTTCTCCCTCATATCCGCACCACAACTGGCACCGCCTTCCATCACCTCCGGAACATCGCCAGACTACGGCACTACCTCACCCCTCACGCGGCTGAAACCCTGGTTCACGCCTTTGTCACCTCAAGGCTGGACTATGGGAACTCTCTCCTCGCCGGCCTTCCCGCCACCTCCCTCCACACTGCAGGTCATTCAGAACTCTGCAGCTCGTGTACTGTCCCGCACCAGACACCGCGACCACATCACTCTCACCCTCGCCCTCACCCTCACCCTCACCCCCACCCTCGCCCTCGCCCTCACCCTCGCCCTCGCTCACCTCCACTGGCTCCCCATCCCCCAGAGGATTGATTTCAAGATCCTCATCCTCACCTACAAGGCCATTCACGGCCTCGCTCCCTCCTACCTCTCCGACCTACTATCCCCTACCTACCTGCCCGTACCCTCCGTTCCTCTGGCTCCGGTCTGCTCCACATCCCCCGCCCCAACCGCCCTACCATCGGTGGCCGGGCCTTCAGCCTCTCAGCCCCGAGGCTCTGGAACTCCATCCCCAGTGCCTTCGCCGCTTCCTCCCTTTCCTCCTTCAAGGCCGGTCTCAAAACCTTTCTCTTTGACCGAGCCTTCAGCTCCCCTCTCGACTCTCTTCCCCCTCCTCGCCCCCTCCCTTCCCTCCCCTCACCCTGACCATTTCCCCCCTCCTCGCTCCCTCCCTTCCCTCCCCTCACCCTGACCATTTCCCCCAATGCTCGGGTCCTGACCCAACTGTGCAGCGCCTCGGGACGTCCTCCTGACGTGAAAGGCGCTTTATAAATGGAATCTTGTTGTTGTTGTACATCAAATGCGAGCATGATAACTTATTTATATTATTATTATTCATATAAGTGCAAAACAGTTGCCTAAAAATACAGTTACAAAGTGTGAAATATTTTGCCATTTTAGGCTGTGCGGTAAATGTAAGGGCAGTCAAGCAAAGTGTTTACTCTGCCAGCCTCCACTCCCCCTCCGCCTGGTGAAAGCATCTCAACAAGTAGTGACAGCGGTGAGAAGCGAGTGGACTTCAGAAAAACGCAGGGAGCCACATTTGTAAACCACTCTCCGCTGTGCGAGCCGGGTAACAGACAATGAAGTTTGCTCTGTAAATCTCGGCAGGAAATTAAAGGAGATTGGCCAGGCGTGGGGCAGCTCAAATCGCTTGCGAGGCGCGTGCTCTAAGCTCTACACTACAGGACTCCACCACCTTGTACAAATCGGCTAAAATACTGTTCCATCAGAGATCACACTGTCATTACCAACCTCTGTTACTCTCTTTAACTGAAACGCTTTCTCTTTGAGTCTCTGTAAGTGTTTTCTGTCTCTTGCTCTCTCTCTCTCTCCATCTCTCTCTATCGACTTCAGGCAACATCCAATTGTGCGCATAAACTTCGGGTGAGATATAGGGTAAAGTGTAAATATAGTGTTGTGACTGTGTTTTGTGGGTGAAGCGCAGTAGGCAATTTCGCACAGCAGTGTCCCACAAATAGTCATGGATTATGTGACCAAATTAGTATTTAATTATTATTTTTTAAAGGAATTATTACACCCAGGATACAATATGTAGTTTGGGACACGACATGTCGTGCAACTGCAAGGATGGTGCTCCAGGACTCTACCCCGCGTGAAAGGCGCTATACAAAAGCAAACTGTTGTTGGTGTTGGTGGAAGGTGAAGTGGATAAGAACATAAGAATTAGGAGCAGGAGTCGGCCATTCAGCCCCTCGAGCCTGTGCCCCACCATTTGATAAGATCACGGCTGATCTTCTCACCTAACTCTGATTACCCACCCTCTCCCCATATCCCCTAATCTCTCTGTTTTTTAAAAATCTATCAGTCTCAGCCTTGAAGATGTTCAAGGACTGACATCTACAGCCCTTCTGGGGGAGTGAATTCCATAAAGTCACTGCCCTCTGAGTTGTTTCCTCAACTCTGTTCTAAACGCTGACCCTTAAATTTCAGACTGTGACCCCTGGTTATAGATTCTCCCACCGGGGAAACAGTCTCTCAGTGTCTACTTTATCCGCCCTTTAAGAATCTTATAAGTTTCAATAAGATCTCCCCTAATTCTTCTGTACTCCAGAGAATACAGCCCGAGTTTATTCAGCCTCTCCTCATAGGTCAGTCCCCTCATCCCAGGCACTAACCGAGTGAATCTACGCTGCACCCCCTCGAGGGCAAGTATGTCCTTTTTTAAATAAGGAGACCAACACTGCACACAATACTCTCGGTGCGGTCTCACCAAAGCCCTATATAGCTGCAGCGAGACTTCCCTACTCTTATATTATAAACCTTTGGCAATGAACGCTAATATGCCGTTCGCCTTCTCAGTTGCTGCTGAACCTGCAAACTAACTTTTTGAGACTGGTGTACACGGACACCCAAATCCCTCTGAACACTAACACTGTCTAATCTCTCCCCCTCTAGAAAATAATCTGTTGTTCTATTTTTGCTGCCGAGGTGAATAACTTCACACTTCCCCACATTAAATTCCATCTGCCCACTCCCCTCGCCTGTCTATATCCCGTTGCAATCTTTTTGCATCATCCTCAGAGCTCACTCTCCCCCGAGTTTAATGTCATGGACCTACTGGATATAGCAAATCCTTATGTTATCTTTGGCAGCAAAACTTTACAGAAAGGTCACACGCGGTGAGCAAAACTTGGGCAAGATAAGTAAAAGCAGAGGAGCGGTCACACACCAGGAAATATCACTCACCATTTCCCCGCTCACAGTAACTAGCCATCGGGGGGCACAGGGATGGAACTCAAACCCTGCTGACTGTAACCAAAGCGAAACTATTTCTTTCTGACCTACCGCTGCCTTTTTGTACCAGTGAAAGTAACATGTGATTGCAATTTGCCGGCTGACTCTCTGTCACACACAGCGTTTGAATCACAGGTTTGTATAGAATGAGAGAATTGATATGTTGGACCACGTTTCCTGTTAGCGAGGGCTGCTGTTGGAGCCAGCCTTGCTGTCAGCTCCTGCCTGATCAACACTCCCCAACCTCTTTCCCTGGATCACAATTTCCCATTAATCATCATTCACCCTTTCATCTGCTCCAGCCTTGACTGTTCCAGCACTCTCCTTCCCCAGCGCTTCCCTGCACGAGCTGCAGATTATCCAGAACTTTGCAGGTCGTGCTCCCTTCTGCACCAGGCTCCGCGGGCCAACAATAATAATAATAATCCTTGCATTTGATACAGCTCCTTATCAGGTCTTCAAGATGTCTCGAAGCGCTTCACAGTATATACTGTAAAGTGAATTGACTGTATTGTGGAAGGTGACACTAAATGTACCATCAGCCTATAGAGGTTATACGACCCTGACCTGCGTGGTTGGTTCACGTGATAGATAATTGAAGCACGTCCACAGTGTTGCCACATAGCCTTATACAGTGGTCTTACTCAAGGTCTTTACACAAAGTCTCAGACTTTCCAACCTTTTCCCAGACTAGAAGAGATAAGATTGCTTAAAACCAGATGGTTCCAATGTGAAACTATAGCCGACAAAGGAAAACTGTTCATTGCTATGATTTGGATGTGAAAATGCTGCGGAATTGTCACGGGTCACACGGTAAGATACAATTATTGGTTGCAAAATGCCGCATAATCCGATAAGAAAAAGAATATAACCCTTTGTTTTTATACATTCTTTGGAAGTACCATCTCGGGTGACTTGGGAACCTGATTGGGTGCTTCCCCTTACCGGTAAGCTTGTAATAAAGCTTGTAATTAAGCTTGTAATAAAGCTTGGAATACAGCTCGTAATAAAGCCTGTACTGATTACTGTTCATTGTTTGTGTGGTCTATGGTTTTATTCCACGACAGTATATTTTGTGGGGGAAAACTGGCAGCCAATTGCGCACCGCAGCGTCATCCTCACAAACAGTTGGGGATTGAAGTGACCAATTTATTATTATTAATATTTTATAATTTCTCTCATTCACTGGCTTCCCATGCCCCAGCAGACTGAAGTCAAGATACTCGTCCTCACCTTTAAATCCCTCAACCCAACCTCTGTGACCTCCTCAAACCCCGCCAACCCAGCCAATCCCTTCGATCAGTGAACGCTGCCTGGCTTCAGGTACCTTGCCCTGCCCCACCATCAAGTCGGGGGTCAGCTCTCAGCCATTACTACCCCCACTCTCTGGCACTGCACCCCGGAATCCCTCTGATTCACACCCCCACACCCGCCCCACTTTCCTATCTGCCTCAAGACTTTCGACATCTACGATTTGCATTTACACAGAGCCCTTCACACAGGACAGTGTCTCGGGTTGGGTGAACCAGTGAGCAGTATAAAGTGCAGAGAGGGGAGCCATCCTTGGGATGAGATGTTCAACTGAGATCCCATCTGTCTGTTGTTCAAATTAAAAATCCCACAACACTATTGGAAAAGAGAAGGGAGTTTCTGGCGTTGTCCTGTCCAATTACAAGATAAAAAGTTTATCATTCACCTTATGGCTGTTTGGGAGCGCTTTCTGTGCACAAATAACAGCAGAGCAACTTGAATTTATAAAGTGGGGTAGGATCTCGGAGCGCTTAACAGTGGAAGAGCTTGACACTGAGGTTGGGAGAGAGGGGGAGGTAACTATAGGCACAGTCAGAATAGTTACCACACCTCCCTGATGTTATAGGAGCTGTATCAGTTGCAAGGATTATTATATCCAGAAATCCTGCTCCTCATGGCTACCCGATAACTATCCCAGTAGATCCTGTAGCTCAGGGGCTAGAGCAGTCGCCAGGGAAGTGAGAAGACCTGAGTTCGATTCCCAGCAGGGTGAAACCTTCAGCAAGTTTCCTTACTCCACACACATGTCTCTGTTTACTTAGCAGTATGTAGGAACCCAGATGTTAGCCGAATAGCAGATTGCTGCTCCAGGGATAAATAAGCCCTTCCGCCAAAATAATAAAAATAATAATAATTTGTTCACTCAATCTTGGACTGTTTGTGGGACATTGTGTGCGATTGGCTACCATGTTTTGCCCACAAAATATACATTCAGTTCACTTTACGGTATACTCTGTGAAGCGCTTTGAGACGTCTCGAATACGTGATAAGATATATCAAATGCAAGGATTATTATTATAACTAAGAGACTGCTGTGTGTTGTGGATATTGAGGACAGGACTGGAGCCTCCTGTGATCCAGTCTCTCTCTGCCCCCCACATACTCTCCCACACCATTAATACAGTGTTCCACAGGCTATAGCTGTAATTCACTGTATTACCACCTCGCACAAAGCTCACTGCACAGCTTATTTGTGGTCCTAGTGACGCACAGAAATGCTGAACATGCAACATCCATCTCCAGCCAAGCTCAACGAGCCTCAACTCAGTACAAATTACATTTTTACAGCGCCTTTCACATCAGATAGACCTCTCAAAGTCCGGCTCTGGCTGGGCACCTAAGCCTGGGGTAGGGGGCAGGACGGAGGAGAGGGAGGGGAGAAGAGGGAGGGAGGTTGAAGGGGGTGGGCGGGCGGGGGGTGGGAGGGAAATGGCCAAAAGGTCAGCCAAACAGCTTTTTGATGTAAGAACAGGCAAATGGGACCTTAGTTTAATGTCTCATCCCAAGCACTGTACCTCCAAAATTGAGGTACCTATCCCTTCTCCCCCCTATCTGCCCCCGCTTTCTCCCACCCCTTCCCTTCTCCACCCCATCTTTTCCCTCCCCCTCCCCATCTTTTCCCTCCCCCTCCCCAACCCCCTTCTCTCCCCCTTCCCCTCCCCCCTACACCCATTTCTCCCCACCCTCCCCCCATCTCCCCCGCCTCCCTCCATTCTGTGTTAGACAACCAGCTGAAATCCAGACATGAACCAACAACCTTCTGACCCAGAGGCAAGTGTTACTGAGTGAATCAAGCTGACACCAATGACGATGAGAAGCTTACATAAAACAACTTGCATTTGATAAAGCACCGTATCACGTCATCCAGAGGATGCCTCAAGTCCCTTCACAGGATTAATGGAAAGTGTAGTCACTGCAGTTCTTTTTGTAAGTGGGTGAAGGCGGCAGACAATTTGCTCACAGCAATATCCCACAAACAGCCATGGAGCGAGTGACCAATTTATTTGTGGGATTATCGGGGGGTAACAAGAGAGAGAGAGAAACTCCCTTCTCTTTTTGAATCGTGCAACGGGATCTTTAACATCCACCTGAAGAGAGAGACAAGATTTTACGTCTCATTCGAAACACAGCAGCTCTGACAATGCACTGCCCTGCATGTCAGCCGAGATCCTACACAAGTTCAAAGTCCCGACTTGGCTCTTCGACTCAGAGGCAGGAATTCTCCCAACTGAGCCAGGTTGACACCATAACGAGGGGGTTTTGGTGCGTGCGTGGGGAAGAGGGGGGGTGGCTGGGTGTACGGGGAGATGGGTAATAATAATCCTTGCATTTGATATAGCGCTTTTCACGTCGGGAGGACTTTCCAAAACGCGTCACAGAACACACTGTAAAGTGAACTGACTTATTTGTGGGCAAACGCGGCAGCCAATTGCGCACAGCAATGTCCCACAAACAGTCGTGGATTGAATATGACCAATTTATTATTGTTTTTGGTTTTGGAGGGATTATTATTAGGCTCTGTGTGGAGTAAGGAAACTTGCCCAAGGTTTGGCCCTGAGCTGCCTGGGATTGAACTCAGGTCTCTCGCTTACAAAGCGAGTGCTCTAACCACTGAGCTACAGGACTCCACAAGGGTAGCTTGAGGGGAGAGACAAAGTTGTCTTCTGTTCTCAAATAGTTCAAGACAACAGATCAATTTCAATAGGGGGAACTATCGCAGAGTGACAACTGGTCTCCAGAGACCACACTGTATATCTATGAATAGCATTAAAATCGGTTTGCCTTTCTGAACCCCCGCACTCAATTCGAGACCAGTCTGGGAACCAAACCTGTCAATGGGAGCACAGCAGTCACCCCCAGTGAGTGTAGGAATCGATGCACTTTCCCAAAGCTCAAAGATCATCTATAAATACTGCTGAGAGGGCAAGAGCACAGTGGAGCCACACTCCCAGGGTAAAGCTAATCATTAGTTATTTTCTAGTTATTCTCATTGATCAAAAAAGAAAGGTCTTATAGACCAATACTTGGTCAGCTTTTAACGGATTGATTTTCTTTTAATTCGAGTTAGAGGGAAGATGACAGCTCATATTTTTAAACTGCACAATAAATACACAGGCACAAAGTGTACACACAGTTACAGACACTGTAATTAATATTACAACTGTAATTAATATACAGCAGTTTTAATATGAAAACTTTCATTTGACACAGTGCCTTTCAGGTCAGGAGGACGTCTCAAATTGCTCTATGGGATTTACTGCAAACTGTAGTAACTATGTTTATTGTAAGCCAATTGTACGGGAGGGATTGTTGGCCTTCACACTGGGAGAGAATCTCCCCTCTCTTTTCGAGCAGCGACATGGGATCTTCGACATGCACCTGGACAGGCAGACTGGTCACTGGCCAGAGTGTCAGTCTAGATTAGTTCTGCGTCCCGACAACCTTCTGACTGAGAGGCGAGAGCGCTTCCACTGAGCCAGGCTGACACACGTAAACCGTTACACAGTTTAAAGTAAAAGGTGAGTCTACCTGTTGGTATCTCTGGCCACGTCCTCGTACACACTCTGAACCCCGATCTCCAGCCGTGTGCAGCCGTACCCCAGCATGTCACTGAGGTGGCGTTTCAGGCAGTAATCAGGTCTGGTCTCAATGGTGATGCCAACACACTTGGTATTGCTGCGTTCAGAGTATCTGCAACACGTCACAGAATCATGTTAAAGTCTCCGGCCACCATCAGCTTCACACAAGGTACCTTTATGTATCCCGCCACTGCTGTGAAAGTTTAATTCACTTCTGACAAGGTGGAGGCACGTGACAACGGTTAAAATGGCACCTAGCATTGATACACGTGTGAAGCAGAGAGCAGTAATTGAATTGGTCCCGGCTGAGGGGATTTTGCTGGTTGAGATTCACCATCGCATGACGAGAGCGTGTGGACAGTTATGTGTTGATGTGCAAGCCGCCGGGTAAATCGTGTGAAACGTGGAGAAACTGAATTTCAGGATTACACATGAAGTTGATCTGCTAAGTTGGACGAATCGCTCAGGGTGAGTTGAGAGAGAGTCTCGGTATTTATTGGTCCTCGGGACACAGAGCTGATTATTGGCTACCGTACTCACTAACATTTGGCTCGGTGGGATCCACAAATGTTTATCGTGTTTCACAAGGAAACCAGAAATCCCATTTGCACATCATGTTACTGTAACGCCATATTGGCACAAGTGCTCTGAGACATTACCCCTCGTGAGGGTCTCTGGGCCACTGCTCTGTGTGAGGGTCTCTGGTTCTCTGGGCCACTGCCCTGTGTGAGGGTCTCTGGGCCGCTGCCCTGTGTGAGGGTCTCTGGGCCGCTGCCCTGTGTGGGGGTCTCTGGACCGCTGCCCTGTGTGGGGGTCTCTGGGCCGCTGCCCTGTGTGAGGGTCTCTGGGCCGCTGCCCTGTGTGGGGGTCTCTGGACCGCTGCCCTGTGTGGGGGTCTCTGGGCCGCAGCGCTGATTGTGATGAAAGAACAATTGAAGAATTTTGAGGCATTATTTGGGGCATTAGTCAAAAGCTTCAGGTCTCGTCTCATTCTCCTGCCGGCTTCCCGCACACCACTCCTCTCCAAACACCTGTCCAATAACAATAATCCTTGCATTTGATACATCACTTATCACGGCGTTGGGGCATCACATTTACTGTAAAGTGCAGTGACTGTATTTGTAAGGAACACATCAGCCAATTTGCTCACAGTGATCTCCCTGAAGTGAGTCACCGATAGTATCTGGGAATTGATGGCCAGGCACCGGGAGAGGGAAACTCCCTCCTCTCTTCGAATGGTGCTGCAGGATCTTTAACATCCACCTGAACCGGCACAGACGAGCCCTCAGATTAACAATTCATCCCAAGCGCAGCACCTCTAACAGCGCAACACCCCCAGCAATGCATTGGAGCGTCAGCTTAGACTGTGTGATTCCTGGACTGCTGCCCTCTGACGACAGAGTTCCATCATGACCACATTATTGTGACACCGAGTAGCGGGAATAACACTGCTACTCAGGAGGGAGGAGCGTGGCTTGTTTCTCATCCATCACCACACGTCAGAGTTCTGAGAAATTGTTTTCAGTTTTGATCAATAGTTATTATAGTTAATCAATACTCCATCACCGGCTGTTGTGGAGCAAAGCAGCAGCTGTCATCGGTCCCAGTCACGTTGTGTCAATCACTCTACACAGTTACTGTCCACTAAAGGAAGATGATGAAGATACAGTGATCTTTATCTCACAGCCTCTCAATCACTGCGCTTAGGGTCACTCCTTCTCCTCCCTTTCTCCTTCCTCTGCCATCTCTCTTCTTCCCTGCTTTTCCTGCTCCTTCCCCCCTCCCTCCCTTTCTCTCCCTATTCCTCTCTCTCTCTCTCTATTTTTATTTCCCCACATTCTCTATCTCTTTCACTCTCCTTTATTTTATAGAGCTGCTGCGCACAATTGGCTGCCACGTTTCTCTCACAAAATACACAGTCAATTCACTTTACAGTATATTCTGTGAAGCGCTTTGTGACATCTCAACGATGTGATAAGGCGCTATATCAAATGCAAGGATTATTATTCCTCTCTCTCTGTATCCAACTACCCCCCTCTCTTTCTTTATTCTTCCGCTCTCTTTCCCTTTCCTTCTTCTCACTTTCCCCCGCTCTCTCACCTCTCAATGCTCTCAGGTTATTACATTGCTTCTCTCTGGCTCATCATCAACAACAACAAGATTCCATTTATAGAGCGCCTTTCAGGGCGGGAGGACGTTCCACAGCGCTGGACAGTTGGGTCAGGACCCGAGCATTGGGGGGAAATGGTCAGGGGGAGGGAAGGGAGGGAGCGAGGAGTGGGTAGAGAGTCGAGAGGGGAGCTGAAGGCACAGTTGAAGAGAAAGGTCTTGAGACCGGCCTTGAAGGAGGAAAGGGAGGAGGTGGCGAAGGCACTGGGGTTGGAGTTCCAGAGCCTCGGGGCTGAGAGGCTGAAGGCCACCGATGGTAGGGCGGTTGGGGCGGGGGATGTGGAGCAGACCGGAGCCAGAGGAACGGAGGGTACGGGCAGGTAGGTAGGGGGATAGTAGGTCAGAGAGGTAGGAGGAAGCGAGGCCCTGAATGGCCTTGTAGGTGAGGGTGAGGATCTTGAATTGGATTCTCTGGGGGAGGGGAGCCAGTGGATGCGAGCGAGGGCGAGGGTGAGGGCGAGGGCGAGGGTGAGGGCGAGGGTGAGGGTGAGGGCGAGGGTAGGAGTGATGTGGTCGCGGTGTCTGGTGCGGGACAGTACACGAGCTGCAGAGTTCTGAATGACCGGCAGTGTGGAGGGAGGGCCGGGAAGGCCGACGAGGAGAGAGTTCCCATAGTCCAGCCTTGAGGTGATAAAGGCGTGGACCAGAGTTCCAGCCGCGTGAGGGGTGAGGTAGTGCCGTAGTCTGGCGATGTTCTGGAGTTCTCATCTCTGCACAGTACAAGGGCAGACGCCTGCAGTTGCCTCACTCTCACCTCCCCTATGCCCACCTCTTCTCTCACCCCTGCAACCCTAATAGTGTTGGTTACTGCAACATAAAAGGGCATTGTAAGGGTAACACCAGGAAAGCAACAAGGCTAATCCCCAGTGTTAGAGCCATGAGGGTTAGAGGGAATGTTGTGGATTTAAGCCTCCTGTGGAGACCTGGACCCCATATCTCTGGCTGACTCTCCAATGTGGTGGGAAGGATATAGGAAGACTGTATCACATGGGCTACAGAATGGTCTGTATCAGATCAGCTCAATGGACCTCCTACTGTTATATACATTTGGTGTTGTGCCTGATCACATCAAAATGTCTCAAAATATTTCAGAGGATTGATTGTAAAGTGTAGTGACTATGCATATTGTAGGGGAATGTGGTAGCCAATTTGTGCACAGCCACGAAGTGAGTGACCGGTTTTATTTAGGAGATTGTTGGCCAGGACACTGGGAGACAAAAACTCCCTTCTCTTTCCGAAAACAGTTCAACGGAACAGGCAGACGGGACCTCGGTTTAAAAATAAATTTTCAGGATTCAGGCAATTGTTATGAATTTCTCAAGCTTTGCTGTTGTAATTTATGAAGTCATATAAACCGTCTAATCTGAAGGAAGGCACCTCCGCCAATGTACTTGGTCCTAATATCTTACCATTAACGTTCTTGTTTGCATCGTTAGGTTTATTATAATATACATACACATGTCTTTCATGTTGGGAAGTGCCTAACACTGCTGGCTGGCAGTGGGAGCCGGAGGGGGCGGGGATGAGAGAAAGGATGATCAAAAGTGCGGTCAAAGAGGTATGTCTGGAAGTCAATCTGCTGTTGGGAGCGGCAGAATTAGCAGGTAACGCAGAGGGTTAGGGGAAGGATATGGGAAGACTGTAGCAGACTGTAGCACGTGGGCTACAGAATGGCAGGAAAGGCTGTCTTGTACGCACTGGAAAGCCTGGACTATCCAGGATTCCAATGGATTCTTGTTGCCCTCTGCAGGATAAAACCGGTCACTGGAAGGACAATTTACTGACAAATTTCTGAAATGCACTGTATTCACCAGATCACCAGAGATTGGGAGGAAAAGGGCTCTTTGGCCGATTTGACCTCATTCTTCCACAATACAAACCCGACCCACTAGAACACCGAGCTGTTTCTAAAGGCTTCCTAACGTCCTGCCTTTCACCGTCCAGGCTTCAACAGCAATAGTCATTGATGACAATAACAATCCTTGAATTTGATATTGCGCCTGGTCACATTGTTGAGACAACACAAAGTGATTCACAGGGTTTTACTGTAAAGTGTAGTGACAGGGTAATGTGTGGTTGAACACAACAGCCAATTTGCACACAGCCGTATCGAGTCGTGCCGCGGGATCTTTAACAATCACCAGAACAGGCACAGGCAGGGCCTCTGACAACAACAACAACAGGATTTCATTTATAGAGCGCCTTTCACGTCGGGAGGACGTCCCAATGCAGCTGACAATGCCTCGTTCCTCCTGCACTGGAGCATCAGCATAGACTGAGCTCAAAGTCCTGTTGTGGGGGCTTGACTCTGCGGTGAGAGGCCGGCTAACACCACAATTGCTCAATTACCACATTTTTTTGAGGGATTATTAACCCCAGAAAGCAATCTGACAATCGACTAACAACCGTGTTCCTACTGACTGCTGGTAAACAGAGGCGCGTGGAGTAAGCAAGCTTGCGTAAGGTTTCATCCTGCCCGGGAATCGAACTTGGATCCTCTCGCTTGCAAGGAGAGTGCTCTAACTACGTTACAGGACTCTGGAGCCTGTGTTCTCACCTGACGGCCTCGGCCACACTGCTGGAGGTGTGACCGGAGAGAGCATCGTGCAGGTTCCGGATGAAGTAATCTCTGTAATCCTCCGGCAGAGCCATGAAGGTTCCCCCCATCACAATGAACTCCACCTTGTCCACAGTGTGTCCCAACTGCTTCAGCTACAGTGAGGAGAGAGACAACACTCAGCAGAGGAGAGAGGAGGTACCAAACAACAATCAATATCCTTACATTTGATACAGCACATCATTGAGACAAACCGGGCAAACACTATAGGTACCTTCTGTCAGACAATTTAAGGAGGGAATTTGATAGCTACATGTAATAATAATCATCCTTGCACTTGATTATAGCGCCTTACCACGTCATCAAGACATCTCAATGCGCTTCACAGGGTTTACTCTAAGATGTGGTGACTGTATTTTGTAGGCAAACGCGGCAGACAATTTGCACACGACGTGACCCACAATGAGTGACCTATTTTATCTGTCAGATTACTGGCCAAGTTATTGAGAGAGAGAAACTCACTTGTTTTTTTCGAATAGCGCAATAGGATCTTTAACAACCACCTGAACAGGCAGACAGGACTTTGGTTTAACGTCTCATCCAATGGATGTCACCTCCGATATTGCAGCGCTCCCCCAACTTTGCACTGGAATGTCAGCTTAGACTATATGAGTTGACAGTCGTGACGTATAGTTCACATACCTGCTCCACACGGTGCCTTGTCTGCAGGTAGGGGTCGTACCTGGCACGGATTGCTCTCATTGACGTTGGCTATTTGGAGACAATAAAGAGAGCAGCTTTATTCCCGGTATTCCTCAACCAGTGCACAGCGAACAACACATCCCTGGCAGCGAGATATTCAGGAACACTGGGAGAAACTCCTCTTTTTGAACAGCGCCAAGGGATTTTTAACATCCACCTGAACAGACGCAAACAGGCCTCTGCTTAATGTCACACCCGAAGGACGACACCTCCAACAATGCAACACTCCCCCACCCCAGCAATGTACTGGAGCGTCAGCCTAGACTGGGAGCTAAGGTGGGGTATGAACCCACAACTCTGTAACCCAGAGACAAGAGTGTGACTGACTGACACGAAGATAGGGGCAGCATTTTGTTGTTGGCGCTGCAGCCGGGGCGGGAGAAGATGTCAATGCAAGTGGACCGTAGCTTTAAACGACCAGTTACAAGATGCCAGCGGGGAGCAGCAAAGCCTGAGATGCGCACAGTCAGAAGTTTACCTCGTAGCCGGTGTACGACTGAGTAGAATATTCAAAGTCTGAGTCGGGGCCCCCAGGGCAGTAACTGCAATTAACAAGATACACCTTGTTCAGTGTCCGCCATATATAACCTGTTATGACTACAACAGTTACCCCAACACACACTCCAGGGCCCACAAGCCCTGGGTTTGCCAGCCTTCGCTTAATAATTAGAAAAGCAGGGTGCGTTCCTCCAGAGAGGAGGGTGAGGGGGAGAGAGAGAGAGAGAGAGAGGGGGGGAAGAGAGAGAGGAGGGATGGAGAGAGAGAGGAGGAGGGATGGAGAGAGAGAGAGTGGGGAGGGGAAGAGAGAGAGGGTGGGGAGGGAGAGAGGGTGGGGGGAGAGAGAGGGTGGGGGGAGAGAGGGTGGGGAAGAGAGAGAGAGAGAAGAGGGGGAAGAGGGGCGTAGAGAAAGAGTTAGTGAGAGTACAGTCTAGACACAGAGAAATTTCCATGTGTAGGTGATTGTATTTATATATCACTCTTCATGTGAGGTACAACAACAACAAAATTACATTTGTATAGCGCCTTTCATGTTGGGAGGACGTCCCAAGGTGCTGGGTAGCGTCTCACAGCATTGATACCGAGGTGGGCCAGACATGTGTGGAGCGCTCAGTCTGGTTTAGATACTCATAAGCATTGTGATGGGTTTACGCCTGTGTCAGACACCTGGCTGACCCAAAACAACAACAACAACAACAACAAGATTCCATTTATAGAGCGCCTTTCACGTCAGGAGGACGTCCCAAGGCGCTGCACAGTTGGGTCATGATCTATAGGGTAAGAAGGGGGTGAGAAAACCAAGATCTAAAGGTTCCCACGACATAAAGACCATCGCTGACACAATGTAAACCTGCCCTCGAGTTTCAGACGTGAGTGAGTGAAGGTCTCAGCCTGGCTGAGTCACGCCCTCACCTCTGGGCCAGAGATTGTGGGTCCAAGCCCCGTGTTAGAACTCAAGCTCACAGTCTGTCTCTAACAATAATAATCCTTCCATTTGTTCATTTAATATTAATGAACATGTATATTTAGAATATATACAATAACTATACTAAATACACACTTACTCTCTATTGAATAACAGGACTTACACGCATATGTTTCCTGTGAAGTTGATGTGAGGACATCTATGTGGTTTACACATCACGGCGACCACAGCAATCTAGCAACGGGAGGAAGTTAATAGGCAAGTATCAATATACAGCTCAGTAAATAAAACCACGGCTGATGTTCCAGTATAGTGCTGGGGTGGGAGGGGGGGGGCTGTATTGTCGGAGATACCATCGTTCAGATGGGAGGTTAAACCCAGGCCGGTCTGCCTGTTGGCTGTGTAGATGTGTGGGTTATTGCTGTTATTATCTGACTGGCTGTGTAGATGGGTTATTATTAATGGATTAATATTAATGTTATTAGCTGCTGGTTGTGCAGATTGGTCATTATTATTATTGTCGCTGTAATTACTCGCTGGCTGTGTAAATGTATAGATATATTAATGTTATTACCCACTGGCTGTGTAGTTTATTATTATTAATATTAATGTTATTACCCACTGGCTGTGTAGATAGTTTATTATTATTAATATTAATGTTATTACCCCACTGGCTGTGCGGATTGGCTTTGCTTTCAGTTTAGGCAGCAGCACCTTCCTGTACGCGGGTGGCACAGCTGCAATGATGTCCACCAGCCGAGGCTGTGAGGTCAGCCCGTATTTAGACGACGTCTTTGTTTTCAATCTGTAAATAAGTACAAGAAACCTGAGCCATCAGAAATGACCACAGACACACACACACACACACACACAGAGACAGACAGACAGACACACAGAGACACACACACACACAGAGACAGACAGACACACACACACACAGACACACATACACGGGCACAATTTAGCACCAACTGCCTCACCACGCATCTGACACCCCCCAACCACACACTGGAGCTGACCAACCCACTCACTCGAGGCCAACACTCACCACTCTCCCTCGGCATCTGACCGCCATTAACTCCCAACCCTTGCCCTGTGCTGATCGCCACTCCTGCAGCACAGTGACGACTGTCTACAAAGGATCCATCCTCATTGAGGGGAGGTAAGTGGGGTCTTCTCGGAGCTGAATTGGCTCCAAGCTGACGTGCCTGGAAACAGAACGGCGGAATCGAGCCCACCCTCTGTGACAGTCTCTAGTCCGGTTCCACAGTATTCCAGGGCACTGCCCAGTCTGGCTCATCGGCCGACCAGTTACTGGGGACAGAGAGAAATCCCACTCAGCTCCTGTTAACCCTGCAACCAAAAACCTAACGGGTAGGGTGGTCCTAGATGGATAAGCAGCGGGAAAGCTGGCCGGACGATGATATCAATGGCAAGCTGTGTGGTTTCAGCTGGTTAGGCCTCCAGCAGTTACCCCAACACACACTCTGGGGTCCCCAAGCCTCGGCTCTTGCCAAACTGCGCCTAATACTTTCCGGAATTAAGTAAGCAGGATGTGTCCCTCCAGGGAAAGCGTGCACGTTCCATTCCAACAATTATCTCAGGAATTTCCATGAGATGCTTGGAAATCTCAGCTTGGTTTGGATACTCTTAAGCACGGTGATGGGTTTCCCTGTGTATCAGTCACCCGCCTGGCTGGCCAAAAAAAGGAAACCACTGCCCCCTGAGGACAGAATGAATCGGAGTGGTCAAGAGGGAATCAGTGCGTCCCATCATTGGAGATGATGGATAATAGTACCTTCCTGGGTCATTGAGTTTCTGAGACTAGTGTCTCAGAATCCCAACCTCGAAAGTGTCTAACCATTATTTTTTAGGCTCCTCCACTCTCCCACCACCCCTCCCGCCACCCCTTACTGTAGGCCGGAGCTGCTGGTGAGCAATAAGGAAGGGGTCACGTGGTCTGGATACTGACTTGTTGAGGTTGACGTCCTTTCCCTCCTCGTGAGCTTCTATCAGCTGTTTGAGGACGTCCGCAATCGTCATCATCATCAACTCGGCGTGGCTGAGCCCCACTGACAGAGGTTAAAGATCACAGGTTACAACAGTACAAGAGGAGAACGCGACAGCCAATTTGCGCACAGGAATGTCCTACAATCAGCCGTGGAGTGAGTGGCCAATTCTATCTGGAGGATTGATGGCCAGGATACTGGGAGAAACTCCCTGCTCTACTCGAAAAGTGCCACGGGATCTTTAACATCTACCAGAACAATAACAAACAACAATTGCATTTTTATCCAGTAAATTGCGTTTATCTAACGCCTTTAACATTGAGAGGATATGAACAGGCAGACAGGCCTCAGTTTATCATCTCATCCCAAGCCCGGCAGCTCTGACACTGCGCTGTGAGTCAGTTTAGACAATATGAGTTCCAAGTCTTTGCGTAGGGTTTGAACCCACAACCTTCTGAGTCAGAGTCGAGAGTTCTGAGAACAATAAAAATCCTTGCCTTTGAAACAGCGCCTTCATTCCCATTGTGTCTCTTTCTCTAGCAATGTTTAAGACAAAACGCTATCCTGATAGCAGTCACCCGCCAGCCTTGGTGTCATCCTTGTAAACCCACATCGCCGCTATAGGGTAGAGACCAGAAATGCACTTCAAATGGGGAATTCAATGTGGATAAGTGTGAGGTGATACACTTAGGGAGGAAAAATCATAGGAGGCAATATAGACTTGGAGCTCAATCTTAAGGGCGGTGAACGTACAGAGAGATCTGGGGAGTGTCACATTATCTGAGATGCTGTCCTTCAGATGAGACATTAAAATGAGGTCCCGTCTGTACCTGTTCAGGTGGACGTTAAAGATCCCTTTGCATTATTCGAAAAGAGAAGGAGTTTTCTCTCTCCTGGTGGGTGCCCTGGTCCGCAATCCCCCAAATAAATTGGTCACTCACTCCATGATCGTTTGTGCGGCATTTCTGTGCGCCACTGCCTCCTACAAAATACACAGTCACCTCATTTTACAGTAAATCCTATGAAGCACATTGAGGTATCCTTCTGACTCTATGGTGTTATGCCAAATGCAAGGATTATTCTTTGCATAAAAAGGTTCTTGTTCGACCCTCAATTGTCCTTTCTCCTCCATATCCATGCCATGACCCGCTTTACCTTCCCCCACCTCTGCCACATTGCCCGACTCCGCCACTGCCTCACCTCTCACGTTGCCGAAACCCTCATAAATGCATTCGTCACCTCGAGGCTCAACTACGAAAACTTGAGTCATGTCGGCCTCCTCAACGCTTCCCTCCACAAGCTGCATATCATCCAGAACTCTGCAGCTCGTGTCTTCTCCCGCTCAGGCTCTGTGACCCCATCACTCTCACCCTCGACCGGCTTCAAAATCCTCGTCCTCACTTTCAAGGCCCACCATGGCCTTCCCCCTCCTACATTCTGACCTGCTGACCCCCTATCAACCTGCCTTTGGTCGCCAGGCTTTCAGCCTCTCTGCCCCCACCCTTTGAAACTCCATCCACAATGCCTCCCCCTCGCTCCCGCTCTTGCCTCCTTCAAGGCAGGACTCAAAACTCTCCTTTTCGACCATGCCTTCAGCCGCCCTCCTACACCCTCTGCCCTCCCTCGTCCCGCCCTGCCCCGCACTTTCGTGTCCTGATCCCTGGCTATTCAGCACCTTGGGACGTCCTCCCGACGTAAAAGGCGCTTTACAAATGTAATATTTGTAATACTTGTAACATTGCTGTAATATTTATACAAATCCAACATCCCCTTCTCACATACTTTTGGAGATGAAACTTGGCAGTCAATTCACCCACAGCAAAGTCCCAAAACAGCAGTTTACATTTATATAGTGCCTCTTACACAGGTTGGCATCTCAAGCGCTGATATGGCAAAGCCCGACATTGGGACAAGGGATGGGTGACCTTAAGCACTGTCAAAGACGAACGTCTTCAGGAGTGATCTGAAATGGGGAAGCAGGGGGCAAGGTGGAGGGATTGAGGGACAGTGTCAACAGAAATTTTGTGGCGTAGTGGTTGAAAGAACGTACGGCGATGGTGGACCAGAGGGCATAGGGACAAGCAGGAGGTTGGAGCCAGCCGAGTGGAGGCAGCGGGTGGTGAAGTGGGGAGAAAGCAGGTCCGGAGAGGGAAGGGGGTGCCAGGGCCTGAAGGGAATTGTAGACGAGCGAGAGGATCTTGAGGTCGAACCGTTCTGTGATAGGGACCCAGTGGAGCCTGGCGATTTAATATGGATGAGAATACAGGCAGTGGAGTTCAGAATGAGTTGTAGTTTGTGGAGAGCTGAGGAGAGGAGGGCATTGGAGTAGTTGAGGCAGGAGGTGACGAAGATGCGGACGAGGGTTTGGGCTCCGGTGGGGGTGACGTATGATCGGAGGAGGACAGTGTAACGTCCTGGTCAGAGACCGGATAATAATAACAATAATCCTTGCATTTAACATAGCGCCTTATCACTTCTTCTAGACGCCTCAAAGTGCTCCACACTTTGAATTTGTGGCTGAAACGCGGCAGCCATTTGCGCACAGCAGTGTCCCACAAACAGTCGTGGATTGAGTGATAATTCTTTTTTTTTTGAAGGGTTCATTAGCCCTGGAATACGGATCCGACGATTGACTTATCAGCTGGGTTCCTACTCACTGCTCGGTAAACAGAGGCCTTGTAATGCTGCAATGTTTAACAAGTTTAATACGTTTAACGAGCAGAACCTCAGTAAGTGGTTACCCTGCTGATCTGTACAATTCCACATCAATTTACTGAAGTTGAGAAAATATAAATAATTGCATTGTTAGCGCAACTAATTATTTGGTAAAGTTGCTCGGGCTGGCACTACCCAGAAACGGCAGCACCTTTTGTGAAGCTTGACAGGGCAAAACGCCAGTTGTCAGTGAGTCAGTACATAGGCTCCTTCACACAGAAAGCTGCCACATGGCATCGCCATCTGCAACAACAACGACTTGCACTTGTGTGGCGCTCCCCACGCAGGACAGCGCCTCAAGAGCGCTTAACAGTGGCGGAGCGTGACTCCGAGCCGGGAGGGGTGAAGGGGCACGTGGCCGTAAGCACAGTCGAAGAGGAACGTTTGCAGGTGGGACTTGAAAAAGGGGAGAGAGGGGGCAAGGCTTGAGGGAGAGTGTTCCAGAGTTTTGGAGCATAGTGGCTGAAAGCACCACCTCCGACGGTGGGGCGGAGGGTGTGATGGGCAAGGGAGAGGTCAGTGCCAGTCGAGCAGAGGCGCCTGGTGGTGGTTCGGGGAGTGAGGAGGTCAGAGGTAGGGAGCTGCCAGGGTTGAGAGGATCTTGAAGTCGATCGGTTCGGTGATGGAGAGCCAGTGGAGCCTGGGCCAGAGCTGGTGAGATGTGGGCACGTAGCTAACCACATGGCTAAGTGAGATGCATGGCATTCCCAGTGAAATGCCCAGTGCTGCTGGGATGACCGCCCTTCCCTCTGCACTGATGTGGGGGTGAAGCACAGCTGGAGTTGGGGCTGGGGTTGGGATTGGAGCTGGAGTTGGGGTTGGAGCTGGAGTTAGAGTTGGGGTTGGAGTTGGGGTTGGAGTTGGGGTTGAGGCTGGAGTTGGAGCTGGGGTTGGGATTGAGGTTGGAGTTGGGGTTGAGGCTGGAGTTGGAGCTGGAGTTGGAGCTGAGGATGGGGTTGGGGTTGAGGTTGGAGTTGGGACTGGGGATGGAGTTGGGGTTGGAGTTGAGGCTGAGTTGGGGTTGGGGCTGAGGCTGAAGTTGGGGCTGAGGATGGGGTTGGGGCTGAGGATGGGGTTGGGGCTGAGGATGGGGTTGGGGCTGAAGTTGGGGCTGAGGATGGGGTTGGGGCTGAGGATGGGGTTGGGGCTGGAGTTGGGGATGGAGTTGGGGATGGGGTTGGAGTTGGGGCTGAGGATGGGGCTCAGGTTGGAGTTGGGGTTGGAGTTGGGGAAGGGATTGGAGTTGGAGTTGGGGATGGAGTTGGGGATGGAATTGGGGCTGAGGATGGGGATGGGGCTCAAGTTGGAGTTGGGGTTGGAGTTAGAGTTGGGGTTGGGGTTGGGGATGGGGTTGGGGCTGAGGTTTGGGGATGGGGTTGGGGATGGGGTTGGAGTTGGGGATGGAGTTGGGGTTGAGGTTGGAGTTGGGATGGAGTTGGGGTTGAGGTTGGGGATGGAGTTGGGGTTGAGGTTAGGGATGGGGATGGGGCTGAGGTTTGGGGATGGGGTTGGGGTTGGAGTTGGGGATGTAGTTGGGGTTGGGGTTGGAGTTGGGGATGGAGTTGGGGTTGAGGTTGGAGTTGGGGATGGAGTTGGGGTTGAGGTTAGGGGATGGGGTTGAGGTTAGGGATGGGGATGGGGCTGAGGTTTGGGATGGGGTTGGGTTGGAGTTGGGATGTAGTTGGGGTTGGGGTTGGAGTTGGGGATGGAGTTGGGGTTGAGGTTGGAGTTGGGGATGGAGTTGGGGTTGAGGTTGGAGTTGGGGATGGAGTTGGGGTTGAGGTTGGAGTTGAGGTTGGAGTTGGGGATGGAGTTGGGGATGGAGTTGGCATTGAGGTTAGGGATGGGGTTGGGGATGGGCTTTGGGGATGGGGTTGAAGTTGGAGTTGGGGTTGAGGTTGGGGTTGGAGTTGGGGTTGAGGTTGGAGTTGAGGTTGGAGTTGGGGTTGAGGTTGGGTTGAGGTTGGGGTTGAGGTTGGAGTTGGGGTTGAGGTTGGGGTTGAGGTTGGGGTTGAGGATGAGGTTAGGGATGGGGGTGGGGGGGGGGGGGGTGGCGGTCGGGCCGGACGCGGCCCGGGGGAGCTGTGAGTCCGGCCCAGCGCGGGGTTGGCCTCGGGGCCGCTCTCACTCACCTTTTTTCTTCTGTTTCACCATATTGGCGGCCTCGCGGGCTGTGCACTTGCCTTAGCAACCGGAACCTGCCCCTAGCAACCGACCCCGCCGCAAACCTGCTCCCGCGGCACTGTCGCAAAACCCCACAACTGCGCGTGCGCACCTACCGGGGCGGCAATGTGGGGGGATTGGGCGGCTTTCACGCCCAATTGGGCGGGTTTTTGTTGGGTTGGGCGGGAAGGGATGGCTTTGCCTATTATTTTCAAATTGAAACCTGCAAAAGTGTTTTTCTTCCACAATGAAGACCTTCTCTTACAGTTTCTGAAGCACTAACCCAAACCGGCCACTCCGCAATGCTTGTCACTTGGCTATTTTGGGGGTGGTGTTTGGTGAACTTTGGGCTACAAACGTGTTTTAATTGCTGGCAATTAAAATTTGTAAGAAACATTTTAAATATAAGCGGGAAAGCTGGTCAGACAGTGAGATCAATGGCAAGCTGTGCGGTCTTAGCTGGTTAGACTCCAGCAGTTACCCCACAACTCACACTCTGGGGCCACCAAGCCTTCGCTCTTGCCAACCTGCGCCTAATACTCCTCGGAATTAGGTAATCAGGATATGTTCCTCCAGGGAGAGAGCGCATTCCATTCCCACAATCTCTCTCTGGGATTTCCATGTGGAGGTGGGATGCATGGAATTCTCAGCTTGATTTGGAGACTCTTAAACACTTTGATGGGTTTCAAAAAAAATCCTGGCCACCCTGGAGTGTTCCCACACTCTGGAACTCCATCCCACGGTCCCTTCGCCTCGCTTCCTCCCTTACCTCCTTCATGGCCGGTCTCAAGAGCCTTCCCTTTGATCGTGCCTTCCCTCACCCCTATCCCACCCCTCCCCTCGGGTGCTCGGGCCCCGACACCTGACTGTTCAGCGCTTTGAGACGTCCTCTCGATGTGTAGTTTTGTTGTTGTTTTTAAGCAAGAGCAAAACCCAATATAAAGAGGCATTTTGTTTTGCTAAGTAATTTTAATTTTTTTAATTTTTAAAAAACTTTATTAATTCCACATTGTTTTTTCATCAACCAGTTGTCTCATACACATGGAAGGAAGCCCCATCACTGTGCTTAAGCGCCTTGGGACGTCCTCCCGACGTGAAAGGCGCTATACAAATGTAACCTTGTTGTTGTTGTTAGGTCTTCAAGCCTCAAGCCTAATAATAATCATTGCATTTGGAATAGCTCCTTTCAGTTCGGGAGGATGTCCCAAAGCGCTTCACAGGATTTACAGTGAAGTGGAGTGACTGTGTATTTGTGGGCAAACGCAGCAGACAATTTACACACAGCAGTGTACCATAAATAGTCACGGAGCGAGTGACCAATTTTATTTTGTGGGATTGTTGCGCGCTACACCAGGAGAGAGAAACTCCCTTCTCTTTTCGAATTGTGCCGCTGATTTTTAACATCCACCTGAACAGGCACAGACGGCACCTCGGTTTAGTGTCTCACCCAAAGGATGGCACAACAAACCAAACTACTGTTAAGCCAAACTCTCGTCCACTATGTATGATTTATCTTTGTCTGGAATATTTGTGTGCACTCTTTTCCAAGAGAGTGAATTTCCATGTCAAGTGACTGTGCCTTAGGGAAGCAAACTTGCTTGCTATGTAGTGCCCAACGAAAGGTCCTGAGAGAAATCTGTGACACAAAATTATCTGGAGAATTGTTGTCCAGGACCCGGGGAGAAACTCTTTTCTGTTGCAACCCTAACCCCACACCCAGTCTGTGTTTTTCCGGATCCCATTTGTGATTCCAGCCACAACACAAAAGCGTGCTCTAAATTCTTGTCCCGTTCGTTTAGATAAGAATTTAGTAAGAATAGAATTTCCACACATTTTAAATAAAAAATTGAGGAGATTTAGGAAGTTCAGTCCTGGCTCTCCTTGCTCTGGTCCTCCCCAGAGACAGCCCACTGTCCTCTTGTCAGTCCAGCTCAGACTCTCCACAGGTTACTGTGCCCGGACGATAGTGAGGCCCCAGTCAGCACTGTGTATCTGCACAGAATGGCTTTACTCTTCGTCTGACCCTTTCTCCGACTCAGGCACTCGCCAGTGATGACCCTCAAACTGCGGAGAAGCTGGAGGAAAGGGGGAAGAGGGGAACAGAAAAAATATTATAGAAAGATTTGAAAGATACTTTGGCCCAGGAGGGGGTCCAACACAAATTCAGAATGGTACCATGGCTTCAAGGGTTGAATTGTGAGGACAGGTTGCATAAACTTGGTCTGTCTTTCCTTGAGTTTAGAAGGTTGAAGGGTGATCTGATTGAGATGTTTAAAATGATAAAGAGATTCAACAAAGTAGCTACAGAGAAACTATTTCCTCTGGTGAGGGACAAAATTAGAGCAAGGCAATTCAGGAGTGAAATCAAGTAGTACTTTTTCACCCAACGGGTAATGGCTATCAGGAACTCTCTCCCCCAAAAGGCTATGGAAGCTGGTAAAAGTATCAAGGGATATTGGGAAAAGGTGGGTTGAGGTACAGATCAGCCATGATCTAATAGTATGGCGGAACAGACTTGTGGCGCTGAAGGGGCTCCAGTTGTTTTTTAAATGAGTCCCAGTTCCTGACCTCAACCATCCTTCCTGGCCACACTGTTCCAGCCGTTAATTACCTTATGAGTAAAAAAAATCTTCCTGGCGTCTGCCCTTAAATGGTCAGTTCAGTGGGGAGTTAACACCATCAACCACAACTTGCATTTATATAGTGTCCTTCATGCCAGCGTCTCAGAGCGAAAAACAATAGCGGAGTTTAACCGAGCCAGGGAGAAAAGGGAGGTAACTGTGGGCATGGTCAAAGAGGAAGAGGAAAGATGGGTGAGGGGGTGGAATTGAGGCAGAGAGAGGTCCAGCGCTAGCATGATGGGAAAAGAGCAGCTATTAAAGTAGAGAACTGCAGTGGGACTAACTCCAGTGAATGGCCTCCCCAACCCCACCCCAATGCAGTAAGCATTCTTGGCATTTCTGGTGGATCTATCAATCAGGAGAGTGCTGACAGATAAGTCTGGGATTCCCTTTATCCCCCAGCACATCTAGTTGAAGTCCCTGGGCCTTGAGTGGAGAAGGATAGAGAGACGTGTGGTGTGATAAGAACTGCCTGCAGTGGTACTCACAAACTGAGCTCCTCTGAATGTGCAGTGAAACGCTCTCCCCTTTCGCCCCAACCCTCGCTGCCCCGACTCGCACGGGGCCTGGTCTGACTCCAGCGTTCCACTCAGCCCTGCCGGCCAGTGCCTTGGCCGTGTCCCGGGACACAGGGTAACCTGCTGAACCGTGGCCTGCCCAGTGTGGGCGGACAGGACCCCTCTGTCCTGAGGCAAAGTCGAGGGACATAGACATCTGAGAACAAAGTCCAAGCAACAAACAGAGCACAATCAGAAGCTTGTGACCCCAGAAAATATTGCAACAGTGAGGCCTTGGCATTTCACACTGGATTATCATTTCAAGCGTTCTCCATTTCTAGCGCTCTGGGACGCTACCCTGCGTGAGGGGTGATATATAAATGCAAGCTGTTGTTGGATTGTCATAGAATCATCATAGAATCATAGAAATTCTCCCTAAAACTGCGGGTTACTATGTGCAGTAACAGCAAAACACCACAAGGTGGGACGCATACACCTCGATTGGTTCATCACAGCTTCTGAGGCAAACGACGCTTTATGTACCAGTTTCTGAGTTTCGAGTTGCACTGAAGTGACAGAATTGACAACCAGCTGTGAAAGGTGTCAGAAGGTCGTGGATTCAAGTCCCAATAGAATTATTACAACAGCAATAAATTGCATTTACATAGCACCCTTCACGCGGGTAGTGTCTCGGAGCGCTTCACAGTGGCACAGCTTGGCACAAAGCCAGAGGTAGAGTGGAGGTGACTGTATGGTCAAAGAAGGTTATTCAATGCGATTGAAGATATGAGGCCGAGGGACAAGTAGAAGGCCCGAGCCAGCTGAGTGAAGGGTAGTGGAATGAGGTGTAAGCAGATCAGAGCGGTAGGGAGGTGCCAGGGTGTAAACTATAAATAATATAATAATCCTTGCATTTGATATAGCGCTTTTCACGTCTTCTAGACGTCTCAAAGCGCTTTACAGAATATACTCTAAAGTGAATTGACTGTATATTTGTGGGCGAATCGCAGCAGCCAATTGTGCACAGCAGCGTCCCACAAGCAGTCGTGGATTAAAGTGACCAATCTATTTTTGTTTGTTTTTCCTGAGGATTATTATCAGGCGTGTGGAGTAAGGAAACCTACCCAAGGTTTCGCCCTGCTGGGAATCGAACACAGGTCTCTCGTTTGCAAGGCAAGTGCTCTAACCACTGAGCTACGGGACTTCTAAAATTGATTTATAAGTGAGGATCTTGAAATCAACCTGTTCTGTGACAGAGAGACAGTGGAACCTGGCAGGACTAGGGTGATGAATGCGTGAATGAGGGTTTTAGCTGCATTGGGTGTGAGGTATGGTCGGAGGTTAGCAATGTGGCAGAGTTAGAGGAGAGCAGTCCTGGTCAGGGATTGAATGTGGGGTAGGAGGTGGGATAATGTGGGATATTATTTATTTATTAATGCAGAGGCCCCTAGTATTGAAAACAAAAACAGACGTCACTGGGAACATTCAGCAGATCAGGCAGCATCTACGGAGAAAGGAAAGTGAGTAAATGTTTCGGGTCCACGACCCTTCGTACAAGCTGCCCTCAGCTCCCCTTTGTCTGACGTGCTGAGTGTCCCCAGCAACTTCTGTTTTTGTTTTCAGATTTCCAGCTTCTGCAGTATTTTGCGTTTTGCTCCTTAGTCCCTCCGTCTCGCCCCTTCCCTCGCCTCCTTCAAGACCCTCCTCTTCGACCGTGCTTTCTACCTCCCTGCTTCTCCACCCTGACCCCCAGCTCAGGTCCGTAACTCTGTCTATCCAGCGCCTTGGGACATCCTCCCGACGTGAAAGGCGTTATACATATGTAATTTTGTTGTTGTTGTTGCAGTATTGGGCTGGAGTGTCAGCCTGGACTGTGAGCTCAAGTCCCATCATGGGGCTCACACCCACAACCTTGCGCCGCAGAGCTAAGAGCTACCACCTGAGCCAAGCTAACGACACACTACCCTTTCTCCAGCTCCATCCTCTCCAGCTGTAATATTCAGTAACAGAACACGTCATGTTGGACAACACAAAGCCAATGGTGATCTTACCAGTGATTTCACTTTCCGCATTTTGTAGTTTGGTGAAGACAGGCGTTGCTTCCGTTCATATGCCTGCTGGCTGAGGTCAGGGGTCAACCCACCTCCTTTTTTTCTCCTGGAGACATATCATAAACAGCATGAATTCAGAGCACAATACGGGGAATAGTCCAGATTAATGCCGTTGTCCCTGTGATTCTGCACAAGCACTAGTCAGGTTCAAGCTGCCCTCGTCTCTCAGTGTACTCCTGACACCCTGGTCTAGAATCATAGAATCTTACAGCAAAGAAGGCCATTCAGCACATCGTTCCTGTGCCGGTTCTTTGAAAGAGCTATTCAACTTGTCACACTCCCCCGCTCTTACCCCATAGCCAATTTTTTCCTTTTAAAGTACCTATCCAATTCCGATTCTCTTTTGAAAGCTATTAGCGAATCTGCTTCACTACCCTTTCAGGCAGTGCATTCCAGTCCGTAACAATTCTATCAATCTTACAATTCACTAATCGTCCCAATTTACCGAGCTTCGGCCTGCTTCATGTTCCCCCGACCTGTCTGCCTCACCATCGGCTATCGGGCTTTCAGCCACTTAAAACTCCATCTCGGAGTCCTTCTGACTGGCTTCCTCCTTCACCTAGACATAGAGATTTACAGCAAATAAGAAGGCCATTCCGCCCATCGTGTCTATGCCGGCTCCCTTGAGAGCAATCCTTTCAATCGCATTTATCCAAACCCCTGTAAATGGGTTCAAGCAACGTCAGAAAATGTATCCTTTCGACCCCCTTTTTCAGTCACATTTCCCCTCCCTCCCCCCTTCCCTCCCTCCCTCGGTCTCCACCCCAGCTCGGGTGCCCATCCAGCATCGTTAAGCACTTTAAGACACCCTCCAGATGTGAAAGCCGCTGTATAAAATATATATTTAATATCAAATTGCACAGCGGGTGGTTGGACAAGGGGGGAGGGGGAAGAAAGGGAGGGGGGAAGGAGGGAGGGAGGGGAAGGGGTGAGGGAGGGGGAAACCTCTGGGATGGAGTTTGAATTCCCAGTGTACATGCCTTGTGTTGAGCACTCAGCCTAAAAACAGAAAAAGCCAAAAAGAACACAGCGAGCCCAGGGTAAAATCAGATTTCCTGCAGAATTCCTCCGCGAATGAGGACAGTTAAGTGACCCCCCCCAAGAGAGGCTGAGCCTTGACCACATGAGCCTCTTGGTAACTTCTCCGCTGTTGTAACAAGGACTCACAGTTTACTTGCAGTTTCCCCCAACACCTTTGGTTTGTAACCCAACAAGAGCAGCTTACGCTTGTCTGGCTTGCTCTATGGGATCGTAGTTGTCCAGGTAATTGAATCGTATGGTATCAGTGGGGTGTCTGTCTGATCCTCGCCAGGGTGGCAACTCCCGCTTCGCTCTCCCAGATGGGGTTCGAGACCCCGGTGCCGGGGATGGCTTGTGCTCCAGGGGTTCCTTAGGCAGCGGCTGGACATCAGCAACCACAAAATCATCCTTCGGAGGCGTCTGGGAGCAGGAGAGATGATTAATGAACATGGAGGAGGCCATTCAGCCTATTACACTGTCGTAGTCAGTTGAGACTTTGAAAAAAGACTGGACACACGGTCCTTAAGCCAATCAGATCACATCCCTCCACAATACAACAACAACAAAATTACATTTGTATAGCACCTTTCACGTTGGGAGGACATCCCACTGAATAAAGAAAAACTGAAGGACAATTTCAGGACAGACACCAGGAAGTTTTTCTTTATTCAGTAGATAATTAACAACTGGAATAGTTTGCCAGGAAATGTGGTTGAGGCCTGAGCACTGGGACTCATTTAAAAAATGCTTTGATACTGTGAAGGGAGGACGTTATAGTGGGACATCAAGACCTGGATGAGAACTAACTTTCTTCAATTGAACCTATGTCCTCTTGTTTTATTGTCCTGGTTCATCCAGTACAATAAAACAAGTCTTGATCTGGGTTTACTTTTTCAATCCCATTTAAAATTATATACATCTCTGTAGCATCTCCTCTGAGTTGTCTTCTCTCAAGACTGAAGAGCAAGTTATGCTGTTTTAGCTGGTTAGACTCTACCAGTTTCCCCAATGTACACTCTTGCCAACCTCCGCTAATACTTTACGGAATTAGGTAAGCAGGATGCCACCCTCCAGGGAGAGAGAGCGTATTCCACTCCAACAATCTATCTCTGGGATTTCCACATTTTGGTGGGATGCATGGAATTCTCAGTTTGGTTTGGAGACTCTCAAGCACAGTGATGGGTTTCTGCCTGTGTCACATACCCGGATGATCAAAAAAAAGAGTCCAGAGCCCTAATTTATCTAATCTTTGCTCATAGAAATTGAATACCCTTAACTTGTCTAATGGTGCACATCTGCTACCAACCTTTGGCTTGGTGACGTTCAGCTCCCTCACCATCTCGATGTAATGCCTCTTCCAGATCCCCTGCTCAAAGGGAGTGGGTGGGAAGTTGATGTACCAGCCCAGCCTCACACACTTGGGCATCCACAGCTGGTCCAGCTCACACAAGTGCTTCCAGTTCCAGCTGACCTGAGCAACAGAGACATAGCTTATTAACAGCAAGCATGACAAACGGGCATTAGTGCAGAAGATATATATGTCTGGTTGCTGCGTGCATTGGTCTACATACCCATAGCAAGATCACAAGCATTCTGCGACATCCTCCCAAAGTGAAAGGCTTATATAAATGTGCATTGTATCACCTGAAAGGGATGGATGAAGAAACTCATCTGAACTCAACCTCCCAGAATACCCACCCTCCCATCAGACTGTAGTATCAGACTGTGTCCTACCTCAACCACCACTTTCTGTAACTCAGTTTCTCTCTGTATAAAGAAATACTTCAGTGCCTTTGTACGTCCTCCTGATCTGAAAGGCGCTATATAAATGCAATTTGTTGTTTACTTGTTGATGCCTTAACTGAATCCTGCTCGTCCTGTCCTGCTGTCCAAGGTATATCTTGGAATCTAGGGACGTAGGAAACAGAAGAAAGCCATTTGGTCCATTGAACATGGGGGAGGGGAGGGGAGGAGTGTTTCAAAGTGCTTCACATTATTTATTGTAAAGTGTAGTGATTGTGGATCTTGTAAGGGGGCTCATTTGCCCACAGCAATGTCCCACAAATTTATTCAGGAATGTTGGCCAGGACACCAGGAGAAACTCTCTCCTCTCCGAATAGTGCCACAGGGGCTTTATGTCCACCTGAACAAGCAGACAGGACCTCGGTTTAATGTCTCATCCAAAGGACGGAACTTTCCAACAATGTGCCACTCCCCCATTCTTGCTTTATCCAGGTCTCTCTTAAGTACGGTATCCTGATTAATTCTACATCTATAACTTTCTGGAGCAGGGTATCGGCATTGCCACGCCACACCCCCATCTCAAGGCTGACATCTCAGCAAATGAGTCATAATATAATACTAATCGTTGAAACGTCTCAAAGCGCTTCACAGAATATACTATGAAGTGAATTGACTGCATATTTTGTGGGCGAAACGCATAAAATGATATGCATCAGATAATATCATATGGGCAGGCAAATGAGATTAAAAAAATGTGATGAAATGTAATAATCTGGCTCCGAGGGCTGAATGGCCCCATCTTGTCCCCGTGCTCATGGTTAAAATAGCAATGTGTGTAAGGATTCAGTTTCAACCTATGACATAATAGTAATAATAATCCTTGCACTCGATATAGAGCTTCATCAAAACAATAACTTGCACTTATGAAGTGCCCTCAACACACAGCAGCGTCTCAGAGCGCTTAACAGTGGCGGAACCTGACTCTGAACCGGGGAGGGGGAGGTGGCCATAAGCATGGTCGAACAGGAAGGTTTCCATGAGGCGGAGGGTGGGGCGGAGGGTGCCAGGGACGAGTAGGAGCCGATGCCAGTTGAGCGGAGGATTGGGGAGTGAGGAGGTCGGAGAGGTAGGGAGGTGCCAGAGTGAAGGGATTTGAACATGAATGTGAGGATCTTAAAGTTGATCCGTTCGGTGATGGGGAGCCAGTAGAGGCTGGGCCAGAGCTGGTGAGATGGGGGTACAGAGTTTGGTCCGGGTCAATATGCAAAGAAGTATCACATCTTCGAGAAGTTAGGACTTTTCCCATTAGAGCAGAGAAGGTTACGCGGGGACCTGTTAGAGGTCTTCAAGATCATGAAAGGTTTCGACAGGCGAGATAGGGACAAGCTGTTTCCGCTGGTCAGTGTGTCTGTGACCCGTGGTCACAGTCTGAAGATATCTACCAAAAGAAGCAGAGGGGAGGGTTAGAAGAAATGTTTTCACTCAGCGAGTTGTTGGAATTTGGAATGATCCGCCCGAAAGGGCAGTGAAGTCCGATTCGATAACAGCTTTTAAGAGAGAACTGGACAGGTATCGGGGAAGACGGGTTTGTGGGGTTATGGGGAAAAAGCTGGTGATTGGGGTCAGTGAAAGTGACGCTCTGTCAGAGAGCCGCACAGACTCGATGGGCCGAATGGCCTCCTTCTGTGCCGTAACATTCTATGGTTCTATGCCTCAAAGCGCTTCACAGAATATATTGTAAAATGAATTGACTGTTATTTTATGGGCGAAACGTAGCAACAAATTAGCGCACAGAAGTGTCATTCAAATACTCGTGGATTGAGAGACCAATCTATTATTATTATTGTTTTTAAACAGAGGCGTGGAGTAAGGAAACCTACCTAATGTTTCGCCCAGCCCGGGAATCAAATCCAAGTCACGCTTGCGAGGCAAGTGCACAAGCCATTAAGCTACAGGACTCCACACGGAGCCTTACCTGTGCACAGCGGCAAAGGCTCCTAGGATCCAGGAAGGAGAAGATGTACAAAGACAGCACTCGGGGGAGGAAAGAGGCCAGGTCCACAGCCTCGGCAGGTACTCTGCTCCACAGCTGCTGCTGGCAGAACCTCAACTGTGACAGTGAGCATCTCTCAAACAGGCCCAGCAGGATCCTGCGGCGCTGATTGTCCGTCCACTTGTCAAACTGAAAATAATAACAAGAATTCTTTCAATTAACACAATGCCTTATCATGTCATCAAGATATCTCACAGGGTTTCACAGGACGTACCAGAAAGTGGTGGGACAGTGTGCATTCTGTGGTCAAGATATGAAGCGGGTTTTATTTCATAAAATGTACAAAATCACAGTTATATTTATGTAGCACCTTTCACATCTGGAGGACACTTCAAAGAGCTGATTGGTAAAGTATAATAATCTTTGCATTCTTTGCACACCGACTTTCACGTCAGGAGGACATCCTAAAGCGCTTCATGGGATATACCATAAAGTGGAGTGACTGTGTGTTCTGTAGCCCGTTCTGCCCCCTCTATGTCCAAGTCCTGCTGATAAACCAGTCTGATCTGGCATCAGTGGTGTCTTTACGTACTGCAGACCAGTTTGGTTCGGGAACAGGACTACAGAGGGTCGACCCGATTCTGATTTCCCATTGCCACGCAAGTCACCTCCTGATTGTGGGACCTTGATGAATACAACATGACTGCTGGGTTTGCGAATCATATTTCACAGCATATATTGTAAAGTGCTTTGAGATATTTTGACATGATTAGGTGGTTTAAAAATCTATGTTGTTTCTTTCCCTATGGGTGATGGGCTCTTTTGGCAGAGGTTAAAAGAATTGTGGAGTCCTGTAGCTCAGTGGTTAGAGCACTCGCTTTGCAAGCAAGACACCTGGGTTCAATTCCAGGCAGAGGGTGAAACCTTGGGCAAGTTTCCTTACTCCACACAGAGCCTAATAATAATCCCTCCAAAAACAATAATAAATTGGTCATTATCAATCTACGACTGTTTGGGACATTGCTGTGCGCAAATTGGCTGCCGCGTTCGCCCACAAATATACAGTCAATTCACTTTACAGTGTGTTCTGTGAAGCGCTTTGGGACGTCCTCCTGACGTGAAAAGCGCTATATCAAATGCAAGGATTATTATTATTATTATAATTGTTTGATTATTTTCAAATGTTCACAAGAACAGTCTGGCCCAATGTCACAACTCCAGAACACCCCACAATCTCCCCATCTCAGCATCAAGCTGCTTCTCAAATGAGTCCAGTGTGCTGGCCTCAACCTTCTTTACAACCCGTTCAAGTCGTTAATTACCCTCTGAGTAAAGCAAACTTTCTGCCTGAAATTGCCTTTTGCAACTTCAATCCTATATCCTCTTCTACGGTATTGTTCCAGCGCCTTGGGACGTCCTCCCGACGTGAAAGGCGCTATACAAATGTAACCTTGTTGTTGTTTCATCCTAACGTATTGATCTTTTTCAGTCTCCTTCGAGCAGGGTCTCCAACCAGTTGATCGTCACTAGATGGAGCTCTCGTGTAAGATAATAATAATCCTTGCATTTGATATAGTATTTTTCACGTCTTCTCGACGTCTCAAAGCGCTTCACAGAATATACCGTAAAGTGAATTGACTGTATATTTGTGGGCGAAACGCAGCAGCCAATTGCGCACAGTATTGTCACACAAACAGTCATGGATTGAAGTGACCAATTTATTATTGTTTTTTTTCAGGGGTGTGGAGTAAGGAAACTTGCACAAGGTTTTGCCCTGGAATCCAACGCAGTTCTCTCGCTTGCGAGGCGAGTGCTCTAACCACTGAGCTAAGGACTCCACAGATCCAAGATTAAGAAGACAGAATATATCCTGACGTGCAGCAAACCTCCAGTGTTTGGTAACCGTGCCCAGCCCAGGGGAACTCAGCTCCCTGTGAAGCTGCTCACATTACAGTTATCCTCAGAGAAAGCCAATTGTCCCTAGATAAACCTTCCATTTCCCTCACATCTGCCTTTGTGGTCTTTCACTGGGAAACCGTCCAGCACTGCCAATTACTAGTGAATCCTGTGGACTTTTGTGCTGCAGATACAGCCTGCCTGAACTTATCCCCGTTAGGTTTATAACATGCAAGACACAATGAGAGAGACACACAAACACACAGGGTACACAATATCCAGCATGCCTTTGTGATTTGCCTTTAAAGCCCTCCATAGCCTTGCTCCTCCCTACCTCTGTGACCTGGTAACTCCATAGAGACCTGTCCGCTCCCTCTGTTCAGCGGCTCTGGAAGAAGGAGGGAGCAAGTACTTGCATTTTGTATTGAATTGCCTGAACGTGCCTCACAGAAATTACTGCAGTAACTGTTCTTTGTAAGTAAACACGGCAGTCATTTTACATAAAGTCCCAAATACTGCTGAGAGCACTCCGAGCCACCACCCTGCTATATAAATACAAGTGGTTGTTGTTTGTTGTATATTCTGTGACGCGCTTTAAGATTTCTCGACAATGTGATAAGGCGCGATACCAAATCCAACGATTATTATAAATGACTTTAGTTGCCTTTAGGTACCTTGGAGCCTTTTCAAAGCCTTTTAAGCCTCTAAGCATCAGTTTGACAGTAATTACTGATGAAGCACTTTGAGTTATTTCCCAGCAATAAGCTGCTGAGATCAATTGGATAATGACAATGGATAAGCCAGGACTTTAGTGCTCACTTCTCCCTGTGATTATCTACCTTTAACCTGGTGTCAGTAGGTAGGAATGGAGCAGATACTTATACACTGACACTTTAGTGCAGTGTTGGGGAGGCGCTGCATTGTCAGAGGCACCGTCCTTCAGAGGCCACATGACAGGCTGCCAAAGGATGAGATCACTCCGTAGGAGACTTGTACCATACAGCAGAGAAAGCAGAGCCTGGACAGTGGAAACACTGAAAAGCAGCAGCCCTCTCGCTTAGACTAATGAATGGCCCTGCAGCTTGCAGGCACCCGAGAGTCCAGGGAGAGGAGCAATTGAGAGGAGTAGAAACCACAAGTGAGAGCACAGTCTAATAATAATATTAATATTCCTTGCATTTAATATAATGCCTATTCAAGTCATTGAGATGTCCCAAAGTGCTTCACAGAATATACTTTAAAGTAGATTGACCATATAGTCTTTGGGGCGAAACACTCCAGGCAATTGCACATAGCAGTGTCTCACAAACAGTCGTTGATTAAGTGACCAAATTATTACTTTTTTTGGAAGGGATTATTATCCCCAGGTTCATACTTTCTACTTAATGCTGGGTAAACAGAGATATGTGGAATAAGGAAACTTGCCTAAGGTTTTGCCCTACCCAGGAATCAAACCCGGATCCTCTCGCTTGTGAGACAAGTGCTCTAAACAATACGCTTTCTATTTACTGCTAAATAACCAGAGGTGTATGGAATAAGGAAACTTGCATACATACTACCTAGCAGTAAGTAAGCAGTAAGTAGGAACCCTGTTGTTAGTCAATTGGCGGATCGCTTTTCCGGGGTAATAATTCCTTCATAAAAAATTATAATTTGGTGACTTAGATCCATCACTGTTTGTGAGAGACTGCTGTGTGCAATTGGCTGCCGCGTTTCTCCCACAAAATACCCAGTCAATTCACTTTACAATGTATCCTGTGAAGCACTTTAAGAAGTCTCGAAGATGTGATGAGGCACTACAACAACAACAACAACAAGATTGCATTTATAGAGCGCCTTTCACGTCGGGAGGACGTCCCAAGGCCCTGGACAGTTGGGTCGGGACCCGAGCATTGGGGGGAAACGATCAGGGTGAGGGAGGGAAGGGAGGGAGCGAGGAGGGGGTCGAGAGTCGAGAAGGGAGCTGAAGGCACTATATCAAATGCAAGGATTATTATTACACTACAGGACTCCACAGTATAGAGGGGATTCAAATTGGCTTGTAGTTGGCTCCAAGGTGATATGTTTGAGATTGGGATCTCAGAATTAAGTCAATGCTCTGTGGTGGATTTGCTGATGACAGATCAGCAAGTCTGGCTCATCGGCAAGAACTGGAAGGGTAGACCAGTCACTGGAGGCAGGGTCATCCCACTCAGCTCTGGTTACAACCTACAACCAAAACCCTAACGGAAAGGCAGAGACACACTTACACAGACATACAGAGAGGGTGGTCCTAGCTGGACAAGCAGTGGGAACTTGGCACACTGTGCTATGAATGGCAAGCTATGCGGTTTTAGCTGGTTTAAGCTCTAGCAGTTACCCCAATGGAAACTCTGAGGTCCCCAGCCTTGGCCCTCGCCAACGTACGCGTTATTTGCTGTAGAATTAGGTAGACAGGTCGTGCCACTCCCCTCCCCCCTCCCCATTTCATTTCAGACACAGAGGAATGTCCATGTTTATGTGTCAGACATGTGTAGAACTCTCAGGATGATAGGTTTCCGCATGTGTCAGACACCTGGCTGACCAAAATAAAGTGTAGAAATGAACAGCCAAAATTGACTATTCGGTGAATATTCTGAGTGTGAGACAGCTGGGCAACCCTGGTGGTCACTCATACTCAGGATTTCCACCAAGCAGTCAATTTGGTTTTACAAAAATTGTCCAACATAATCTCATAAAGTTCACGTTAAAATATTTTGTCTATAAAATAACCAACTGTTCCTTCTTACCCATTTGCCGAGTAATTCTCCTCTTTCTTCAAACACCTAGGAGAGGGAGAAAAAAGAAAAGCTGAGAAACACAATCAAGGTTTGTGAAGCGTTGCGTTGTTCATGCAGGATGACAAGAGTCTGAGGCTTGGTCTATTGTGTGAGGCTGGCTCAGTTGGTAGCACTCTCGTCTCTGAGTCTCAAAGTTATAGGTTCAAGTTCTCGTTGGGTCTTGGAACTTATAGTCTAAGATGACACTACTATGCAATGCTGCTGGTGTTCTATTCAGGGTATTATCGCCAGGACACAAGAAAAAAATGCCCTTCTCTTTTCAAATAGTGCTGTGCAGGCAGGCAGGATCTCGGTTTAGCGTCTCATCCGAAGGAAGGCATCTCCAACAATGCAACACACCCCAGCTCTGCATTGGGAGAGTCAGCTTAGATGATGTGGTTCCAAATCTTAATATGGGGCTTGCGCCCACAACCCTCTGACTCTAAGGTGAGAATGCTACCGCTGAGCCAGGCTGACACATAAGATATAATAATAATCCTTGTAATTGATATAGTGCCTTTCACATCGTCGAGATGTCTCAAGGTGCTTCATAGAACATACTGTAAAGTGGATTAACTGTGTATTTTGTAAGCAAATGCGGCAGCCAGTTAAGCACAGCAATGTCGCACAAACAGCCACGGAGTGAGTGACCAGTTTTATTTTGGGGGATTGTTGATCAGGACGAAACTCCCTTCTCTGGCAGAGAGAGCGACACGTACACACAAACAAACAGAGAGAGAGCTAGAGAGAGAAAGAAATACACACATAAATACAATAACAACTGTAGAGACCTCCATGCAGGAAAAAGCAGAGACCCACAGCAACCCTTGCCTTGTCATTAGTGGGCTGGTGGTTCAGCGGTGTCCATGTGCTCATCTTTGTCTGCATTTTGGGGCCATTCATGATCTTGGATGGAGCAAAGGCCATTTTTCAGTCAGGTGCTCTTCCCCTCAATGTTGGGTTTCTGGAGTCACTTCATTCAAACCTGTCACCAACAGTGATCAAAATTTTCATCTTTCTACATAAAAACAATACAATCTACAAATTGACATTTATCTAACGCCTTTCACATCGGGAGGATGATCCAAGGAGCTTGAGAGTCCTGGCTTAGCCCCCAAGCTGGGGGTGGGAGCCGAGAGGGATGGGGAGGGGAAAGATAACTGTGATTTGGGAAAATGGGTAGATGGTCCAGATATAAACCTTTCCCGTTGGATGTCTCAAAATGATTCAATGGGTTAAATGCACAGTGAAAATATGTTATAGGCTGAATGTAGTTTGTACAAGAATAACCCTCTCTTAGGCAGAGAATTTCTCGTGTCAATATTAGGAATCAGGATGCAGAATGCGAGGATTGTTATGATTACAAATCCCGCGAAGCACTCTGTAACCCGCTCCCAGCGTGAAAAGGTGCTGAGTCAAATTCAAGGATCGCTGTCGTTCCTGTAAAAATAATTTGTGGAGTCCTGTAGCTCAGTGGTTAGAGCACTCGCTTTGCAAGTGAGAGACCTGAGTTCAATTCCAGGCAGAGGGCGAAACCTTGGGCAAGTTTCCTTACTCCACACAGAGCCTAATAATAATCCCTCCAAAACAATAATAAATTGGTCATTTTCAATCTACGACTGTTTGTGGGACATTGCTGTGCGCAATTGGCTGCCGCGTTCGCCCACAAATATACAGTCAATTCACTTTACAGTGTGTTCTGTGAAGCGCTTTGGGACGTCCTCCCGGCGTGAAAAGCGCTATATCAAATGCAAGGATTATTATTATTATTATTATTATAATTCACTGCCGGTATTCTGAATGCCCTTCGGTGCCGGGAATTTTTTTGGGACCGTACAACCGAAATCCCGGTCCGCGCTGTCGTGGCCTCCCGCCTCGCCTGTCCCGACGCCCTCTTCCGCGGGCGTCCCCGGCTCCACCCTCCGCGAAATCCCGGCTGATTCTCCGACTCCGCCGCCCGTGTGCTCGCCCGCTCCTAAGCCCCCCCGCGCGGGCCGGCCGGGCCGGTGCTCCCCAGACTCCACCGGCTCCCTGTGGCTGAACGGATCGACTTCCAAGACCCTCTCTCGCTGGGTCGCAAATCCCTACCCGACCCCTCCCTCCCTCCCTCCCCCCCCCCCCCCGACCCGAATACTCCCCACTCCGCCGACCGCTACCGGCTCGGCTCCGGCCTCCCGTGCGTCCCTCGCCCTCCCCCCCCACCGCCCGCTCCACCATCGGCGGCCGTCCTCTCAGGCGCTTTGGAAGTCTCTCCCCCAATCCGCCCCCTCCCTCCCTCCCCGTCTTCCCATCACGTCTGAGGGCCTTCCTCTTTGACTGTGCTTCACGGTCACCTCCCCCCCCGCCATTGTTGAGCGCTCCGAGGCGCTGCCCCTCGACATAAAGGCAGGTTGTTGGGGGTCGTGATGCGCCCCTCACCTCCTCCTGACGGCCTCGGGCAGCCTCTCGGCTCGGCGTTGGGCCCGGGTTACCACGGCAACGCGCTGCTCTCTTCTGATTGGTGGTCGGGTCCCGGGGTGGGTGGGGGGGGCGGCGCCAATCGCCACCCACCTCTGCCGGCCGGGGCATCCGATTGGCGGAGGAGGAGCGCGTAGCCGCTGATTGGCCACGGCCCAGTAGGGGACGTCACCGTGTCTCTGATTGGCCGCGAAGTGGCGGGACGGGCTCGCGATTGGTGGAGAGAGGGGGGCGTGGCCAATAGAAGGCGGGACGAGAGAGAGCAGGTGCGGCCAGATGCGTATTCAAAAATCTTTGTAGCCCAAAGTCAACCGAATACTAGCCCAAAATAGCCCAATATTACGCGTTGTTTTCTGTGGGCAGCAGAGTAGTCAGTTGAGGTTAGTGATTTTTAAACCGTAAGTAAAGAAGTCTTCGAAGCTGTGTGTGTGTGGGCGGGGAGGAAACATTTGCAGGTTTAAACGGGTGCTTAATTCAAAACGAAATTAAACGCCCGTTTTGTTTCACGCGCAGCCCGCCACAAAACCCGCCCAACCCGGGCCGCGCCACGGGAGCAGTGCCGGGTCTCCAGGGGCGCCGAGTAACGCCTGTCGCCATTGGTCGGCCTCCTGCAGCCAATCAGGCCTCGTGTAGGAGGCGTGGTGGCGACGGGGCTTGCGCGGACCTCTCGCGCGCGTGCGCGCGGTGGTGGTGGGGGGGGGGAGTGAGCCGGCAGCCGGGTTAAACGGTGAGCGACGCGAGCGGGCGCGCGCTCTCTCTCGCTCTGTCTCTGTCCCGTTAAATTGCAATAACGGCGGAGGCTACCGACTATTGCAATAGCGGTAAAGCAGCCCGGGCTGCAGGGCTGACAGGTGCATCGATCAGAGAACAAATAGCGAGGGAGGGAGGGGAGGGAGAGTGGTTTGAAAATGTGCAGCACCGAGCGCGCGGCGAGCCCCGGCGGCTGAGGGCGGGTTTGAATCGGAGGAGCAACGGTCTTCGTCGGTTGGTTTTATCGTCGGTGTGAGTCCCCCTCACAGGTACCGTCTCTCCGGCCTCAGTCTATTTTTATTTATCTACTTGAGTTTTGATTTATTTTCTGCATTTTACGTTATTTCATTTCTTGTCGGTGATATTTTTCTCGTTTTTTCATATTTTTTTCCCCCGTTTTGATGTTTTTTTCCGAATTTCTTTTTTTCTTGTTCGGTATTTTTCCCCCTATTTAATGTTCTATTTATTTAGTATTTTCTCATTAATTTCCTTAGTATTTTCTCTGTCATCTTCTCTAATGTTACTTCTAATTTCTGCCTTTAATATTTTCGTTCGATTTCTCGATATTTTCTCTTATTTTGTTCACAATTTCTTCCAATTTCTCTTTCTCTGTCTTTCAAATTTTCTTATAATTCTCTTCGTTTGATTTTATTTAATATTTTCTCAGATTTCTGTGTGTAATGTTTTTTTCTTTCATGTCTTTCGATATTCTCTCTCTTTAATGTCTCATTTAATATCTCTTTCTCCTCATGTTTTCATTTGATTTTTTTATGGTGCGAGGAGTTTTTTCTTTATTTGCTCCTTAATATTTTCTTTTATTTAACATCTTACTGTTTCTCATTTATTGTCTTTTATTTATCCTCATTATTTAAGAGTTAATCTAATATTTAATAGTAAAGAGCTGCATTGTCAGAGGTGCCTTCCTTCGGATGTGCCATTAAATCAAAGTGTTTGGGATTGTTAACCTGATTCCTGGTTAACTTTGATGCAAATTTACATTGCACAAATGGTTTTAAATCTAATACTAATAATCCTTGCATTTGATATAGAACCTTATTGTGTTTTGTATGCGATTGCGACAGTCAATTTAAGTGCAACTTAAATATTCTATGAACAGCCATGAAGACGAATGACCAATTTTATCGGGTGGTTTGCACTGGACGGTCAGAACAAAGTGCTGCCATTTGCTTGGTATCCACTCACCAAATCTAATAATGGAGTGAAATAATCCACAGTAACCGATTACTTTTTTTTTTGGCTTTGATTCTGATCTGTAATTGCCTTTTTCTTTTCCTGCCCGAAACCAAATCCCGGTTGATTTGTTCGAATCGATCTGTTTTTGAAGTGCTTTTTTGCACGATTATTTTTTTACATGTACTTTAGTTGTGTTTGGGCTGAGGATACCTTTACAACAAATGACATTTGGACAGTTCCTATTACAGCAGTACCAAGACTCTTACGCTCAAATTCCTGACATGGGGCTTGAAATATAACACCAAAATAATGAGAATCACCAAGAAGGGGGAGGAACCACAGGCACAGCTAAAGAGATGGGTTTTAAAGATAATACAGTAATGAAAATGGGGTGAAGATGGGTGTGGGAGCAAGGCAAGGGCATTTTGGGATTTCCAGGGAACAGGACATAGTTGTTGAAAGCAAAGCGACGTGACGATGGATGAGCAGTTTTTAACTGTGACAATATCAAGAGGTGTTTCAACTGTAGAACTGTAGTCTGATAACCACATAGCATTTTTATATAATAAAGAAAATTATTTTGCTTATAAAAATGTGTATTCCACCTGCTCTTTCTTCTGAAAATTAGTTTTGGTTATTATTTTAGTCTTTGTTTTTTGTTGGAAGGGGGTGGGTGAGAGTACCTTTTATCCAGACCAGCGCTGATCTTTATTCAGCTTCAGGAAAGTGATCATAAAATCATATAAATATACAGCATTTAGCCCAGTGTGTCTATGGTGGCTATTTTATGGGCCACTCCTTTCAGTCTCATTTACCTGCTCTTTCCCTGTACCACTGTAGCTTATTCCCTTTTATTATTTATCTAGTTCCCTTTTGAAGTTACAAACAATTCATCGGAAAGTTTGCTGTTGAGAATGAGTCTGGTGAGGGAGGATTTAAATCTCATGGCAAACTAGAGGTCCTGAGAGAATTTGTACTGAGCAGCTCTTCAAATTGAAGTTGAAATTTGCAATTAAATTTCTTGATTGACCAAAAAATTGGTTTGTTTTGATGTAATATCTGCCTAAAGGCTGCTTCTTGTAATTGCCAACAACAACTTGCATTTATGTAGAGCCCTTCATGCAGGGTAGCATCTCGCTTAAGTGTGGTGGGTTGATGCTGAGTGGGTTGGGGGGGGAGGGAGAGACAGAGGGGAGGTGATCATAGCCATGGTCTAGGAGAAAGATCTTCAGGTGTGATCTGAAGACTGGTAAGGTGAAGAAATTGAGGCAGAGAGTTCCAGGTTGCGGGGGCATAGATGCCAGTAGCAAATATTGCATTGCAACAGGAGACACTTTTCTGTTTGAGCATTCTTCTGAGGATTTCAATGTTTGACTGCAGGCTCGTAAAGGTAGGAGTGTGGGCTGGTCTCAGCTTCATACACCTGTGACTGTCAGTACAATTAAGCATTTGTTCGGTGTTGAAGTGGGTGTGTGAAGCTAGTGGGGTAGTGAACTGGAAGGACACCTGCTTTTCTAAAGAGGAAAGATAAAACAAAGGATTGGTTGAAGAGAGCTGCTGTTAGTTTAACAAGTTATGAGAGCAAAATGGACGATCAGAGGAGCAAAGCAGGCAGCGTTCACAGTAAAGTCAGCAGCTACCATGGCAGCCTTCACAGGTCTCGTGACGGCAGGTGAGGGAGTGATTGGGCCACAAGGCAGGTCTGGGGCAGTGATGGACAGTTAGAGGAGTCCACCTCAGTGAGACGTTAACCCAGTCTCGTCAGCCCGATCAGGGTTTTAAAGATCCCGCTGCAGAGAGCAGAAACTGGGAGAGAAACTGGGAGAGTTTCTCTCTCCCTGTGTCCTGACCAACAATACCCCAAATAACATCGGTCATTCATTTCATGGCTGTTTTAGGGACATTGCAAATGCCTACAAAATCCAGTCACTCCTCCTGATGTGAGAGGCACAGTACCAGCGGCAGGGATTATTGTTACTCAATAAGAGCAGATGGTACCTCCTGGTGTCGTGGCCGACAATCTCTCAGAACCTCAGAAACCAACTTCAAAATGTAATACTTCAATTGAAAAATCTTCCAAGATCCTGAAATCTCCTATTTCGAGACAGTCACAAAGCTAAGACTGAGCACTTTGGAGAACACAGATAAAAAATAATAATAATACTTGTATTTGATAAACAGTAATAATGCCTTTCACGTCAGGCGGACGTCTCAAAGTGTGACCAATTTTATTGTTGCCCACGACACCGGGAGACACAAACTCTTCTCTGTTCAAATTGCTCCATGGAATCTTTAATATCCGCCTGAACAGCACAGACAGAGCAGAGCCTCAATTTAACATCTCATGGGAAGGACCACCTCAAAATGCAGTGCTCTGTCCTCCCCACCACTCCCATTGTGTCAGCATTTGTGCTCCGCCGCCGGGCACCGTTCTGGGGCGCTATATAAATTCAAGTTGTTGTTGTTGAAGTTGTATTTTATATGAGTTCAAAGTCCCCAAACCTGAACCTACAGTCCTCTGACTCAGAGACCAGAGCATTAGCTCCTGAGCCAGGATGTGTTGCCATGTATAACACCTGTGTGTCTGTGCTGAGCACAAGCTGCAGGTAGTTGCTGGTCTGGTTAACACAAAAGCCTTTGTCTTTGTCAGGTACACACCGTGCAGCTTCCGGGGTCTGGATGAGCGTCTGACACACGGCAGCCTTCCCCGGCTCAACGACCAGTCCCGGCAGAGCAGCCTACACCGCCTGAACGACCAGTCCCGACACAGCAGCACCAGGGACCTGAGCAACCCGTCCACTCACATCACTCACGGCACCAGCATGAACAGGGTCATCGAGGAGGACTGCACTAGTGCCTGAGGCCCTGCACACTGCAGCCAAGGGGCTCACTTTAACAGGGTACAGAGAAACCACAGACGTTTACAAAGCATTGAGGAGTGGCCTTGTTGTGTAGCCGGACAAAGGGGTTAGAAACGGCCTGTGGGAACCAACCAATGTCAGCAGCAGAGGGGAGGACGGGAGGTGGTGTTTCAGCTCTGCCCAGGGTGGCAGCGAGGTTTTGTTTTTAATGTTAAAGATCAGTCACAGTCTCTTTCCACACAAAAGGGAACGAAAAGATGAGCTGACCTCATGCCATGTGAAGTTAGGTGTCAGTCCAGCACTGAGAGACCCGATTACCTTCTGCTCCTCTGCACTGTTACTGAGTAACGTCCGGATCAAGGTCTCTAACATTTTAAACCCTCCACTTTTATACTGTCACCTCGTCTGCGTGTTGGGCTCAATTTCCGTCCATGGGACCCTGCCTTCGGCCTCCGCTCTGATAGACGTTACTCGCTGTGTTCACACACTGGCCACAACTCATTGGGGGGAAAAGATCTTTATTGTTGCCGAGTTGGCAAAGGCATAATAGGGCATCTGTTTACTAACCAGGGCGTCTGGCTCTTATCTTGTGGGGCCAGTGGGTAAGAAAGGGATGAACAAATGTTTTGTGTTAAATTGTAGGAATGTGCCACAATTAAGGAGCGGCAGAGAGAAGTTTTTTAAGGGGCTGATGCAGGATGTGCATTTAGTGAGCCGTTTGTCATGTAAACGTGTTTAGGTGCCTATGGAACCACTGGGCCCTCTGAGTTGCACTGCAGAACAAGTGGCGTATTGCACTGGGGGAGCACAGTGGCTCTGACGAGTGCATTAGGATGAGATTGGCTGAGTTACCAATACTGAGGAGCTATGCAAATGCTGTAACGTACTGCGTTCACCACAGGGTTTTCAGTTATTGACAAGAAACCGGGTCCAAAATCTGTTTAGATTTAATCTGTGAATCTCCCAGTTTTACGCTGTTTTATATTTTGAGTTAAAATGGAATTTCAGGTCTTGGAGAGAATGTTAAAACAGTGACTCACAGGTGAGATCCACTGACTGTTCCACTCGGCCCTCTGGGGGTTAGAGAAAGTCGGAGGCGAAGGAGACCGTACAACCTTTTGATCTGGTTCTGTTCTTCAATTAGATTGTGAGACTTTTAATCCCATTTCTCCCCCATTTCGTATCCCCTTAATATCTGTTACATAATGCCGTCACTGAGTGAAAGTTCAGTTCTGATCATCTGATTGTTCAGCATTTGATGGGTCACTGCAGTGTTCGTTCTCCCCGACACACAATACACATATATACACATCAACAATTACACTCGTACACAGTGTAAGAACTGTGGAAAAATAGCCTCCAAATTAAATAATTTTCTACAATTCTGTAAAGACCATTTTGACTGATAATTTGACCGGAAAAACTTCAGGGCTTTGAAGATTTCAATGATGAGAATGTGCATTGTCACCCGGTGCTGATTGGGTTTGGAGCAGTAATGCCCTCAGTCAAGTGTTAGGCAGTGGATACTGTTGTGCTATGTCCATCCGCCTCTGTATTCAACACTAAAAAGTTAAAGGAAAAAAAACTTGCACTCTCCCCCAAAGAACCTTTCTGTTTACATTAGGAAGTGTTTAGCTTTGTTCAACTTTCTTTCTTCAGTTTTAGCACTTTAACTGTGAGTGTATAGATATCTGAAATGTAGTAGTTGTAAATTTGTTTTTTTAGATGATAGATTTTTAATAAAATAATAAAATATTATTTCCTGTATCTGTGATTTATCTCTGAGGACGTTGTTAGGGTTTGTTATTGGCCAACAATCCCCCAAATAAAATTGGTCACTCACTCCGTGGCTCTCTGTGGGACACTGCTGAGCGCATTTGGCTGCTGTGTTTCGCCCACACAACACACGGTCAATCCACTTTACAGTATATTACAGTATATTACGGCACTACCTCACCCCTCACGCGGCTGAAACTCTGGTCAACGCCTTTACCACCTCAAGGCCGGACTATGGGAAATCTCTCCCCGTCGGCCTTCCCGGCCCTCCCTCCACACTGCAGGTCATTCAGAACTCTGCAGCTCGTGTACTGTCCCGCACCAGACACCGAGACCACATCACTCCCACCCTCACCCTCGCCCTCACCCTCGCCCTCACTCCCACCCTCGCCCTCACCCTCGCCCTCACTCGCCTCCACTGGCTCCCCATCCCCCAGAGGATCGAATTCAAGATCCTCATCCTCACCTACAAGGCCATTCACGGCCTCGCTCCCTCCTACCTCTCCAACCTACTATCCCCCTACCTACCTGCCGGTATCCTCCGTTCCTCTGGCTCCGGTCTGCTCCACATCCCCCGCCCCAACCGCCCGACCATCGGTGGCCGGGCCTTCAGCCTCTCAGCCCCGAGGCTCTGGAACTCTATCCCCAGTGCCTTCGCCGCTTCCTCCCTCTCCTCCTTCAAGGCCGGTCTCAAGACCTTTCTCTATGACCTTCAGCCTTCAGCTCCCCTCTCGACTCTCTTCCCCCTCCTCGCTCCCTCCCTCCCCTCCCCTCACCCTGACCATTTCCTCGCTCCCTCCCTTCCCTCCCCTCACCCTGACCATTCCCCCCTCCTCGCTCCCTCCTCCCTCCCCTCACCCTGACCATTTCTCCACTGCTCGGGTCCTGACCCAACTGTGCAGTGCCTTGGGATGTCCTCCCGACGTGAAAGGCGCTCTATAAATGGAATCTTGTTGTTGTTGTTGTATATTCTGTGAAGCGCTTTGAGGCGTTTCGCCCAAATCGGGACGTGGAGTCCTGTAGCTCAGTGGTCAGAGCACTCGCCTCGTAAGCGAAGCCTGGGTTCTATTCCCAGCCAAGTGAGATGTTGGACAGGTTTCCTTACCCCACACTCCTGTTTACCAGCAGTCAGTAGGAACCCAGATGTTAGTCAATTGACAGATCGCTTTTCCGGGGATAATCCCTCAAAGAAAAAAAGAATAATAAATTGATCACTCAATCCACGACTGTTTGTGGGTCACTGCTGTGCACAATTGGCTGCCGGGTTTCACCCACAAAATATACAATCAATTCACTTTACAGTATATTCTGTGAAGCGCTTTGATGTCTAGAAAACGTGATAAGGCGCTGTATCAAATGCAATGATTATTACTATTTAGATAACTCTAATTCCCTGTTGAAAGCTAATATGGATCTCCCTCAACCACCATTCCCACCAGAGCATCCGTGTCCTAACCCCTCTGTTGTAAAATGTAATGATATTTTTTGTGCAAACACAGCAGCTAATTTGCACCCAACAATGTAATTAGCAGTTATGAACTGAATCAATTTTATTTGGGGGAATGTTGGTCCGGATACTTGGGAGAAACTCCCTCCTCTTTTTGAATAGTGCCATAAGGATGTTTAACGTGGAGCTAAAACAGGAAGTCGGACTTTGCTTAATCCAAAGGACAGAACCTCTGACGATCTTAAAGTTCAAGGTACTATTCAAGATGAGTTTCCATGGGTGTCGCGGCCACCGATTCATCAGTTAAAAGATTCATCATTTGCTTCGTGGACGATTGGGGTGATATCGCTGTACACAAAGTGGCTGCTGTTTGGATCTATAAATGCTGAACTGATTGCAAGAGTTTTATGTGAACGAAACTACAAGTTCTGTTATAAAAAGGGAGAGGTTCCCCTTCTATTAGAAAGAGAAAGGAGTTTCTCCGAGTGATAGACAATCCCTTCAATGGAAAAAGATTGGCTGTTTGTGAGGCATTGTTCTGCGCAAATTGGTTGCCAACGTTCGCCCACAACATATTCGGTCACCGCACATTTCACTTCATCCCCTAAAGCACTGAGACAGCGCTGCCATGAAAGGCATAATATAAGAATTATTAGTTATGAAGTGCTTCAGTTAGTAAATTCCAATAGCCACAAATATGAGAAAGTGTCTTCTCACCTCTTACTGTCCTTTTTATAATTTCTTCTGGAAAAAAACCTTCTGTTTCCACTTTTATGAGAAAAGGGCATCAGTTTATTGCATTCACAACACAAAGAGCATTTCTGCGCATAAAATGTAAAGATACTCTTTCTTAACTTCCATTTAAACAAAACATTCTCAGCATTTTATTATCTTAGAACATTCGAAAATACAAAAACGTAAGAAATCTTAAAATCCTAAACAGCTCAACATGAAACAAAAGTTGGGAGAAAACTGATCTGTGGATAACAATTTTACATTTACACTGAAACCTTCACATCAGTAATTTTACAGCTTCACAGCCTGACGTGGGAATGGTGGGAGGTGACCAAAAGTTTGGTTGAACCAAGGTCTGTGGGCTTTAAAGATGGTCAGGGAGAGGAGAGGGACAACATCCTTCAAGAAACTTTTATTTTCCATATTAAATATAGCATTTTCCCCCAAATGTCATCCGACCGGATGCCACGACATCCTCTCTCCTGTACATCTCCTGCAGTGGTGATGGTCAAACATCACATTGTGATGTGGGGATTGGGTCCTTGAGGCTGAATTTCAGGGACTGATTTCCTAAAACAGGTCTAATTTGCAGTATTTCTTCATATGAAATGTGAAGCCTTCCAGATCTTATCCGAGGTTAAGGGTGTGCTATAAATATGCCCTGTACGACAGTCCTGTGTGCAAATTGGCTGCCAGGTTTGCCACAAAATAGTCACTACACTTTATACCCTGTGAATCGCTTTGAGACGTTCTCATGACGTGAAAGGCACTGAATATGGATTATTTTGTTGATGACATGACCCACTTTGCCAATTTTTACTAATTACCCAACTTCTTGTTTCCAAAGCTTTACATAACGTTTAACAAGATTACCTGAAGCCCTTTTTCCTTGTTTACACGATGGCAAAGAAAGCCCGAGTTTACACCCATGTTGTGTTGTCTGAGCAGATGTGCTGCTGTGTGTAATAATAATAATAATATTCCTTGCATTTGATATAGTGCTTTTCAAGTGGGAGGACGTCCCAAAGTGCTTCACAGAACACACTGTAAAGTGAATTGACTTTGTATTTGTGGGCGAACGCGGCAGCCAATTGCGCACAGCAATGTCCCCCAAACAGTCGTAGGTTGAAAATGACCAATTTATTATTGTTTTTGGTTTTGGAGGGATTATTATTAGGCTCTGTGTGGAGTAAGGAAACTTGCCCAAGGTTTCGCCCTCTGCCTGGAATTGAACTCAGGTCTCTCACTTGCAAAGCGAGTGCTCTAACCACTGAGCTACAGGACTCCATTGTATGTTGATGGGTATAATTATGGCAGAGAACAATTATGGGGTCAACCACAACAAAATTACATTTGTGCAGCTCCTCTCATTTCGGGAAGACGTCCCAAGGCGCTGACAGGAAAACTGAGCGTAGGACAAGTCACAAGCAGATCAATACTGTCTCCTATTTATGTTGCAATGCAGTTACTATTTTTCAGATCATCAGACCCAGGAGTCTGTGTGGCTGCCACGCTGGGAACGAACATCAGCTCAGGCAATTACCACTGAACGCTTACACCACTCAGTTTACTCACCGCCCACTGGCTGTTTGGAGGTGTGTTTGAGAGCGACTTTCATGGTTTCCACGAGACACGAGAGGAGTTGGATCTCCAGAGAGAGCAGTTGGTTTCTCTTCTCTTGATTTTTTGATGTCATTACCAACTTCTTCTGTAAGAGTTTCACTTCCTGCTGGATTATAAAGAGGGATTTCTCTTCCTGCTTCCTGAAACAGCAGAGAGCAAGCAGTTCCACATAGAGGTATTACAGGTTTAATATATATTTATATAGATATTAAATCTATATAAATATAGTATCTCCGCTGCCTGTTTTTCTAGCAGAAAGTAGGAACCCGGTTTGTTGATTGGCGGATTGCTTCCCGGGGGTAATATTCCCTCCCCTAAAAAATTAGTCACTCATTTACAATGCAATACAAAATTACATTTGTACAGTGCCTTTCGCGTCGAGAGGACGTCCCAATAATTTCATGGCTGTTTGTGGGACACTGTGTGCAATTGGCTGCCGCATTTCATCCACAAAATACACAGTCAATTCACTTTAAAGTATATTCTGTGAAGCGCTTTGAGACGAGTCAATGATGTGATATCACATGCAAGCAATATTATTATATTTTTGTGGCAATCATCAAGCTGTTAAAGAGTTGGAAATTCTGCTTTACTCTGCATGTTCCTTGCCTCAGCGCTGCTCATTGTCACTATCGTTTGAGTTCAATCATTTCTGAAGTTAGGACCAATCCAGTAAAGGCCACAGATCTTCCTACTGATGCTGTTCTCTGTAGTGACATGTGTAAAGCAAAGGCTGAGCGGTGACAGAATTGTGAACAATCGTGTAATTCAGTCTTCATTTGGAAAATGACTTTACACAGTTCTTAAAAATAAACTGGTTTCAAGTTAGGGTTAACTTGAAGAATTTCCCACAAACCTGTGCCACCTTAAATTCTGAAGACATAATAATAATCCTTACATTTGATATTGCACCTTATCACGTCATTGAGATGTCTCAAAGCGCTTCACAGAATATACTGTGAACTGAATTTACTGTATATTTTGTGGACGAAACACAGCAGCTAATTGCACACAGCAGCGTCCCACAAACAGTCGTGGATTGAGTGACCACATTATTCTTTTGGAAGGGTAGTTTGCGCCGGAAAGCGATTCACTAATCAACTAATAATCTCATCCTCAGAAGGTCTGGTAATTGCAGACAGAAAGAGCTGATTTGATGGTTAGACACTGGTTCCAGAGCACTGACATCACTTTATTCACTGGGAATTTTGACAAATGATTGAATGGGTAGTGTGTTTTAAGTGTTTGAGATCCTCCTGATGTAAACAGCACCAAATCAATTATATTGTAAATGACGGTGTGTTGTATCTCCCACTGGAAGCGAGTTCCACTTTGACTGATTGAGAGACAAAGTAACAGAAATCTACAGCGCAGGAGGCCATTCAGCGCTGACTCGCAGAGCGCGGAGATCACTTCAATCCCAGTCAGTAATCAAAAAGTTGAATGAAATGTTGGCTTTATCTCAGGGCCCGGATTACAACGGGGAAGAACTGATGCTTCAGCTGTACAGAGCGTTAGTCAAACCCCATCTGGAGACTGCGTTCAGTTTTGGGCACCACACCCCAGGAAAGATATATTGGCTCTGGAGGGGGTGCAGCGCAGGTTCAACAGAATGTTAATAGGCCTAAAAGGGTTAAATTACAAGGAAAGGCGGCGTAAACTTGGATTTTATTCCCTTGAGCTTAGAAGGTTGAGGGGTGATTTGATTGAAGTATTTAAGTTGATAAATGGATTCGATCGGGTGGATACAGAGAAGCTATTTCCTCGAGTGGGGAATCCAAAACAAGGGGCACAGTCTGAAAATTAGAACCAGGCCATTTAAGAGTGAAATCAGGAAGTAATGTTTTATTCAAAAGGAGGTAGGAACCTGGAATTCTCTCCCCCAAAGGCCGTGAATTCCGGATCCACCCACACCTTCAAGAGTGAGGTTGATATATTTTTGGCAGGTCAGGGGATTAGGGGATATGGGGAGAAAGGGGAAATTGGAATTGAAAGGATTAGTTGAGGTACAGATCAGCCACGATCTAATTAGAACAGGCTCGAAGGGCTGAATGGCCTCTCCTGTTCCTATGTTCCTATGACCCCCTTCAAGCTCTCTCTTCCAATGAACAATTGGAGTCCTGCAGCTTTGTGGTTAGAGCACTCGCCTCGCAAGTAAGAGGAACTGGGTCCGATTCCCAGGCAGAAAGAAATGTTGGGAAAGTTTCCGCATTCAACACGCCTCTGTTTACCGAGCAGTAAGTAGGAACCCAGTTGTTAGTCGATTGGTGGATCGCTTTTCCGGGGGTAATAATCTTTGCGAAAACAATAATAATTGGTCACTCAATCCACGACTGTTTGTGGAACACCGGGTTCCTACTTACACTAGATAAACAGAGGTGTGGAGTAAAGAAACTTGCCTAAGGTTTTGCCCTGCCCAGGAATCGAACCCAGTGCTCTAATCACTGAGCTACAGGATTCCACCACTCATTGTGGGTCGTTGCTGCAGGAAAGCAATTTTCACATTAAGAATGAGAACAAACTGATTCTTGCAATTGTGCACAATTTTATATATGATATTGTCTTAAGGTTAAGAACATGAATAATAATAATAATAACTGAGAGTTTATAGCTTTGCCTCACCTTTGCTTTAAGCCGCCAACCCCTTTATTGTCCAGCATCTTTGTCTTCAGAAACACACCAACCTCATGGAGCTGTTCCTGTTAAACAATACATAAATAACAACAGGCACAGGTACAAGCAGATCCTGTTAACGTGCTTCCTTATAACTGTAAAAGTTGTTAGCATTCTCAGCTCTGGATTAGAACCCTTCCTAACTCTCTGTTTGAGTTCAGACTAGGAAGGTACAGTAGTGTAGTACGGAGGGGGGGGGGGGGGGGGGAGTGCTGACCTGCCAGAGGTTCTGTACTGTCCTTTAGATGAGATGCTAAACACATGACCCTTCTGTCCATTTTTCCCGTGGATATTAAGAACAAAGAAGGGAGTTCTTCCTGGAGTCCAGGCCAACAATCCTAGTCAGGGTCCAACTGGCGACCTGCAGGCCGATTTCATACAGCTCCACCCCCTCCATTTCATCTGGCCCACTCGCTCCCTCCATAACCTGCAAATATTGTCATGTTTCTGGAAGTGAAACACAGACATATTGCTAACGGGCATATTTAAAATAGCCGAGTGTACAAGAGGATCAAGGAAGAGCATTGTGTGTGATTTTCCCAGTGTCGGGGTTAATCAGTGTCTGGCTGACATTGCTTTGTACAGTATTAGACGGTGAAGACACTGAGAGTTGAATACTCAATACAATGGCATAAGATATTTAACTGAATGTAAAACTGATTGAGTGACCAAATTATTATTTATTTTTTGAAGGGATTATTACCCCCGGAAGCGAACCGACAATTGACTAACAACTGGTTTCCTACTTACTGTTAAGTAAACAGGCATGTGGAGTCAGGAAACTTTCGCAAAGTGGTGCTTAAACCCTGAATGAGAAGAAGTGTCCCACTGACTGAGCCAGGCTGGGAGGTAATAAACTTACTGCAATTGCTGTGCACGACTTTTTGAGATGCTGCAGAAGTGAAGTGTTGGCTTCTGTGTTCTGGTAGATCTCCAGTGGGGTACACATCTTACAAATAAAAAAGTGTGATATCAGGCGATCATGGTAGAAGCTAATATTCTGGTCTCTCCGCACCAGAATCTTCAACCTCTCCATTGTCACGTCAGCTTCCAGGTTAATCTGGGTCCTGTAACTAAACCCACAGAGGGTGAAAATAAAGGAATCAAAATGAAATTGGCAGGAATACCAAAGTGACATTAGTAATAATAAATAATAATAATAATAATAATAATCCTTGCATTTGATATAGCGCTTTTCACGTCGGGAGGACGTCCCAAAGCGCTTCACAGAATATACTGTAAAGTGAATTGACTGTATATTTGTGGGCGAACGCGGCAGCCAATTGCGCACAGCAATGTCCCACAAACAGTCGTAGATTGAAAATGACCAATTTATTATTGTTTTGGGTTTTTTGGAGGGATTATTATTAGGCGTGTGGAGTAAGGAAACTTGCCCAAGGTTTCGCCCTGCCTGGAATCTTTGCATTTGATATAGCACCTTATCATATCCAGATGTCTCAAAGCGCTTCACAGAATATACTGTAAAGTGAATTGACTGGTATTTCGTGTGCAAAATAATCCTTACATTTGGTATAACCCCTTTCATATCAGGAGAATGTCTCAAATGGGCTTCACAGATTAGAGTCACTTGGATTTTGTGGACGAACACGGCAGTCAATTTGCAGAAAGCGATATCCCACAAACGTCTGGTGAAGTGAATGACCAATTTTATTTCGGGGATTGTTGGCCTGGACACCGGGGGAGAGAACGTTAAAGATCCGCTGCACTATTGGAAAAAAGAAGTGCAGCGGATTTTAACGTTCACCCGAACACGCAGACAGGACCTCGAATTAACATCTAATCTGAATGTTATATCTGAATGCGCAGCATTCGGAATAAAACTGATGAATTAAAAGCACAGATAGACACATATAGCTACGATCTAGTAGCCATCACTGAAACATGCTTACAAGGAGATCGAGGGTGGGAGTTAAATATTCCAGGGTTCTCAGTTTACAGGAAAGACAGGCACTGTGGGAAACAAGGTGCGGGGGGGGTAGCTCTGTTAATTAGGGATGAAATAAAAGCAGTGGAGAGAAAGGATCTGAAATCCGATGACCAGGAGGTCGAGACAATATGGGTGGAAATAAAAAATAATAAGGGGCAGAAAATATTAATGGGAGTGGTCTATAGACCCCCAAACAGTGATCACAATATAGCACAGGGTATCAATCAGGAAATCAGTTGAGCACATGTAGGAAAGGTAAAGCGATAATAGTGGGTGATTTCAATTTCCACATAGATTGGGAAAACCTAATCGGCAAAAGTAGGTCAGAAGAAAAGTTCATTTAGTGTATGAGAGATAACTTTCTGGAGCAGCCGAGGAACCAACTGGGACAGGCCATCCTAGACTTGTCTTGTGTAATGAAACCGGGCGAGTCAGCAGTGTATGTATTAAGACTCCTCGAGGGCAGAGTGATCACAATATGATTGAATTCTGTATTAAGTTAGAGAGGGATATAGTTAAATCCGAGGCAAGTATTCTGAATTTAAATAGGGCTAATTTTGTAGGTATGAGGAAAGATTTAGGTAAAATAGACTGGAGAATAAGATTAAGAGGTAAAAATGTAGACCAACAGTGGCAAATATTTAAGGATGTAGTGCATAATTCTCAGCGGTCGCATATTCCCTTGTGGAATAAGAGTACCACAGGGAAAGCAGGGAAAGTGGCTAACCAGAGCAGTAGGGAAAGCATCAAATTAAAAGAAAAAGCTTAACTGCCAAGAAAAGCGGCAAATCTGAAGATTAGGAGTTTTAGAAACCAGCAAAAAAAACTAAAAAACTCATTAAGAGCGAGAAAAAGGAGTATGAGGGTGAGCGAGCGATGAACACTAAGTCTGATTGTAAAAGTTTTTATAAATACATTAAGAGGAATAGGCTGTGAGGGTAAACATAGGACCACTTCAGTCAGAGATGGGAGAAGTTGTAATGGGGGATAAGGACACGGCAGAGTCCCTAATGGGTACTTTGCATCTGTCTTCACCCGAGAAGACACAACCAGTCTACCAGCAATAGAGATGCACCAAAGGGATAAGGACAGGGAGCAACTTAGGGAAATTTTCATTAGTAGAATATTTTCAGTAATCTAGATAAGGGTGAATCAGTGGATGTGGTCTATTTGGACTTCCAGAAGGCATTCGATAAGGTGCCGCATAAAAGGTTAGTCCAAAAGATAAGGGCCCATGGAATTGGGAGCATATTAACGTGGATTGGGAAATGGTTAACGGGTGGGAAACAAAGAGTAGGGATAAACGGGTCCTTTTCAGATTGGCGGGATGTGACTACTGGAGTGCCACAAGGATCAGTCCTTGGACCTCAGCTACTTACCATCTACATCAATGATAATAATAAATAATAATAATCCTTGCATTTGATATACTGCTTTTCACGTCTTCTTGACGACTCAAAGCGCTTCACAGAATATACTGTAAAGTGAATTGACTGTATATTTGTGGGCGAACGTAGCAGCCAATTACGCACAGCAATGTCCCACAAACAGTCGTGGATTGAAAATGACCAATTTATTATTGTTTTGTTTTGGGGGATCACCTCAACAGTTGACCGAAAACCTCCTGTTTAGCCTCCCAGTAGATCTTTAATGTTTCATCACCTTCATGCTATTATATTTCAACATTATTTCCTTCTTTTACTACCAAAACAATATGTTTATTCAAGAGTAGAATTAGATCCAATAGCAAGAACACTGAACAATCCACTTGATATACTGTCTTTCACATCATGAGAACTTCTCAAAGTGCTTTGCACAGCTGGCTGACACCCAAGCCAGAGGAGGGAGAAACATGACTGAAAGCGCGGTTAGAGAAAGGCTGGAAAGTGGATAAGGAGGGGGTGTCAGAAGGACTCCAAGATGGAGTTCCAGAGAGCAGGCCCTCATGCGGGAAGCTTGACAGTAGTGGAGCACAACACCGAGCCAGGGGAGGGGGAGGTAACCTTACTCACGGTCGACGAGAAAGGTCTACAGGTACGACCTGAAAGAGGGGAATAATAATAATAACAATCAGAATGTAAGTGTACAGAAAACTTTTTGAATCTTACCCAGATACGACTTGGCTCAGCATAGCAATAAATAGGTTGTTACAAAGGATGCCTCCAAATCCCACCAGTAAGGCAGACAGTATAAAGGTCAAAATGGGATATATGATCTTTAAATAGCTACTTTCGGATTTATCAAGGACAATCTTTCCAAACATGGTCAACAGCAGTATATCTAATATCTTGTAGTCTTCAAATTGAACTGAAAAAGAAAGCAACAAGTTTTTTGTTAGTCATTTACCGAGAAATTCTCACCATAGTAAGTTTTCTGATGGTCGTTTTTGATTCAGTTAGGCCTTCACAAGATCACAAGGTCAGTCTGGATGAAGAAGGCCCTTTGGCCATCCAATCTCAACCCTCCAGAACACCCAGTTTATCATGCCCCCATCACAGCATCAAGCTACTTTTTTAATGAGTCCCAGTGTCCTTGCCTCAACTACCTTTCCTTACCACCCTGTTCCAGTTGTTGATTGAGTACTCTCTGAAAAACTTCCCGGTGTCTGTCCTACAATTCCCCCTTTAAAACTTTAACCTGTTTCCTCTTGTCCTACGGTCTTGGTACATCCCTAAAGTGTTGATCTGGGTTTACTTTTGTAATCCCTTTTAAAATGTTACACACCGCTGTGAGATCCCCTGAGTCGTCTTCTCTCCAGACTAAAGAGCTCGATCTTGTCTAATCATCACAGCTCATTCCTCTAACCCTTGGGATCAGGCTCATTGCTCTCCTCTGCACTGTCTATGGGCCCGGCAGCCCCTGATGTTACAGTGACGAGAACTGTCTGTAGTGTTCAGGGTACTGTCTGACCAGAACATTGTATGATGTCTGGGGATCGAACCTCAACTGATGTAGCCCAGCATCATGTTTGTCTTGTTCATTGCTGCCTCACACTGTCTGAGCAGCGAGTCAACTAACCTCGATCTCCTTCAGCTTAGCTTCCTCTTTGGCAAGTTTTAACCCGTCTACTTGTGTTTCCTATTCTTGCCTCCTATAGTAATAATAAGTACTTCCTATAAGTAGTACAAAGATTTACAAATATTTAAATAGAATATACAGCACGGAAACAGGCCACTTGGCCTGACCAGTCCATGCTGGTGTTTATACTCCACACGAGTCTTCAGCCATTCCTTTATTCCTTCTCGTAACCATCTATTCCCCTCTCCCTCACGTGACGGTTTAGCTTCCTCTTCAAAGCATCTCCACTATCCGATTCAACAACCACTGCAGGCAGCAAGTTCGACAATCTCACTATCCTCTGTGTGAATTCTCTGTTAGATTCCCTAGTCACTATCCTATGTTTGTGTCCCCTGGTTATCATCTATAGTATAGAAGGCTTCTTTATTTTACGTACTGAAGTGAATTACTTTGCATTTTTCTACATTAAACGTAATTTGCCTTCTGTCTGCCCATTCTGCTAGCCTGTTTATGTCTTCCTTCTTCACTATTTACCACACACCCTGATTTTAGTCATGGGCCTCTCATGTGGCACATTATCAAAGGCCTTCTGGAAATCTCAAAATACACTACATCAGTTACATCTTCAAAGAATTTGATTAGGTTAGTCAAGAATGACCTTGCTTTCATACATCCACGCTGGCTGCTTTAATTATACTCTCCTTTTATTATGGATTCCAATTCCTTGCCCATGACTGACGTTAAGTTGATTGGCTTGTAGTTTCCTGGGTTAGCTCTATCACCCTTTTTAAAATTGGGTATTACATTGGCCATTCTCCAGTTCTCTGACATAATTCCTTACTCTACAGATTCTTGAATATGTGCCCTAGAGCCTCAGCTATCTCCTTCCTAGTTTCAATCAGGATCATTGGGTGGGGTCTACCTGGGCCAGGTAGCTTGTCCGCTTTAAGTGTGTAATGTATCTGTTATCTCCCATCTCCCCATCTTAACTGTTGTGATTTTACACCATTCCCCTCTTCTGTTATTAAGAACACATCATAAGAACATAAGAAATGCTGGACGAAAAAAGATTAAGGTCCATCGAGTTCGCCTTCCACCTTCCTGGCGGTCGCATGAACATATGTCCCGAACTACCTATGCACTGTATCCCATAATGTTATTTCCTAAATGAAACTATTTAACCTGTGTTTGAAAGAATCAACAATTCCTGCTTCAACCGTCTCCCTCGGGAGCCTGTTCCACAGTTCACTATTCACTCACTGAAATAGTGTTTGCGTAATTTGTTCTGAATTTAACCCCTTCAATTGCAGCCCGTGACCTCTGGTATCACTATTCTGGACAAGCTAGACAGCCTGTCGTGATCTATATTGTTTGGCCCCTTCAGAATCTAAAAGACAGCAATCACGTCACCTCTCAATCTTCTCTTTTCCAGCGTGAACATTCCCAATTTACTGAGTCACTCCTCATAGTCCAGTCCTTCCATTCCCTCAATCACTTTAGTTGCCCTCCTCTGTATCTTCTCAATTTCTCCAATATCTTTTTTGTAGTGCAGTGACCAGAACTGTACACAGTATCTAAGTATGGCCTCACCAATGATTTATACAGTGGCAGGATTATCCCACTATTTTGGCTGCTATTGATCTTTTGATACATCCCAACATCTGGTTTGCTTTACTCACTTCCACAGAGCATTATTGGGAGAGCTTCAATTATTGTCAATCAGAACCCTCAGGTCCTTTTCATTTTCCATGCACATTATTTTCCTTCCATTCAAATATAATATGTATACAAAATTCAAATAATAGTCCCTTCCAGGATTTTTTCTCCTCATGTGAAGTACTTTACATTTCTCCACATTGAATGTCATCTGCCACGATCTGCCCAATTCCCAAGTATGTTCAAATCCTCCTGTAACCTCTCTTGTTCAGCTTCGCAATCTACCACCTTCATTAGCTTGGAGTCATGTGCAAACTTAGCCACTGTGCTTCTGACTCCTAGTTCCAGATCATTTATAAAAATATTAAACAAAAGAGGTCCCAAAACAGATTATTGTGGAACTCCACTGGTAACATTTTCTCAGTCTGATGACATTCCCTGTACCACCACCCTCTGGGTTCTTCCTGTCAATCAATTGCATATCCATTGTAATGCACCTCCCGCTTTCTTTACTCTCGGAACCAGTCTCTCAAGAGGAACTATACCAAAGGCCTTACTGAAATCCAGACATACAACATCCACAGCCTTAACCTTATCAAGCTCACACCGTCAAAGAACAGCAGTAAATTAGATTGGCAAGACCTTCCCTTCATGGACTCATATTGGCTATTATTTATGATTTTATTTCTGTACAGATGCTCCATGATTTTATCCTAAATAAGTCTCCATAATTTTACCCAAAATGGACATCAAACTTACTGGTCTGTAATTTCCTGGGTCACTTTTGTTATCTTTCTTAAAAATGGGAGTAGCATCTGCCTTTTTCCAGTTCCCCGGGACATCTGTAGTACTCAGTGATTTTTAAAAGATTTGTGCCAGCATTTCTGGGACTTCCTTTCTTAGTTCAAGGATCATTCAGATGCAATTTATCCGGCCCCTGAGATTTATTTACCTTAAGTTTACATAGCTGTTTGACAACCATGCTAGTAGTGATATGAATAGTGTTGCAACTTGCGACACTATTCATATCACTATCAGCCTGATAATAATCCCTCAAGATAAAAAATAAAATTGATTACTTCAATCCACAATGTTTGTGCACAATTGGCTGCCGCATTTCACCCATAAATATCCAGTCAATTCACTTTACAGTATATTCTGTGAAGCGCTTTGAGACGTCGAGAATACATGAAAAGCACTATATCAAATGCAAGGATCATTGTTATTATTATTATAATAAACTTTTCTCTGCGACATCCTTGAATTCTCTTTCCAGATCAGATAGGTTACCCGTCTCCTCCTTGGTAAAGATTGATACAAAAAACTTATTTAGGATTATTGCAGCCTGTGCAGCATTATTTGTCATGTTGTCTCCCAAACCCACCTTCAGTGGCCCTATTCCATTACTTGTTTTCTTCTACTCTTAATGTAACTAAAAAATATTTTATTATTATCCTTCACATCTCTTGCCATGTTCAATTCAAAGCTTTTGTTTGCCATTCTGATGCCTTTTTCCTACTCCTAGCATGCCTTCTGATATTGAGTCTGACTTATTTCCATGCCTTTTTTCCTTCATGGCCTTAAATGCTTTTTCCTCTTTATGATTTACTTTGTAGCCCTGTCCAAGCAGGCGGGAGTGCCTTTAAGCTTGGTACCTTTGCTTCACATAGGTATACATTGTTCCATTGCATAGGAACATAGGAATTAGGAGCAGGAGTAGGCCATTCGGCCTCGAGCCAGCCCTGCCTTCAATAAGATCATGGCTGATCGTCTATCCTAACTCCATCTACCCGCCTTATCCCCATATTCCTTAATCCTTCTAATCCCTTAATTGCCTTCATAATCACTTCCTTGAAGGAACTCCATAGGTCCTCCACTCCCATTGACATATTTAAGCCTGCCAGGCCCACTCCGACTAAACTTCTCAAGTGCACAAAGTCGGTCCTCTTGTAATTCAGTAGTTTTGTTTGGGTTTTTAGAACTTCACCAACTCTTGTGATGTCAAATGTGATTGCATTGTGATCGCTGTTTCTTAATGCTGCTCCCAACTTTACGTTGGAGATTTGGTCGTCCTTGTTGCTCATTATCAAATCCAAGATGTTATCTCCTCTTGTTCTTACAAACTGGGTCATAAAACAGTGTTTTTTTAACTCTAGAAACCCCTTCCTTATCTTACCAGTGGACACATTATTATCCAACTCAATTTCAGGAAAGTTAAAATCTCCAACCACTATGGTTGGTCCCTTACTAATAGCCTTCCTAACCTCATCCCACAGTTCCAAATCAAAGCTTTCACCCTGGCTTTGGGATCTATAGCAGACCACCAGTAATAGCTCTGTTACCATCTTTTAATTTTACCAAACGTGATTCTGTGTATGCTCTTTCTTTTTTTATATCCTCTCTTACTTATTTTCCTTATCAATTGCCTTTGTGAAAACCGAGGCAACGTATTTATTTAATATTTGCGCTGTTTCCTTATTGTCTGCTAGTTTCTCCCCTTAATGGTCCTATCACTACTTTAACCTTTCTCATTTGCTAACATGCCTATATAACACCTACTGTTTCTTTTTATATTATTTGCTATGTTCTCATGGCTTCTCTTTGGCTTCCTAATCGACTGTTTAACCTTTTTTCTAAAATTCACTCCTATTTTCCTGTTATATCTTCCTATAATGCAGTGCCCAATATTGTACAATATTAATAATAATAATCCTTGCACTTGATATAACGCTTTCCACGTCTTCGAGATGTCTCAAAGCACTTCACAGAATATAATGTAAAGTGAATTGATTCTATATTATGTGGGTGAAACACGGGACCAATTGTGCACAGTAAGGTCTCACAACAGTCGTGGATGTCAGTTTATTGTCAGTTTTTTGTCAGTTTTTTTCTTGAGGGATTATTATATACTATATATATTCCACTGAGTCCTCACCAATAATAACAATCCTTGCGTTTGAGATATTAAGTATGACACTGAAATATCTCAAGTGCTCATTAGACTTACATAGATTGTACAGCACAGAAGCAGGCTATTCGATCCAACCAGTCTGTGCCAGTGCCAGTGTTTATACTCCATATGAGTGTACACTCAATCCTGACTCCCTCTCATTCTGTTCCCTTCCTCATGTGAAGGTTCTGCAGTTCCTCTTAAATTCTTTTAGACCCGTTGTCATTACCTTATACGGGGAATTGCGGTCAAGGGAAGTGACTGTTTCTTTAGAGGCACACGTGGAAGACATTTTGCTTACTTCAAGATAACTACAAAGGACTGTTGACCAGTTTATCTGGAGGATGGTTGGCTAGGAATCAGTAATATTTCCCTTCTCTTCTTCAATAATATCAGGGACTTTATCATCCATTTGAAGGAAAACAGTAAGGGAGTTTAACATCTCCACCAATGAATAGCGCCTCCAACAACACAGTCCTCCCCCAGTGTTGCACTGAGTGTCAGCATGAACTACATAACCCAACAAGGAGCCTGAACCACAACCTTCTTAACACCTTGTACAAATTCAACATAACTCCTTGCTGTTATATTTTATGCTTCCAGAGATAAAACCAAGGATTTTGTTTACCTTTTTGTGGCACTATAAACAAATAATAATACTTATATTTAATAGAATGCCTTTCACTTGAAGGCCTCTCAACATACTTTATAGGATATACTGGAAAGTGGAGTGACTGTGTACTTTATGGGTAAACATCCACATGTACCTGCCCTGCCACTAGTGCATTTGCACCCCCAGCTGTGTCCACTCCTCAGCAATTTAAAATCTTACCAATTAAGGTATGTTTGCTTTTTTCTAATTATTATTCCAATTATTACTAGTACTTAGTCTGTGTATTTTATATAGTGCTTATGGCACAGAAACATCTCAAAGCGCTTCTCAGTGAATGTCTGTGTATTTTTGTGTGAGAACAAGACACCCACTCTGTGAGAGGAGATGGAGGTGCAGTGTTACTAGACAAGTATCCTTAAAGGTCTGTGCTATCGACATTAGAGTTTCCCTGGGTAGTTACAGTTAAACCTGTTTTTAGCAAACTCAGGGGACTAGAGCAAAGTGGCCTTGAAGTTTGGGTGGCTTCTGAATAAAGGGTTGATTTGTTTGTTGACCAGGCCCCCAAATTATCTGCGGACTCACGTGTAGACTCACGTGTAGACTCCTGCTAGACGAGCACATTGACCAACATCGCCTCAGCAGTGAGATGGGAAGCTGCGAGCATCACATGGTAAAATGCGCTAGGAGTCCAGCGGGAATCTACACGTTGCCTGTGGAAAAGGACAATGCAATCCTGGTAACACATAAATTCACTTAGAACTAGCCACTGGAAAGGATGTCTATCGGGTGTATATCGACAGGGTTTAAAAAGTGTGGTCAGTTATGCTAAGTGCTATGAGATGTCCTCCCTATGTGAAAAATGCGATGAAAGATCCCTCAAGAGAAGAGTTTGTCCTGGCCAACAATCCCCCAGATAATAGTTAGACTCGCTTTGGACATTCACTTCATAACTGTTTGTGGGACGTTGCTGTGCACAAATTAGCTGCTACTTTTGCCTAGAAAATATACAATCACTACGCTTTTGCCTTCAGCTCCCCTCTCGACTCTCTACCCCCTCCTCGCTCCCTCCCTTCCCTCCCCTCGCTCAGACCATTTCCCCCCAATGCTCGGGTCCTGACCCAACTGTGCAGTGCCTTGGGACGTCCTCCCGACGTGAAAGGCGCTCTATAAATGGAATCCTGTTGTTGTTGTGTTGTTTACAGTAAATCCTATGAAGCACTGTGAGACAAGCTCCCAATGTGAAAGGTTTTGTATCAAATGTAAGGGTTATTATTCTAGTGGAACTCTTCATCCGGTTTGGAAAGCTGAGCATTGTGACAGATTTCCACGGACATCCAGCTGACCAGACGATGAATAACAATCTACTGAATCAAATCATCACGCACTCACCTTCAGTAACAAAGAAGATGGAAAGGGTTAAAGCCAAAAATATTTGTGCAAAGATAAACAGGTATTTTACAAAGATCGGCAATGTTTTCTGTAGCAGTTGAATAAATATTCCAAAAAATCTGTAAGGAGAAGGGACACATATTAGAAATGTATAAAGAGAAAGTTCATAGCAAGCAGAAATCTCAGGCATTTTGTAATTCAGATATTTTCTTATTTGCTCTTGCTATTAGTTTGGCTCTTGCTTCTGCATCAGAAGGATGTTTATTTAAATGTCATTGAGATCTAAGCTTGCCAAACCACTTGCATTTATATAGCCCTCTTCACAGAGGGTAGTATCTCAAAGCGCTTAACAGTGGCGGAGCCTGATACCGAGCCGGGGAGTAATGGCTGAAAGCGCGGCCACCAATAGTGGAGCAGAAGGGACAGGGGACAAACAGGACGCTGGAGTCAGTCGAGTGAGTGGTGGTGTGGAGGTAGGAGGTAGGAGGCTGCGGGTGGTGGTGTGGGGAGAGGTAGTAGGTGTCATGGCGTAAAGGGATTTGTAGACAAGTGTAAGGAACTTGAAGTCAATCCATTCTGTGATAGGGAGCCAACGGAGCCTGGTAAGGACTGGTATTAGGGTGACAGAGAATATAGCGGCTACACAAATTTTGAATTAGCTGGATTTTGTGGAGAGTGGAGCTGAGGAGACAGGTGAAAGTAGTCGACGCAGGAGGTGTCAAAGGCGCGGACGAGGATTTTGGCTGCAGTACAATCGGATGGAGATGCGACGGAGATGCAGGAAAGTAATCCTGCTTAGGAACTGGATGTGGGTTAGGAAGGACAACTGGGGAGTCACCTGATGCCTTGGTTGCACACAGGTTTGATAAGTGTCAGGGGATAGCCAGGCAAACTTGCTAGAAAAGTAGCTTGATTTGTCCAAGCAGATAACATGAAACAGCTTGCCTCTACAGATGTATGTTAAAGATCTCATAAACTACTGCAAAAGGGAAGTTTCCCCAAGTATCTTGGCCAAGAATTCTCCAGATAAATTGATCCTTAATGGCTGTTTGAGAGAAGGTGCTGTTTGCCAAATTGACTGCTGTATGTTGCTACACTTAACAGTAATTACTGCAAAGCATGTTAGGATGCAATGAAGCACTACAATTTCTGCAAATACAATTTCTTTCTATTCTGCTTCTATTTTATTCAGCTTGCAACAAAAGCAGTACTAATAATTCAGTAGTTATTTAGAGAGGAATACAGAGCTCTCCATAGATCCAATAAAAAAAGTTTAATAATTATAATAATTAAAGCAGAGAAGTTATTTATTTGCCTCAACATGCCTGCACAGCTTCCTGAAAGAGATAATAATAATCGTTGCAATTGATATAGCTCCTTGTCACGTCTTTGAAATGTCAAAAAAAGGGCTTCATACTGTAAAGTGAATTGACTTTATATTCTGGGGCGAAATGCAGCAGCCAATTGCACACAGCAGTATCCCACAAACAGTCGTGGACTCAGTGACCAAATTATTATTTTTTTGAAGGGATTACACCCGGTAAAGCGATCTGTAAATCGACTGACCACCGGGTTCACACTTACTGCTAGGTAACAGAGATGTGTGGAGTAGGGAAACTTGCGTAATATTTCACCCCAGGCCCTCTCGCTTGCGAGGCGAGTGCTCTAACCAATATGCTACACATTTTCCACATTTATAAACTCCTTCATACTCATTTATATAATCCTTCATTTTTTTGTTGTAAATGTTTCTTATTGAAATTGATTCCATGAAATTCAGAGTTGTGTACTTTGAGAATTATAAAACTTGTGCCCCTCGACTTCTCTGCTGTTTTTGACACTGCTGACCTACTCCATCTCCTCAATCAGCCTCATCTTTATCTATCTCTGTGCAACCACATTCTTCTGTTTTAAACCTATTTGATCCATTGCATCTCCTCCAACAATTGCTCTTCCCCTATTGCACGGTCAATCAACCCTCTGTAATTTTATGAGAAAGTTGCCAAATGCCCCACAATTTTGGTTAATATTTCTGCACTATTCTATTGGCCCAAGTTATAACTTTGTCACTCAGGGGCAAGAATGCTACTGACTGAATCAGACTGACTGTCACCTGTGGAAATGGATTACCTGAATGGCCGGAAGAATTTTATATTGTAGAGCCAAAGAGGTATAATAACCAAAGCAAACGGTTCAGTGATGCTTTCTTTGAGACGCTTATCCCTCAAAATAAAACTTGCAAATTCGATAAGGGCCATAAACAGCAGTGTTAGGTATAGCAACCATTCAAGGATTTTCCTGAAAAAACATACAGAAAACAAGATCGTGAAATGGGAACATTTTGGAGCAAGCAGCCTCAAAGTCACCCACCTTTTTCCTTGCAGACACCTCCTCCCTCTTCACATCCCTATCTCTGTATTGAGCACCTCTTCATAATGGCCGATTTTCACTTACATTCCTCCTCCAACATCTTTCAGCCATTGCTTACTCAAACTCTGTAATTCTCTGCCTCAGTTGCTCTGCCTTGTCCATTCCTTGCCCATCTTCAGATCACACCTAAAGACCTTCTTCTTCGCCTGCGCCTGTATTGACCACCCCTCAGCTCAGTGTCGAGCTCCTGTTAAGTACTCTGAGGCACTACCCCATGTGAAGGATGCTATCTGAACGCAAGCTGTTGTTGTTTGTCCCCAGCTCGGGCACCCAGCCAGGATTGTAATACAAACCTGAGAGGTGCATTGCACTGTGTATTGAAATATTATGCATATGGTGCCATCTGATGTTACAAAGCAGAACTACAAGCAAAGGAAAAGAACTGGTACTTTTCTGTGCCTTATCACAATGTTCACAGTAGTGGAGGCTAATGTTTCAGCCACTTTGCACAGTATATCCTTCTACTCCAGGATAATCCTGAAGGCGAAGAACAGCCCCAGGCTTCTGTTTTCTACCACATCCCGACTCCTCCGTCCCCCCCGCCACCCCGCGCAGGTCATCTCCTCCAACCTTCACTGCGAGGAGATGCTGGATTGCCTTGAATCCAAAATCAAGGGAATCCGCTCCTCGGTCACTTCCCCTCCAACATCCACCCACCTCCCACCCCTTCCCTCCCACACTCCGACTCCTACCCATCCTCCCCTACACACTTTCGTACCCGTTTCCCCACTCTGTCACCAAACTCATCCTATCCCTGAAACCCACCACCTGCTCCCTTGACCCCATCCCCACTCCACTCCTTATCTCCCAGCTCCACCTCCTTGCCCCACATATCACAGACATCGTCAACCTGTCCCTCTCCTCTGGCTCTGTTCCCATTCCCTTAAAAACTGCCACCATCACTCCCACCTTGAAAAAATCCTCTCTTGATGCGTCGCAGCTATCAATCTCCGGCCCATCTCCAGCCTCCCCTTCCTGTCCAAGGTCCTGGAACGAGTTGTGGCCTCCCAGCTGCGCTCTTTCCTCTCCACCCATTCATTATTCGAACCCCTTCAGTCGGGTTTCGGTGCTGCCGATAGCACAGAAACTGCCCCGGTCAAGGTCACCAATGTCATCCTGACCACCTGTGACCAGGGCTCCCTCTGCCTCCTCGTCCTCCTCGACCTATCGGCAGCATTCGATACGGTCGACCACGCTATCCTACTCCACCGCTTGTCCTCCCACCTCAACCTTCAAGACCCTGTCCTTGAGGGGTTTAGGTCGTACCTCTCCCACCGTCTTCACTTTGTTTCCACGAACGGCTTTTCCTCCACCCCCCGCACTGTCTCGTGCGGTGTCCCTCAGGGCTCTGTCCTCGGTCCCCTCCTCTTCACCCTCTATATGCTTCCCCTGTGGTGACATCATCCGCAGACATGGGGTTAACTTCCACATGTATGCGGATGGCACCCAACTCTACCTTTCCTCCTCTACCCTCAACTCCACGACCCCGATGTCCTGACAGCTGTCTGTCCGACATCGAGTCCTGGACGAGAGACAACTTTCTTCAGCTCAACGTGCGAAAAACCGAGGCCCTCCTGATTGGCTCACGTCAGCGCCTCCGCACCTCAGGCGCTGACAGCATCAGCATCCAAGGCTGCACTCTCCACCTCTCAAAGCCGGTCAGGAACCTCGGGTTCTGTTCGACCCTGAGCTGTCCTTTCTCCCTCACATCCGCACCACAACTGGCACCGCCTTCCATCACCTCCGGAACATCGCCAGACTACGGCACTACCTCACCCCTCACGCGGCTGAAACTGGTCCACGCCTTTACCACCTCAAGGCTGGACTATGGGAACTCTCTCCTCGCCGGCCTTCCCGGCCCTCCCTCCACACTGCAGGTCATTCAGAACTCTGCAGCTCGTGTACTGTCCCACACCAGACACCGCGCCATCACTCCCACCCTCGCCCTCGCTCTCACCCTCACCCTCGCCCTCACCCTCACTCGCCTCCACTGGCTCCCCATCCCCCAGAGGATCGAATTCAGGATCCTCACCCTCACCTACAAGGCCATTCCCGGCCTCGCTCCCTCCTACCTCTCCGACCTACTATCTCCCTACCTACCTGCCCGTACCCTCCGTTCCTCTGGCTCTGGTCTGCTCCACGTCCCCCGACCCAACCGCCCTACCATCGGTGGCCGGGCCTTCAGCCTCTCAGCCCCGAGGCTCTGGAACTCTATCCCCCAGTGCCTTCGCCGCTTCCTCCCTTTCCTCCTTCAAGGCCGGTCTCAAGACCTTTCTCTTTGACCGTGCCTTCAGCTCCCCTCTCGACTCTCTACCCATTCCTCGCTCCCTCCCTTCCCTCCCCTCACCCTGACCATTTCCCCCCTCCTCGCTCCCTCCCTTCCATCCCCTCACCATTTCCCCCAATGCTCGCGTCCTGACCCAACTGTACAGCACCTCGGGACGTCCTCCCGACGTGAAAGGCGCTCAAAAATGGAATCTTGTTGTTGTTGTTGTTGTATATTGTACTAACTATCTGTATTAACAGTGCCACTTATATAGTCTGATATAAACAGTGACACCTCTATATAGTCTGATATATAGTCTGAGGTGCAGATTGCAAGAGTAGAGCTTCCCAATGTTTGTCCAACTATGAACACCCTTCCTCTTAGGGCTTGCAAGCTGAATAATAATAATAGCCCTTGCCTTTGGTATAGCGCCTTGCCATGTCTTCTAGATGTCTCAAATATACTGTAAAGTGAATCGACCGTAAATTTTGTAGGCAAAATGCGGCAGCCAATTGCGCACAGCAATATCCCACAAACAGTCATGGATTGAGTGAACAAATTATTATTTTTTGTAATGATTATTACGCCCGGAAACCAATCCACCAATCAACTAGCAACTGGGTTCCTACTTACTGCTGGGTAAACAGAGGCGTGTAGTGAGTAAAGTTGGCCAACATTTCGCCCTGCCGGGAATCGAACCTAGGTCCTCTTACTTGCGAGTTGAATGGGAAAAATCTCTGACCCAGTGACTGTGAACTCACCTGGTTCAAAAACTGAACATCCGAAACCTCCACATGGTTATTCATTGACAACATTCTGTTCCCGAGTGTGCCATCTTGGAGTCAGTTCCGCTCCGAGGGAAACCTTCCCAATTCCCTCCCCTTCCCACCCCCCAAGGATTTGATATTAGTTGTAGTATTCTTGATTTAAATGAATGTATTCCACCAGAAATTAAAACTTACCACAATGTTAAATGATAATAAGGTTTCATGCGGCTCAGTTCTGTTAACTTGTTCTTCAAGTACTCTTGATCCTGTGAAAACAAAGTTCACCCACGTACAAAATACCAACAGACCTAAACACCTTAAGATAACCAGAGTCCTGGGATTAATGTCAAGAGGTATAGAATTGAAAGACAAGGAAGTATTATTAATACTTCACCTTCAAAGCCCTCGATGGTCTTGTTCCCACCTACCTCTGCAACCTCCTAATCCCCTACCAACCTGCCCGCTCCCTCCGCTCAGCGGGCTCCGACCTCATATCCCCTGCCTCTCGCATCCCACCTTTGGCGGGCGGGCGGGCGGGCAGACTTTCTGGCACTCTGCCCCACCCTCTGGAACTCCATCCCGCAGTCCCTCCGCCTCGCCCTTTCCCTTTCGTCCTTCAAGACCCATCTCAAGAACATCTTCTTCAACCCTGCTTTCGATCACGCTGTTTCGCCCCCATGCCTTCCATCCCCCCCATCCCCAACTCCAACCCCCAGCTCGGGTCCGAAACACTGACTGTCTAGCGCCTTGGGACATCTTCCCGACATTAAGGGTGCTATACAAATGCGATTTTGTTGTTGTTGTAATAATAATAATCCTTGATAGAACATCTTCGAGACGTCTGAAAGCGCTGCACAGAATATACTGTAAAGTGAATTGACTGTATTTTCTGTGAGAAACCAGCAGCCAATTGCGCACAGCAGTGACTCACAAACACTCAACTATACCTTGGGCGAAGCTGGATTGCAGTACTTCAGTTCATAAGTAAAAGACTGCTCTTGCTGTTTCTTCCACGTGTTAAACACTCTTTTTATATCAAGGAATCTATAAATGTCCTGAGTAATCATAAAGACAACTTCAAAGATGCAGAAAGCACCATAAAACAAGTAAATCAACACCTGTGTAAAGAAAAGAACATTTCATCACTCTGGAAAATAATAATATAATAATAATTTCTTGCATTTGATACACCACATTGGCCCTTTTTATAGCCTTATCTATCTGAACAAGTATAGCCATTTAAGGATTTGTGAATCTGAATCCCTCACATTCTTCAATAAAGAATTCAGGTTGTTCAGAATTTTTTCCTGTTATCAGAACTACATCATGCTGACCTGAGGGAATTCTGCTCCAATGCAATCTATTTCCACAATGGAATTCCTACATTTCTTTATCAAGTAAAACCCTATCAAGAATTGCCACAATTTAGACCCAACTATTAAATAGCTATTAAATAGCTGGTGCTCAAATAAACTGCTTATGGACATGAGTCCCATTGGACACAAAGAAAGAAAGAAAGAAAGGAAGGAAGGAAGGAAGGAAGGAAGGAAGAAAGGAAGGAAGGAAAATAAAAGGGAGTTTTAGGAGGAACATCTTCACACAATGGGTGATAACAGTGTGGAACTCCCTGCTGGAAACTGTGGTTGAAGCAAAAAGTGTCAATGTACTTTGGAGGAAACTTGATAATAATAATAATCCTTGCATTTGATATAACGCCTTATCACGTTGTTGAGATGTCTCAAAGCGCTTCACTACATATACTGTAAAGTGGATTGCCTGTGTATTTTGTGGGCAAAACGAGATAGCCAATTGCAGACAGCAGCGTCCTGCAAACAGCATGAAGTGAGTGACAAATGTTATTTTAAGGATCTGTTGGCCAAGATACTTGGAGAGAGAAACTCCCTTCTCTCTTTGGATAATGCCATGGGATCTTTAACAACCATCTGAACTGATTGGGCCTCAATTTAACATCTCATCCTAAGGACGGCACCTTCTACAATGCAATACCCCCTCAGCAATGTACTGAAGTATCAGCTTACACAATGTGAGGTCAAGTCCCAATGTGGGCTTGAACGCTCAACCTTCTGACTCAGAGGGGAGAGTGCCATCACTGCGCCAGGCTGACACCCACAACAACAACAACAACAAGATTCCATTTATTGAGCGCCTTTCACGTCGGGAGGACGTTCCAAGGCGCTGTACAGTTGGGTCAGGACCCGAGCAAAGGGGGAAATGGTCAGGGTGAGGGGAGGGAAGGGAGGGAGCGAGGAGGGGGTAGAGAGTCGAGAAGGGAGCTGAAGGCTCGGTCAAAGAGAAAGGTCTTGAGACCGGCCTTGAAGGAGAAAAGGGAGGAGGCGGCGAAGGCACTGGGGGATAGAGTTCCAGAGCCTCGGGGCTGAGAGGCTGAAGGCCCGACCACCGATAGTAGGGCGGTTGGGGCGGGGGATGTGGAGCAGACCGGAGCCAGAGGAACGGAGGGTACGGGCGGGTAGGTAGGGGGATAGTAGGTCGGAGAGGTAGGAGGGAGCAAGGCCGTGAATGGCCTTGTAGGTGAGGGTGAGGATCTTGAATTCGATTCACAAGTGAACATTCCTAGCCACTTCTCCCTGAAAAAGCTATTTCTTAGGTACCGAACCCTTTGTAGAGCTTTATCCAAGGACATGGTGACTCCGTGCATTTCTACTGAACACTTGTGGACAAGGCAGAGGTTCTTACTTCTGGTGCTGACGGTATCCACTTTGTGACCTTGCCTTGTTTGACTCCCAATTGTCTTTCAAACCCCACATCCATGCTCTGACCCCATCTTTTCCACACATCTGAAACATTGCCCAGCTCTGCCAGTGCCTTTCCCCTCGGGCTGCCAAGATACTAATCCATATAATACCTAGGCTTGACTACCCCAGTACTCTGCTCACTGGACTACCCAGCTCTTTCCTCCAGAACTCCGTTCTCCCGCACTAAGCTCTGGGAAACTATCATCCCCAGCCTCACTCGGCTTCATTGGCTCCCTACCTCCCAGTAGATTGAGTTCAAAATCTTTATTCTCACCTTTAAATTATTCCTATTCAATCTCACTCCACACTTAAAAGATCCCATGGCACTTCTCGAAATCAGTTTCTCTCTCCCGTTGTCCTGCCAACAATCTCCCAAATAAAATAGTCATTCACTTTATGGCTGTTTATGGGATATTGCAAATTGGCTGCTGTGATTTGCCTACAAAATGCACATTTCATAGAATCATAGAATTTTACAGCACAGAAAGAGGCCATTCGGCCCATCGTGCCTGTCGGCTCTTTGAAAGAGCTACCAACTAGTCGAACTCGCCTACTCTTACCCCATAGCCCAGCAAATTTATGTAAATTTACTACATTTTAGTTTATCCTGTAAAGCACTTTGAGACATGCTCCAGAAATGAAAGGTGTTAGATCAAATCTAAGGATTATTATTATTATTAGTATTAATCCAGTCTCAATTTGGAAGTGGTTTCTTTTAAAGAACTGCAGAGAAAAACAGTTCCAAATTAAGACTAAATTTAATAATTTTATTATATTTAAGGCAAAAATAGTGTTACGGGCTAAAACTTTGTGGAAATTCAGACTAATACATTTCCAGATGGAACTATAAGGGACGACTATATGTTTTAGAAAGATTGCGACTACTCGATAGATCAGCATAGTTTTAGCAAAGCAGCTGTTTTGTAATTTCTACTGCATTATATGATGAATGAAGGAAGAACTGTCCTCAAATCTAATGCATGACAACAGAGTGGGGAAAACAGCTGTCTGAACCTCGTTTTCTGGTGCCTTTTCCAATGAACAATGAACTATTATCCTCAAAGTTTCAAATGAATTAAAACCCTTGATTTAATTCTATTATGCTAATGAATTTCAGCCTGTGTGCCTAGGTTTTACACAGAACGTATTCTTCAGAGAACCAGTAAATGGGAAACAAACACACACTTGTAGTACTGTAGTTCAGTGGTTAGAGCATTTGCCTCGCAAGTGAGAGACCTGAGTTATTCCCAGCAGGATGAAACCTTGAGCAAGTGTCCTTACTCCACACTCCTGATAATAATCGCTTAAGTAAAAAATAATAAATTGGTCACTTGAAGCCACAACTGTTTGTGGAGACGCTGCTGTGCACAATTGGCTGCCGCGTTTCACCCACAAATATGCACTCAATTCACTTTACAGTCTATTCTGTGAAGTGCTTTGAGACGTGTAGAAGACGTGAAAAGCGCTATATCAAATGCAAGGATTATTATTATTCTTTATCTGTGATTAAAACAATTTAATTTGATTGTACTGAAAGAGACTCAGGGGCTTTTAAGTATCAATATCTATTCTTTTTTCAAAATATATTAACAACAAAATATTGAATGCAGGCAAATGTGAGGTTTTACATTTTGGGAGGTAAAATAGGAAAACAAATATATAATAATCCTTGCACTTGATATAGCGCCTTATCATGTTTCGAAACATCTGGAAGGGCTTCACAGAATATACTGTAGATTTTGTGAGCGAAATGCGGCAGCCAATGACACACAACAGTGTCCCACAAAGATTGTTGGACTGAGTAACCAATTATTATTAGAAGGAGCAGAAGAGCAAAAGGGCTTAGAGGTTAACAAATATAAATCATTGAAGGTGGGAAAGGTGAACAAAAGTGTCAAGAAAGCAAATAGATTCCTAGATTTTATAACTAATAATAATCCTTGCATTTGGTATAGCGCTTTTCATGTCTTCTAGATGTTTCAAAATGCTTCACAAAATAGACTGTAAAGCGAATTGGCCATATATTTGTGGGCGAAATGCGGCAGCCAATTGTGCACAGCAGCGTCCCACAAACAGTCGTGGATTGAAATGATCAATTTATTATTGTTTTTTTGAGCGTTTTTATCAGGCGTGTGGAGTAAGGAAACTTGCCCAAGATTTCACCCTGACCTGCCGGGAATCGAACCCAGGTCTCTCTCTTGCAAAGCAAGTGCTCTAGCCATTGAGCTATAGGACCAAAGGTTATATTATAGAATATAAAAGCAAAGAGGTAATGCTAAGTTGTTAGTTAGACCGCAGTTAGATTAGTGTGTCATTTTGATGATACCAGGGATGAGTGATTTGCTGTGAGTGGAGACTGGAAGAACCAGGGCTTTTCCATTGGAACAAAGAAGGTTGAGGGATGATTGAGGTCTTTAAAATTGAGAGGATTTTGATAGTCAGTAGGAGAAATGACTTCACTGGTCAGTGAGTCAGTGACTACAAGGCATCAGTTTAAGATTGCTAAAACAGCACAGCACAGGAGGCCATTCAGTCCATTTAGTCCCAATCCCCTGCCTTTCTCTCAGACCCATTTATAACTTTTTTCTCTCTTGTCAAATTCATTTTTAAAGCTATTATGGAATCTGGTTCAACCACCATTTCCGTCAGACAATTCATGTCCTAATAAACCTCTGTAGGGAAAAAAATAATCTCCTAATCTCTTTCTTTATTATTTCCATAATGATTTTAAAGAATAATAAAAATAATAATCCTTGTATTTGATATAGGACCTTATCACATCATTGAGATGTCTCAAGAGTTTCACAGAATATACTGTAAAGTGTAGTGACTGTGTATTTTGTGGGCCAAACAAAGCAGCCAATTGCGCACAGCAGTGTCCCACAAACAGTTAATGACTCACCAACCAATTAAGCTTCTCCTTATATAAATCTGAATTTTGAACAGACTCCAAGAATCATTTTAACTTCTGTTATAGTAAAAAAAAGTTCTGGTTTCTCTCGATTCTCCCCACAAGTAACGATTTTTAACCCTGGTATTGTTCAGTACATTCTCTCGGTAAATCTTAATAGCTAGAGTCTCTTTAAGAACTGCGGAAAAATATTTCTCTACACTTTTCAATTGAAACAGCATTGTATAATGGTTTGATTTTAGAGACACGGTGTGGCATTCAATGATAAAGTAGCTAGAATCAAAACAATAGCTTAAATTCATGTAGTAGCACTTCCATAGGGTAATGACTGAGATCCCTTTACAAAATGGGGTCGATCACCAAGCAAAGATGAAGGAGTCAGGGACCATAAGCTTGAAGAGGTAGGATTAAGGCAGAACTTAAACAGGGAGAGAGGGACCAAGATATAAGTGGGGAGTTCCAGGGGTTATCTGAAGGATCGGCAAAGAATGGGTGACTGTTTGTTTTGTAGGCCAACCCAATGGCCAAATTGCGCACAGCAATGTCTCACAAACAACCATGGAGTGAGTGATCGATTTTCTTTCGGGAAATTTTGGCCAGGATAGCAGGAGCAACTCCCTTTTTTCCAAACAGTGGGAACTTTAACGTCCACCTGAACAGGCAGACGAGTCCTCAGTTTAACGTCTCAACCATAGGACAGTACCTCCAACAACGCAGCGCACCCAACACTGCATTGAAGTGGCAGCTTATACTATGTGAGTTTCAAATCCCCCGACGTGGAGCTTGAACCCAGAAGCTGACTCAGAGGCGAGAGTGTTTCAACTGAGCCTGATACACCAGCTTGATACACTTACAGTGAAATGTCATGACTGTATTTGTAGGAAACTCAGCAGGTAATTTGCACACAGCAATGTTTCACAAACAGCCTTGAATGAATGGCCGATTTTATCTGAGAAATTTGTTGTCGTTGTTGTTGCCAGGACACTGACAGGAATTCCTTCTCTTTTTGAATAGTGCCAGAGAAACCATCAATGATGACACTATGACCACGCATATTGGCATGAAATAATTGCCAATTATTTCTAAGGGTCTTTAAACTCTCTAATTTAACAAGTTTTAAATTAAATGATACTTGCCTGCTTGTTTAACTCAATTTTTCTCATGGTGTTTAGGAATATAAACAAAGTCCAGGATGTCACAAATATAAGGTTAGCTACCAGAAGGAGCCACATTTCCATACTGTAAAGAAATATATATTTGAACAATTTTTGAGAAAAAGTTTCAAGATAAAAACACTTTAGGGTTCTAATAGTAATAATTCTGACAGCTTTTTGCCACATACATAAATTATTTGGATGAAGAAATAGAAAGTTTTATATCCAAGTTTGCGGATGGTATTAAGATAGGAGGTTCAGGAAGTAGCGAAGATGGGAATAGGAAGTTACAGAGGGACTTGGACAGATTAAGTGAGTGGGCAAAGATGTGGCAGATGAAGTTCAATGTAGGGAAGTGCGAGGTCATCCACTATGGACCGAAAAAAGATAGGGAATAATAATAATAATAATCCTTGCATTTGATATAGCGCTTTTCACGTCGGGAGGACGTCCCAAAGCGCTTCACAGAACACACTGTAAAGTGAATTGACTGTATATTTGTGGGCGAACGCGGCAGCCAATTGCGCACAGCAATGTCCCACAAACAGTCGTAGATTGAAAATGACCAATTTATTATTGTTTTCGGTTTTTGGAGGGATTATTATTAGGCTCTGTGTGGAGTAAGGAAACTTGCCCGAGGTTTCGCCCTTTCTTAACGGAGAGAAATTAAGAGCTGTAGAGGAGTAAAACGATTTGGGTGTCTATATCCACAAATCACTAAAAACTAGTTCCCAGGTGCAAAACATAATCTCGAGAGGCCTGGAATTGAAAGGGGAAAAAAATGATGCTTCAGCTGTATAGAGCGTTAGTCAAACCCCACCTGGAGACTGCGTTCAGTTTTGGGCACCACAACACAGGAAAGATATATTGGCCTTGGAGGGGGTGCTATGCAGGTTCACCAGAATGTTACCAGGCTAAAAAGGGTTAAGTTACGAGGAAAGGCTGTGTAAACTTGGATTGTATTCCCTCGAGGGGTGATTTGAAGAAGGTTTTAGAATGATAAAGGGATTTGATAGGGTAGATGCAGAAAAGCCATTTCCTATGTTGGGGGAATGCAAAACAAGGGGCATAGTCTTAAAATTAGAACAAGCATTTAAGAGTGAAATCAGGAGTATTTTTTCACTCAAAGGGTGGTAGAAATCTGGAATTCTGTCCCCCAAAAGGTCGTGGATGCTGGATCCATCCACACCTTCAAGAAAGAGATTGCCAGATGTTTGGTAGGTCGGGGTATTAAGGGATACGGGGAGAAAGCAGGAAATTGGATTTGACATTCTAGTAAAAATATAGATCAGCCATGATCTAATTAAATGGCGGAACAGGCTCGACCGGCTGAATGATCTACTCCTGTTCCTATGTTCCTATCATGGCTTATGTTGACATCTCAGTTGCTGTTTGAGAGCATCACAACAACAAAAGCAGTTTTATTTGAAAGAAATGGGGTTCACAAGTTTAGGTGGTGAAAATGGCCCATTTGAACCCTCTCTTGCAAAATAACTACCCCTCTGACTCTCAAAATTCCTACCCTTCTGATTTTAATAAGTCCTGTTCTCAACCACCCTTTACTGGTAACCTGGTTCCAGTTGTTCACTACCCTCTGCGTAAAAAAATACTTCCTAATGTCTGTCCTGAAATTGCTCCGTGCAACCTATATCTCAGCCCATTCAAAAGTTTTGTTCCGAGTTTAATTTCTCAATCTCATTTAAGCTATGCTTCACTGATCATTCTTTAAAATAAGATTTCCGGTTGTAAAGATCAGGTGAAACAATAACATACATAACAAACATATAAGAAAGAATTTGCATTTTTATAGTGTCTATAACATCAAACGAATCAAAACCTTTTACAGTAACTACTGTGATTATAAGAAATAATCCTTGCATTTGATATAGCGCCTTATCACGATTTCTAGACATCTCAAAGTGCATCACAGAATATACTGTAAAGTGAATTGACAAAATTTTTGTGTGAAATGCACAACCAATTGCACACAGCAGTGTCCCACAAACAGTCGTGCATTGAAGTGACCTTTATTACTATTATTTATTATTTGAGGAAATTATTACCCCCCGGAGAAGTGATCCACCAATCAACTAATATCCGGGTTCCCACTGACTGCTAGGTAAATAGAGGCGTGTGGAGTAAGGAAACTTGCCCAACATTTTAGCCTGCCAGGAATCGAATCCAGGTATCTCGCTTGCCAGGTGAGTGCTCTAACTACTGAGCTACAGGAATCCAGATGTGTAATATTGAGTTTTTGTAGGTAAACAAGCACACAGCACAATTAATCTGGACACTGTGGTTGGATCTTTAATAAGCTACTGAATAAATCGATAGGATTTTGCTTTAAAAGAAGACAAAACCGTTGCATTTGAAACCCTTATTCATGCATTCATTACATCGAGGCTTGAATATGCAAACTTGTTTGTCGGCCTCCCCAACTCTTCCCTCCAAAGGCTGCAGATTATCCAGAACCCTGCAGCCCGTGTCCTCTCCCGCACCAGGCTCCATGACCCTATCACCCACATCCTCACCCAACTCCACTGGCTTCCCATCACACAGAAGATACAGTTCAAGATCCTGGTCCTCACCTTCAAAGCCCTCCATGGTCTTGCTCCCCCCCCACCTCTGCGACCTCCTTACCCTCTACCATCCTGCTTGGTCCCTTCGCTCAGCGGGCTCTGACCTGCTTCACGTCCCCCGCCTTGCCAGCCCCATTGGTGGGCAGGCCTTCTGCTACTCTGCCCCAACCCTCTGGAACTCCATCCCGCAGTTTCTCCACCTCGCCCCCTCCCTTGCCCCCTTCAAGACCCATCTCAAGACCCTCCTCATCGACCGTGCTTTCGATCACCCTGCTTTCTCCCCTGCCCTCCACCCTCCTCAATCCTGTACTTTGTGTAAAAAAAAACTTCCTTTGAGATGCCCAGAAGATGTGTTAAGGCACTATATTAAATGCAAGGATTATTATTTATTATTACGCAGGAATTACTGTAAAAGGTTTTCCCCAGCTCAGGTCCATAACTCTGTCTGTCCAGCAGCTTTAAAGGTGTCTGTCCCAACGAGAAAGCCGCTATACAAATGTAATTTTATTGTTGACGTTGAATGATATGATCATTTTCCGCAACATTCATCATTTTAATATAATTAAAAGCAAAGAAAATGGCATTAAATCAGAATGCTTCAGAAACTGAGGTGAGCCTGAGACTGTAAAACCTTTCTAAAACAATAATCTGCATTGCAACATAGGACCAGAAGACAATTCAGCCCATGCTACACCAGTGTATGAGACCATGGCAAAAGATTTATTCTATTTCCAATTCTCTTCTCCATACCCCTTAATACCCTTACGTCTTAAGCATCCACCCACCACCCATCCATCCATCCATCCATCTATCCATCTATCTCTCTCTCCCTTTAAATAAACTCAATTGAGATTACGTTCTTCTGAGTATGGGAAATGTAGTCCACATTCTCACAAGCCTATGTGTGAAGAAATCTTTTGATCTCCCTTCTAACTCTAATATTATCTCTAATATTAAGCTCACGTCACTTTGTTATGGATTCCTCAAGCGAAGGGAAGAGTCATAGGTGACATATACTTACACTCCATAAATTTTCCACTTGATATTCACAAACTTTTGAACAATGGGATGTTTTGCTAGGTTGTATAATTCATATTGGACAATAAATTGCATCTAGTTGAATAAAAAATAATTTATTTCAAAGTGAGAAAACCCAAAGCAGGATTGAGTATTGCAATTTCTCAATGTCAAGTATCTCTCAGCCAACATTTGACTTCTGACATGTTTTTGGTTAGTTTCATAATTTCTAACACTTAAAAATACACCAGCGTTTTTCTACTAGAGGCAGCACAGTCTGTCACTAGAGGGACACAAATTTCTTAGCTCGACCAGGAGAGCTTAGCTCAGGTTGGTATCAGCCAAGGCTATGGGAGTGTTGAGTGTACTTTGGGGTAACTGCTGGAGTTTAGCCAGACAAAACAGTGCAGTTTGCCATTGCAGCTACTGGGAAGCTTCCTGCTGGTTGTCTAGCTAGGCTATCCTGTTCATCAGGACTGTGGGTTGTAAAGATAACAAGAGGTAGGAAGGATGAATCTCTGCTCCCAGTGGCCAGTATGCTATCTTCCCAGGCCTGGTTGGTTGGTCATCAATAGCCTGTCTGGCTCAAGTCCCAGAACATCAAGACAGAGGATTGACTCACTTCCAATATTTCATTACTAGGCACATCAACTTGAAGCCAACTCAGTCCCACAGACTTCTCTAGCCTCTCTCCCAAGGAGGATGGTCACTAGTGGATCATTGGACATGTTTAAACCTTTGCTCAGTGGATAGCAACCAGCAGGAACTCCGCACAAGCTACTTATATACAGCATAATTCACCAAGAGAGCATTACTATCGTCCTCCTACCCTCAGCACTAGCATCTCCCTACCTCTTGTTGGTCAGCTGGATGTCTGACACATGCAGAAACCATACTTTAAGAGCATCTAAATCAGACTGAGATCCACATGTGCCACCTACCCATGGAAATTTTCCTGTGTTCAGAATAGAGCGTGGATTCTCACAAGATCAGGTTTTGTTTGGATGAAAAAACCTGTTCGCCCAACAAATCTCATCCCTTAGAACACCCACCCTTCCGTCCACTATCACTACATCAAGCTGCTTTTTAAATGAGTCCAGTGTCCTGGCAACCCTGGGATACACCTCATTTATCTATTCTAGAGAGTATTAGGCACAGGAGCTCCATTGATACCATACTGTCACGTGTTCAAAAAATTGGTTCCATGTTTATGGTCAGTGATATCCTTGGCACAATCACTCGTAGCACAACGCATACCAAGGGTTAACTCCTTTGTTAGTTTACACCAGCATTAAATAAGGAACGTTATGTATTTTACCCCCAACGAAACATACTCGTTAGTGCTAATGAATCCGCAATACACATATCAAAGTCAAACCATCTGTCAAGTGCTTATGCAAACAATCTCTTTGAAGCAAAAGTTCCACCCTGCGTTTGATATATTTCAAAAGAATAGCTGGACAAGCAGCGGGAAAGCTTGCTGGATAGCAACATCAATGGTAAGCTATGCGGTTTTAGCTGGTTAAACTCCAGCAGCAACCGCAATGCACACTCTCGAGTCCGCAAGCCTTGGCTCCTGCCAACCTGTGCCTAACACTTTCTGGAATTAGGCAAGCAGGATGCATCCTTCCAGGGAGAGAGCGCATTCCATTCCAACAATCTGTCTGGGATTTCCATGTGTAGGTGGGATGTATGGAATTCTCAGCTTGGTTTGGAGACTCTGAAGCCTGGTGAACATCCACATGTGTTAGACACCCAGCTGACCCCCACCAAAAATTCAAAAGAATTAGTGACAATTCAACATATTTGTTAGATTGTACTCACAGGTCTCCTGGAATAAACCCCTTGTAATGCTGTTTAAAAGAGGGAGAAAAAATTAATTTCTAGTTTCTGAATCAATTTGCTTAAAACGGAAATTAACCTATATATGCAGCATTGTATTATTATAATAATCCTTTGATATAGCGCCTGTAGCATCTGGGTGGACATGACAGCCAATTTGCACACAGCAATTTGTCTGATCTGCATTCCAGTTGTTCCAGCTGCCTCACACGTCAGTAAATACCATGTAAAAGAGCTCTTTCTCCCTTCAGGATTCGCTGATCCTCACCTCAAATTCTAAATGAGGACCCGCTCATTCTTTACGTGTCCACCACCTGTTCTTCCCAGTCTTCAGCCAATGAATTTTTAATTGAATAAACTTGTATTCATGATACCATAGTAACCTCAAATTGTAGTTATTATTGGCTGCATATTAGGGTCACAATTGAAACCAGATGTCAGAATTGAACCAAAGTATAAAGAGCTGATAGTTTGGTATTCATGTAATTTAGACCTGTTTATGGTCTGCCTCACTGCTCTTCTCTAGGGCCTGGGTGGTCCTCTCGTGGCACATAACAGATCGGTGTGCAATACTCTCAGCGTACCCTGACCAGAGCACAGTACAGCCTGGAATCTTGTTGTTCTGATTTGATAATTTAGCACAGCTGCTTCCACATAGGGAGCATTCAGTGAACTAATCCTCTCGGTCTCTCTCTATGTCCTACTTGGCAAGTTCTGTCCCATCCAATTGAGTGCTTGTATCTCCTATATTTGCTTCCTATCTGCAATACTTAGCTTATATCTATCATGAATGTGCTCATGATTATGACAAGTAATGTCAGAGTTACTTTGTACGTTCTTAATTGCTTACTCTGATTTTACAGTACAACAACAAACAACAAAATTACATTTATAGAGCCCCTTTCACGTCGGAAGGACATCTCAAAGTCAAGTGTCAGGATCTGAGCATGGGGGAGAGGTGGTGTAGAGGTGACGGAAGGCAGAGAGAGGTGGGAGCGAGACCAAAGGCACGGTCGAAGAAAAGGGCATTGAGACCGGCCTTGAAGGAGGCAAGGGAGGAAGCAAGGCAAAGGGATCGTGGGATGGAGTTCCAGAGTGTGGGGGCAGAGAGACTGAAAGCCCAGCCACTGGTGGTAGGGCAGGTCGGGCAGGCCAGAGCCCGCTGAACGGAGGGAGTGGGCAGGTTGGTAGGGAGTCCGCAGGTCAGAGGGGTAGGAGGGGGCAAAGCCATGGATGGCCTTCAAGGTGAGGACGAGGATCTTGACCTCGATCCTCTGAGGGATGGGGAGCCAGTGGAGTCAGGCAAGGGTGGGAGTGATGGGGTCACGGAGCCTGGTACGTGAGAGTACACGAGCTGCAGAGGTTTGGATGATCTGCAACTTGTGAAGGGAAGAGTTGAGAAGGCCAATGAGGGAGTTCCCGTAATCGAACCTTGATGTGACGTTCCCGTAATTGAGCCTTGATGTATAGTAATAATACTGTTACTTTGAGCAGAAGGCCCAGCAGGGTCAGGAGTGAGAATGCTGTTAAGGAATTTGGTGAGAGTGGGAATTCTTCAGGAAGAGAAAGACCAGAGAGCAAGAGTGAACTCTTTCATTCAGCAGAAGAGTGTAAAATCTTTCTTGAGGTAGACGCATCCGTATACTTAAGCAGGTAAACAAGTCAATTGGCAGTTAATCATAGGCGAGATGTTGGAGATTAATAAATTTGCTGAACAATGGAAACTGGAACAGAGAGACCTGGGGGTTCATATAAGTAAATCCTTGAAGGTGGCAGGACAGGTAGATAAAGCTGTTTAAAAAAAAAAGAATATGGGATACTAACTTTATAAATAGGGGCATAGAATACAAAAATCAGGAGGTTATGATAAAACACTGGTTAGGCTTTAGCTAGAGACTGTTCAGTTCTGGGCACCACACTTTAGGAAGGATGTCAAGGCATTGGAGACAGTGCAAAGGAGATTTACCAGGATGGTACCAGGAATGAGGGGCCTCAGTTATCAGGAGAGACTAGAGAAGCGAGGATTATTCTCCTTGGAGCAGAGAAGTTTAAGAGGAGACTTAAGACAAGTTTTCAAAATTATGAGATTTGATAGGGTGAACAAGGAGAAACTATTTCCACTGATGGGTAGGTCAGTTACCCGAGGACACCAATTCTAATAGCTGTTAAAAGAAACAGAGAGGAGGTGAGGAGAAGTTTCTTCACACAGCGAGTTGTTCACATCTAGAATGCACTGGTTAGGCCTCAGTAAGAATACTGCGCCCAGTTCTGGGCACCGCACTATAGGAAGGATGTTAAGGCATTGGAAAGGGTGCAGAGGCGATTTACGAGGATGGTACCAGGAATGAGGGGCCGTGATGATGAGGAAAGGCTGGAAAGGTGAGGATTATTCTCATTGAAGCAGAGAAGGTTACGAGGACCTAATAGAGGTTTTCAAAATCAAGAGGGGATTTGATGGGTTAGAAAGGGAAAAACTGTTCCCACTGGTGGGTGTTGGTGACTCGAGGTCACAGATTCAAAATAGTCTCTAAAAGAAGCCGAGTGGAGGGGAGAAGAAATTTTTTCACGCAGTGAGTTGTTCAAATCTGGAACCGTGGGGGAGTGGGATTGATTTGGATAGCTCTTTTCATGGAGCCGGCACAGACACTATGAGCCGAATAGCCTCCTTCTGTGCTGTATAATACAAGCTTTCATTACATGCTTTCATTACATCAAGGCTTGACTATGCAAACTCATTGCTTGTCGGCCTCCCCAACTCCGCCCTCCATAGACTCTGCATCCAGAACTCTGCAGCCCGCATCCTCTCCCGCACCACACTCCGTGACCCTATCACCCCCATCCTCGCCTGACTCCTCTGGTTTTCTATTACACAGAAGATACAGTTCAAGATCCTGGTCCTCACCTTCAAAGCCTTCCATGGTCTTGCTCCCCACCACCTCTGGACCTCCTAACCCCATACCATCCTGCTCACTCCCTCCGCTCAGTGGGATCCGACCTGCTTCACGTCCCCACCTCGCTCACCCCACCATTGGCGGGCGGGCCTTCTGCCACTCTACTCCCACTCTCTGGAACTCCATCCCGCGGTCCCTCAGCCACGCCCCCTTCCTTGTCTCTTCAAGACCCATCTCAAAATCCTCCTCTTTATCCGCGCTTTCGATCTCCCTGCTTCCTCCCCTACCCTCCACCTTCCCCGAACTCAACCCCCAGCTCAGGTACAAAACTCTATCTGTCCAGCGCCTTGAGATATCCTCCTGATGTGAAAGGCACTATACAAATGTAATTTTGTTGTTGTTGTAAGATTCTATGAACTGGGTGCTTTTGTTTGAGTCCTATATAAAGGGGAAGGCTTGCAAGAGCCCAGCAACGTGAGAAGGAAACTGAGTGAGATGGAATAGAGTGAGAAATCTGTTAAGGAATTTAGTGAGAGTGGGAATTTGCATAATTATACAATAATATAAAATATATCTGGGAATATGGCAGGGCAGAAAGGGGCGGGCAGTGCAGAAATCCCCTGATAGTGTGGCACTCACAAACCGGTTCTGTGCTGAATACTGGTGAGGGTGATGACCTCTGGGGAGTGGAGGTAAAAGCAAATGAATGCACAAGGGGACACAGGGAAGAGTGTCAATGCAATTGGCATTGGGGAAACAATGGTGAAAGAAGTAGTCAGGAGTTTCTGCAACCAAGGAACCCTGGCGCTAGAGAGGCAACATACCATGCTCTCACATTGTATGTTGCCTCTCTAGCGCCAGGGTTCAAGACATCATGGAACGGCTGCAAAACATTCTATTGGGGGAATGGGAACATTCAGAAGTCATGGTCCATGTTGAGATCCATGACCTAGGGGAAAAAAAGGGCTGAGATCCTACAGGGAGAGTATCAGAAGCTAGGGAAAAAGCTAAAGAGTAGGACCTCAAAGTGATCTCCCAGTGACTTGTGCAAGTGAGTATCAAAACAGCAGATCAAACCGTGAGCGCATGGCTGGAGAAATGGTGCAGAAAGGAGGGCTTCAGGTTCCTGGATTATTGGGACCAGTTATAATAATAATAATAATCCTTGCATTTGATATAGCGCTTTTCACGTCGGGAGGACGTTCCAAAGCGCTTCACAGAATATAATGTAAAGTGAATTGACTGTACATTTGTGGGCGAACGCAGCAGCCAATTGCGCACAGCAATGTCCCACAAACAGTCGTAGATTGAAAATGACCAATTTATTATTTTTGGGGGTTTTGGAGGGATTATTATTAGGCTTATGGAGTAAGAAAACTTGCCCAAGGTTTCACCCTGCCTGGAATTAAACTCAGGTCTCTTGCTCAGTTCTGGGGCAGGTGGGATCTGTACAAGGTGGATGGGTTACACCTGAACAGGGCTGAGATCAACGTCCTCGCAGGGAGGTTAACTCGTGGTGTAAGGGTTCAAACTAATTTCGAGGGGGGGAAGGAAATCAGGATGTAGGATCAGAGAGGACAAACAAGTTACATAGAGAGCTGGGAGAGATGAATAGCGACTTAATAAGGAATAATCCAGAAAAAAGAGGGGTTAGATGGGGGAGAAATGCAGAGCAAACTCAATCGGTCTTGGAGTGCATGTGCGGAAATGCACGGAGTATGACAAATCAGATTGGTGATCTGCACCTCAAGTTGCCACTTGGGGTTATGATGTAGTGGCAATAACGGAGACCTGGCTCAAACAAGGACAGGAATCGGATCTGAATATTCCTGGTCTCAATGTATTCAGGAGGGATAGGGAAGGAAAAAAAGGAGTGGAGGTGGCGATATTGATTAAAGACGTAGTTACGGCACCATGTGTTAGAGGGTCCAAAAACAGAATCTATTTGGTTAGGAGCAGAAAAGGAGCTGTTACCCTGTTGGGTGTATTAGAGTATTAAATACAGTTTTAGTTCCCACTTTAGGAAGGCCAACAGGGGGACATAGAGAAGAGGTTTATTAGGAAAATACACTAGGAGTGGTTTGACCTATGACTTAGTGAAGGAACTAGGTTTATTTTTCAATAGAAAGTTAGAGAGACCTGATAGAAATTTTCAAAATTATGAAGGATTTTGATAATCAATAGGGAGAAAATATTTCCACTAGTTATTGAGTCAGTGACCAGAGGGCATGAATATAAGATACCTAAGCTAGGAAGTTGTTAATTTGGAGATTTTTTTATACAGAGAGTTGCTTCTAGATGCAGTGATCGAGGCATGATTCATATTAGCTTTCAAGGGAGAATGAGATAGCAATCTAAAGAGAAGTAATCTGCAGGGATAAGGGGAAGAAGGCACTTTGGATCATTTTTCTCATCCTTCCAGATTACCCACCTTCACATCACAGCATCAAGCTGTTTTTTTTACGAGTCCTTGAACAAAAGCTGGCCATTTTAACTTCCCGTGCTAAAACAACGGCTGACTTCATCATTAGGAAGGGACACTTGCAGTGGCCTGGTCATGTTTCCCTTCAGCACACAAGTAAATTCAAACTGTTTCAGATCATAATCACAGCATTTCAAGAACAACAAATTTGAAGTGTGATGATGGGATTTGAGGCGCTTTTAAGTATGCCAAAACCACATTAAAACAATGCTCCATTGTATTGAGGAGAGCCCACAGATGCCAAGTATGGCTCTGTTAACAATTCTGAATATGGGAAACACATTTGCTTAAATCCAATTTGTTGAAACCACCGCAATGTCCGCTGACTCCTTAAACATGTCAATGGACATGTTTATTCAACATAAACTCCCTTGTCTCTCCAAATACCTTGAAGTATAGATCATCTAACCATGAAGACACATTTTCACTACCAAATACAGGCAATCTTGTCTAGAACTTACACTTGTTGTAAATCGGCTCTAAACATTTGAGATAATAGTATGATCGTTGAGTAGTAGGATTATGATAAATAAGTTTGTCCAAGCATTCCTCAGCCTGTAGTAGGAAGCACAGTGCAGATCAACATGTTACTTCTGTTTTTTATAAATAATAATGTTTGCATTTGTTATAGCACCTTATCATGTTGAAACTATTCAAAATGCTTTCTATAGTAACTGGCGCTGACAGCATTGCCATCCATGGTTGCACACTCCACCTTGCTAAGCCAGTCCCGAACCTTGGGGTCTTGTTTGACCCTTAACTATCCTTTCTATTCCACATTCGCACCATGACCCGCTCTGCCTTCCCCCACCTCCGCAATGTCGCCGGACTCCGACACTGCCTCACACCACAGGCCCCCGAAACCCTCATACACGCCTTCATTTCACTGAGGCTCGACTATGCAAACTTACTGCTTGTGGCCTCCCCAACTCCTCTCTCCACAGGCTGCAGATCATCCAGAACTCTGCAGCCCGTGTCCTCTCCCGCACCAGGCTCCGTGACCCTATCACCCCCATCCTCGCCCAACTCCACTGACTTCTCATCACACAGAGGATACAATTCAAGATCCTGGTCTTCACCTTCAATACCCTGCAGTCTTGTCCCCCCTACCTCTCCAACCTCCTAACCCCATACCATCCTGCTCACTACCTCCACTCAGTGGGCTCCGGCCTGCTTCACATCCCCCGCCTTGCTCACCCCACTATTGGCGGGTGGGCCTTCTGCCACTCTGCACCCACCCTCTGGAACTCCATCCCACAGTCCCTCCATCTCGCTCCCTCGCCACCTTCAAGACCCACCTCAAGACCTTTCTCTTCGACCATGCTTTCGATTCTCCGCTTCTCCCCTGCCCTCCACCCTCCCCCACCTCGATTCCCAGTTCGGGTCCGTAACTCTGTCTGTCCAGCACCTTGGGACATCCTCCCGACGTGAAAGGCACTATATAAATGTAATTTTGTTGTTGTTGTAACTGTGTGTTGTAAGTGAACATGGCAGCCAGTTTGCGCACTGCAACATCAGTTAGCAACACTCTATCTGATGGTTTAAGTTATGGGTTGAAACCCCACATTGAGGACTTCAGTTCACAGCTTAAGCTGACACTCCAACATTGGGGAGCATTGCATTGCTGGATCTATTGCCCTTCAGATAAGATGTTAAAAAGGTAGATGCTTGCCTTTTCAGGTATTCACTAAACTTCCAAAGATACCATTCAAAAAGAGAAGAGAAGTATCTTGGCAAACAATGCTCCAGATAAAATAGGTTGTTAACTTCCAGGTTCTTAGTAGTTCTTTGCCATGTTTAAAATGATTACTGTGATTGCCAAAAAAGTCACTACAATTGACAGTAATTACTCTGAATTGTTTTGAGATGTAAAGGGGCTATAAAAATGCAAATTTTTATTTAAAATACCTAATCCAGTTCCTGATAAGATACTGAAGAATAACAACTAGCATTTATACAGACCTTCATGCAGGATAGTGTCCCAGAGAGCTGTACAGAGGCGGGTTCAGACACCAAGCAAGGGAGAAGGAGGAGGTGACCATAATGGTCAAAGAAGTAAGACTTCAGGTGACTGAAGATAGATAAGGGAAATAGAGGGATTGAGGCAATGTAAATGTAAATTTTCCACAAGATATTATGGGATAAGATTTTACCTAGTTTTAGATTTACTCGATCAACTGAGAATTTTAGGGTGTGCAGAATTTGTCAAATTATTGAATTTAGTTTTAACTTTGAAGCCAGTTTTCTGCAGTTCCTGAAAGAACTTATATTAAGTCAGATTCAAAATTAAAAAATGTTTCTATTAATTTCACAAATTCTATGTGTTGTATATTATCTTACACCTTGATATGTTACATTAATGGAGTAAATCTAGACTATTGGAATTTCTACCCATATGTCTGTATACACTTTCAAAAGGCATAATTTTGCTTTGAAAAAAGGGCATCATTAATTTCTTACCACATCAGGCATGTTCATTATCATTAGTGACAGAATGGATTGGCCTGAAGCATCAACTGTTCGAAAATCTACATTGTACTGCAGAAGCAGTCTGGTTGCCTTGGTGTGACCTGAAAAAAAGTAATGACACATATTCATTACAAGAAAACAATTGAATATTGGAGAACCATGTTAAAACTTCAGAGGAGCCAGAGTGAATGAACTTTATAATAATAATAATCCTTGCATTTGATATAGCACTTTTCACGTCGGGAGGACGTCCCAAAGCGCTTCACAGAACACATTGTAAAGTGAATTGACTGTACATTTGTGGGCGAACGCGGCAGCCAATTGCGCACAGCAATGTCCCACAAACAGTCGTGGATTGAAAATGACCAATTTATTATTGTTTTGTTTTGGAGGGATTATTATTAGGCTCTGTGTGGAGTAAGGAAACTTGCCCAAGGTTTCGCCCTAACCGGCCTGGAATTGAACTCAGGTCTCTCGCTTACAAAGCGAGTGCTCTAACCACTGAGCTACAGGACTCCACAAACCTTAAACTGTTCAGACTCCATTCCCCTTCTAATTGTACATTGCCTCACTGAAAACTACAACATACAATAGTTCGAGGCCATTCAACTCTTTGTATTCATCGGCAGATCTGGCTGGACCTTATCAAATCTTACCACTCCGCCCTCGCCTTCACTAAATCGTCATTTTTGGAGGCCAAGGACACCCCCGACTCCTCGCCTCCATTACCAACTGGCTCCTCTGCCCATTCTCTCATCCTCTTCTCCAACACCAACTGTGAGGCAATGCTGGACTTCCCCGAAACCAAAGTCGAGGGGATCTACTTAGCTGCCTCTGCCATTCCGTTTAATAATAATAATAATAATCCTTGCATTTGATATAGCGCTTTTCACGTCGGGAGGACGTCCCAAAGCGCTTCACAGAGTACACTGTAAAGTGAATTGACTGTATATTTGTGGGCAAACGCGGCAGCCAATTGCGCACAGCAATGTCCCACAAACAGTCGTAGATTGAAAATGACCAATTTATTATTGCTTTTGGTTTTGGAGGAATTATTATTAGGCTCTGTGTGGAGTAAGGAAACTTGCCCAAGGTTTCGCCCTCTGCCTGGAATTGAACTCAGGTCTCTCACTTGCAAAGCGAGTGCTCTAACCACTGAGCGACAGGACTCCACTAACCTCTCCCTACTCCCCCTCACACCACAACCCTTACCCACCCCTCCCTCCACACCTACGAACCTGTCTCGCACTCCTCTCTCACCACCACTATGAAATCGACCACCTGCTCCCTCAACCCCATTCCTATCCCTCTCCTTACCCTCCCAGCTCCAACTCCTTGCCCCTCTATTCACAGACATCATAAATCTCTCCCTATCCACTGGCACTGTTCCCACATATAAAAAAACAGCCGTTATCACTCCTATCCTTAAAAAACTTTCCCTGAACCCATACTCTCAAACTACCGCCCCATCTCCAACTTCCCTTTCCTCTCCAAGGTCCTGGAATGAATCATTGCTACCCAGCTTCGCTCCTTACTCTCCTGCCAATCCCTTCACGAACCCCTCCGATCGGGTTTCCGTGCCATCCAAAGCACAGAAACATCTTTGGTCAAAGTGACCAACTAGATTTTGTCCATCTGTGGCCAGGGCTCCCTCCGCCTCTTCATTTTCCTTAACCTTTCCGCTGCCTTCGATACCATTGTCCACTCTAACCTCCTCCACTGCCTCTCTTTTCACCTCAACCTTCATGGTTGTCCTTGAATGGTTCAGCTCGTACCTCTCACACCGTCTCCACTTCATCTCTAAATGGTTTCTCCTCTAGCCCCTCCTCTCGTCTCGTGCAGTGTTACTCATGGCTGTGTCCTTGGTCCCCTCCTCTTCAATATTTATGTGCTTCTGTATCAATCTCCCAGGATTCTCACTCCACCTTACTGAACTCGTATGTTTCCCTGGTGTTCTGTTTGACTCTCAACTCTACTCCAAACACTACTCTGGTATTTGACCAAAGTCGCCTTCTTCCATCTCTGGAATATCACTTGCCTGTGTCCCTGTATTACCACTAATCCTCTCATCCTCTCTTCATGACCATAATGTTAGACTTCTCCAATACTCCCCTTGCCAGTCAATTTAAATTCTAGTTTACCTAAATCAGCCTGATTCAATTATAGCACTCTACCCTCATAGTCAGAGAGTTATGGAATTAAACCCTACACCAGGACATAGTCTCGTCTCGCTCGGTTTGCTCTGCAAGGAAATGGTGGGGAGAGCTGCATTGTTGGAGGTGCTGTCCTTTGTATAAGACAATAAGCCAAAGTCCTGTCTGCCTGTTCAGATAAACGTTAAAGATCCAACAACAATAACTTGGATTTATATAGCACCCTCCACGCTGGACGGCGTCTCAGAGCATTTCACAGTAACGGATCCCAGGGCCAAGCCAGGGGGAGGGGGAGAGGGAGGAAGGTGACCAAAGGCACAGTCGAAAAGAAAGGTCTTCAGCAGAGACCTGAAAATAGGAAGAGAGGGGGCGAGGCAAAGGGAGTGAGGAAGGGATCCCATGGCACTAATCAAAAAAGTAGTTTCTCCTCGTTTTCTGGCCAACAATCCCTCAGATTATAAAATTGGTCATTCATTTATGGCTGTTTGTGGGACATTGATGTTCACTAAACTAGCTTCGACCTTCCCCCTGACATATCAAATGTGAGAATTATTATTATTTACACTTCACTGGAAATCAGTGTTTGAAGTGTATAATTCAGAATCCCTCAATCATTCAAATTAAATATTGAAGTTAGATAGAAATCTAAAAACTTATGTCCCTGCTACTTTCAACAAAACTAAATTATATCTGAATAGCACCTTTTACATCAGTAGGACGTCCCAAGGCACTGGACAATCAGAGATTTGGACCCGAGCAGAGGTTTGGGATCAGGAGGGGTGGAGGGCAGGGAAGGGAGGGGTAGGAGGATGATCAAAGGTGCATTTGAAGAGGAGACATGTCTAGAAGGGGAGGAAGCAAACAGGTCGATGTGGAATTTCAGAAGAAATTGCATCAGTTCACGATCACATTCCTTATCTGGTAAATGACCTTACCATACTCAACAGCGAGAAACAGTGGTGTCCTTGCTCTCTGGTCTCGGGCTTCAATATTAGCACCATTTTCACACAGATAAAGCAGAGTGCAGAGTGAATTATGTTTTGCAGCATAATGAATTGGAGCTTGAAGGTCTTCAAAAGTCTTCGTATCTAGATCAACATCTATACAGAATAATAATAGTAATAATAATAATCCTTGCATTTGATATAGCGCCTTATCCCACCTTCGAGATGTCTTGAAGCGCAACACAGAATATACTGTAAAATTAATTGACTGCATATGTTTGGGAAAAAATGCTGCAGCCAATTGCATACAGCAGTGTCCCACTAATAGTCGTGGATTGAAGTGACCAATTTTTTTATTAAGGAATTATTACCCCTGGAAAAGTGATCCGCCTAACGACTAACAACCGGGTTCCTACTTACTGCAAGGTAAACAGAGGCGTGTGAACTAAGGAAACTTGCCTAACATTTTACTCAGCCGGGAATCAAACCCATCTCCTCTAGCTTGTGAGACCAGTTCTCTAACCAATACGCTACATGACTCTACAAAATATTATGCATATTATAGAATAATCAATTGTTTGACAAACTATATATCGGTGTTTTTCACCACATGAACCACCGAGGAAGTGAGGGACAAAATAAGCAACTATAGACCTGTGAGTTTATTGATGGAAATTTCCAGAATCTATCATCTATCAACTTCCATATGTATGCAGATGACACCCAACTCTGTCTCTCTGCTTCAAACCTCGACTCCAGGACCATTTCTATCCTGACCGACTGTCTGTTAGACATTAAGATTCATATGAAAGCTTACTTTCTACAGCTGAATGTCGACAACACCGAGGTTCTCCTGATTGGCTCCTATCAGCACCTCCACACCTCATTACCAGACATGCATCCCCACTCTACCTCACTGAGCCAGTCTGGAATCAACTATCTTTTAAATGCCATGGTCCATCAAAACCCAAATTTCTGTATTAAGGCATCTTTGTTTAAAACTCAAGTGAAATGATTGAGTGATCACGCTTCACTGTACCTACCATTTTCCTTGGCTAAGATCTCAAGCACATCCACATTATTCCTCGCTGCAAGGATGTGAACCGTAGTCCTTCCCTGAGCATCACAGTCGTTCACATTAATTTGTTGACTCCTTATTAACTGTACTAATTTTGCTGTGTCGCCATAAGCTGCCTAAAATAAAATTAAACAAAATAATTACTAAGTATAATAATGATTACAAAAAATCTGAATCTTAAATAATTTTCTACATATTGTTGTGGCAATACAATTTACGTTTATATAGCACCTTCATGCTACATAATATCATCATGCTGGAAAATTATGAAATACTGTATATATAAATATGTAAATAAATTTATATATATTTATATATACAAATATATTGAAATATACAGAAATTCACCATATAAATATATAGACAAGGCTATGGGGAAAGAGCGGAGGAGTGGGACTAATTGGATAGCCGGCACAGGCACGATGGGCCAAATTGCCTCCTCGTACGCTGTAGGATTCTATGACACTTCTTAAAATATTTTTTACAGTTGGCTGAAAGCTCGCCAAACAACAGTGAACACCACTTTCCATAGCCCTAATTCACTTTGCAGTAGTTTAAATTAAAAGAAAATAAGTTACATCAGTTGTGGTTGTCTCATATCATACCTCATGAAGCACATTTTGTTTGACACTATCAACATTTTGTGGGTCATCATCAGGATTTGTGTTCTCTGGTGAGTTATATTCAACTTCTAAATACACAAGCAAAACCACAATAGTTAGTTCTTAATATACAAATACATCAGCTATACGATTCCTCAACAAGAGTAAAAAAAATTGGTGCTAAATATAATAAGCAAAATTACAAATTGCAAACACAATTTAAGTATCACAGGGCATGGTGTGTATGATTGGAGCACTTTAACAAATGTATATTTAAAGTATTCTTATCTTCTCCAGGACCAAGTGTTGTGACTTTGAGCTCACAGTGTAGACTAACACTCCAGCACTGTACTGGGGGAGCGTTGCATTGCGACAGATGCTTTCTTTCAGATGAGACCTTAAATCGAGGTCACTAACAATACATTGGAGGTTTGTGATTCCTGGCTGAAACTAATCAGCCTGAAACTAAGCCTATGAGATGATTGATTTATTCATATATTTCAATAAATAATGTATATTAAATAAAATAACCCATCTCCTGCAGTGAGTAAAAAGGTTGTAGACTAATCTAAAGGTACAGATAATGTTACAAAATGCTCCTGGTAATTTAGAATGTAATCTGAACCTTTTAATTTAATTACATGCTTGTAATTTGCTCCAGGTATTCAAATCACCTAATACTGTAGAAAGTCCCAAGCAAATTAGTTTGAGTCACGTCAATAAACTTGTTAGTTGGCATATGTCAACACTAACTGCACATAAAATGCACTAATAAATTCACAACATCAATCAGACAAGCCTTAAGAGTGCTAACATGAGTCCTTGTCCATCATCTGTTACGAAAGTAGGAACAGAAGGAGCCATTCATTACATAAGATCTCCACTGCCAATTTATTAGATTATGCCAGATCTTTTAATCCCATTTCTATTTTGTTCACCAGTTATAGTACTGTTGCAGTACAATGAGATTAACCATACTTGCTAGCAACCTGTTTCAGTTGTTAGTTACGCTCTAGGTAAAGAAAAACTTTCTGACATCTGCCTAAAATTGATCTTTACAACTCTAAACCCATGTCCTCCTGTTCTACTGTCTTGGTGCATTCTAAAGTATTATTCAGGGTTTACTTTTCAATCTAATTTTAAATAGTATTCACATCAATACGATCCCCTCTAACACGCCTTCTCTCGAGACTGAAGAGCCCCAGCTTGCCTAATCATTCTTTCGTTTAGAGTCCTGTAGCGTATTGGTTAGAGTACTTGACTCGCAAGTGAGAGGACCTGGGTTTGATTCCTGTGCAGAGCAAAACCTGAGGCAGGTTTTCTTACTCCATATGCTTGTGCACAGCAGTGTCCCACTAACAATCGTGGATTATGTGACCAAATTATTTATTTTTGAAGGGATTATTACCCCATTTCTCCTATTCCCCACTATTCCCCAATTAATAAATAAAGGATCCAAAATAATTATTTATTGTTAATTATACCAAATATTATACATGAATACATTAATAAATTAATACATTAAGAAATAACACACAATAACAGTTATTCAGTAAAACACTCTTCTTCATCCCTCCGCCTTGCCCCTACTTTCCTCATCTTCAGGTCACATCTAAAGACCTTCCTCTTTACTGCGTCTACAATCACCTCCCCGCTCCCCCGGCTCAGCATCATGCTCTTCCACTGCCAAGCGCTATGGGACGTTACCCTGTGTGAGGGGTACTATATAAAATGTTGTTGTTGTTAGTACTTGAATCGTTTTTCAAAGATATGTGTTTTTTTCTCCTGCCTTATAACTATTGTGATTTATTATTGTTATATTTATTATTCGTTACATTTATTATTCGTAAATAATTGAACATCTGTGATAAATCACAAGAATATATAGTAATTAATTAACAAAAATAAATCACAGTAATAATAAATAATAGTACACATTATTGTTAATAATAAATCAGAAAGTAAAAAAGTGACAAATTAAATTATAAATCATGCACATTATTAATAATAAAGCACAATTGTGAATAATAAAATAATCAATCACATTAATACTAAATAATAATTCTGGGAAAATGAGCTGAAGGAATCCTCACCTGACTGATCTGCGATATGCGGATTACTACTTGCCATTTAGAGAAGCAATTTTTTTCTTGCTTTATTCAAAAACAAAAACAACAAATAAATTGAACAAAAAATAAAGAAATTGATATATTAAAAGGATTTTGTGGGGTGGTGGGTGGGGTGTTGCACCTCAAACTCTGAGCTATTCCTGCAGCTGAGATGTCACCAGCCCCAGGGCTCAATATATTTATATTAATAATACCATTTGGTATATGTTCTCAGACAGTTCATCCTCACTTTAATATCACAGTTACTTTAGCAGCCGAACTGTACCATCTTCCTCACCACAGCTGGAGGTGAGGGTGATGACACCTCTGGGGAGAGGAGTCAAAAGCAAATTGATGCACAGGGTAACACAGGGAAGAGTGTCAATCAAATCTAACTAAAGAAACTAAAATGAATATAGACTAAATTTAAAAAATATTTACACTAATTTAATTAATATATAACTAAATAACCATCAAGTCATTTGTAATTAAATAATAAATGACAACTCAATAATAAACAAGTTAATATTTATATATGTATATATATAACAAACTAATAAATAATTCTTCTTCAGCCCCTCGGGAAAAACTTTTCCCCCCAAAACGAGAAAAAACACTCCAAAATATTAGTCCTGGACTGTTTTTAGCATAAAATCTATTAGGAGTAAAATGTTGTTATATTGTCAATGTTATATTACAGATAATATTATAATTTATGGGAAATACTGTAGATGTTATTATAATTTAGATGGTTTCATTGCATATTGGTTAGATGGTTATATTGAGAATATTGTGATATATTGTGATGGTATATTGTGATATTTCTGGGGTATATTATGATATTTATGCGGTATATTGTAATAGTTAGGAGGTATACTGTGGTATTTACAGGGTATATTGTGGTATATTATGGTACATTGTGGTATATTGTGGTATATTGTATAGCAGAATTCAGATACTATGAGCAGAAATCCCAGGGAACTGAGGAGGAACTGAGTGAGGTGGAACAGAGTGAGAATTCTGTTAAGGAATTTGGTGAGAGTGGGAATTCTTCAGCAAAAGTGATACCAGAGAGAAAGAGAGAACTCCTTCATTCAGTAGGCAAGTGGGAAATCTTTCTTGAAGTAGAGTGAGTGGGTGACCACCCAGTGTGTTAGGAAGAGGAGACGAGCAGTGCAGAAATCCCGAGAGTGTGGCATTCACAAAGCAGTTCTCTGCACTGAATACTGGTGAGGGTGATGACACCTCTGGGGAGAGGCGTCAAAAGCAAATTGATGCACAGGGTAACACAGGGAAGAGTGTCAATGCAATTGTCATTGGGGATACAATGGTGAAAGGAGTAGACAGGCATTTCTGCAACTAAAAACATGACTCTTGCATTGTATGTTGTCTCTCTGATGCCAGGGTTGAAGACAACACGGAAGGGGTGCAAAACATTCAACAGGGGTAAGGGGAACATCTAGAAATCGTGATCCATGTTGGGATCCATGATGCAGGGAAAAAAAGGGCTGAGATCCTATAGAGAGAGTATCAGAAGTTAGGGAAAAAGCTGGAGTAGGACCTCAAAGGTAGTGATCTCTGGATTACTCCCAGTGCCTCGTGCAAGTGAGTATCAAAACAGTAGGATCAAACACATGAATCCATGGCTGGAGAAACAACAACTTATATAGCGCCCTCCACGCAGGGTACTTCTCAGAGCGCTTAACAGTGGCGGAGCCTGAATTGTGTGCAGGATAACTTTCTGGATCAGTATGTTTCCAGCCCGACGAGGAAGGAAGCAGTGATGGATCTAGTTCTGAGGAATGAAGTGAGGCAAGTGAAGCAGGTTCTAACAGAGATTAGCTTTATGGAAAGGAGGAAGGAACAATCAAAGGTGAAGGTACTCATCTGAAAGAGGGCTAATTTCAGTGAGTTAAAAAGGGACCTGGCCAAGGCGGACTGGAAAGAAAGATTGGCAGGTAAAACAACTAACGAGCAATGGCAAGCCTTCAAGGAGGATATAGCTCGGGGACAGAACTAATATATTCCCACGAATATATTCCCAAACCTCCCCGGATGAACAAGGAAACTTAATTAAAATAAAATTGAAAAAGGAGGTTTATGATGAACATCAGGTCATCAGGGGTTGTTGCTGTTGGGGGGGTTGGTTGCTGTTGGGGGGTTGGTTGCTGTTGGGGGGGTTGGTTGCTGTTGGGGGGGTTGTTGCTGTTGGGGGGTTGGTTGCTGTTGGGGGGGTTGGTTGCTGTTGGGGGGGTTGGGTGCTGTTTTGTAGGGAGATATGGGGGTATATTGTGGGAGTATATTATTTGGATATATGGGGGGATATTGTGGGGGTATATTGTGGTATATTGTGGGGTATATGGGGGTATATTGTGGGATAATGTGGGGGTATATTGTGGGGTATATGGGGGTATATTGTGGGATAATGTGGGGGTATATTGTGGGGTGTATTGTGAGGGTATATTGGGGTGTATGGGGAGGTGTGTGACTCACGGACTCTCATCGCGGCGGTTGAGAAGCAAAAGCGCGCGAACAGGTAAACGGTCGCCGGCTGACCGTTAGCTCACGTGACCATCACACCACGTGCTCCTCACACCCCCCCCCCACCCCCTCACTCCCCCCCCCATTGTCCCCCCCTCACTCCCCCCCTCACCGTCCCCCCTTCACTCCCCCCCCATTGTCCCCCCCTCACTGCCTCCCTCACTGAACCCCCCACTGCCCTCTCCTCACTCTGCCCCCCCTCACCGCCCCCCCCTCACTGTCCCCCCTTCACGCCCCCCCATTGTCCCCCCTCACTGCCTCCCTCACTGAACCCCCCCACTGCCCTCTCCTCACTCTGCCCCCCTCACCGCCCCCCCTCACTGTCCCCCCTTCACGCCCCCCCATTGTCCCCCTCACTGCCTCCCTCACTGAACCCCCCCACTGCCCTCTCCTCACTCTGCCCCCCTCACCGCCCCCCCTCACTGTCCCCCCTTCACGCCCCCCATTGTCCCCCTCACTGCCTCCCTCACTGAACCCCCCCACTGCCCTCTCCTCACTCTGCCCCCCCTCACCGCCCCCCCCTCACTGTCCCCCTTCACGCCCCCCATTGTCCCCCCTCACTGCCTCCCTCACTGAACCCCCCCACTGCCCCCTACCGCCCCCTCATTGAACCCCCCCCACCTCCACTGTCCCCTCACTGCACCCCCCCCCACTGCCCTCTCCTCACTCCCCCCCCTCACCGTCCCCCCTCACTGTCCCCCTTCACTCCCCCCCATTGTCTCCCCCTCACTGCCTCCCTCACTGAACCCCCTTCCCACTGCCCCCTCCCTCACTGACCCCCCTCACTAACCCCCCCACTGCCCTCTCCTCACTGTCCCCCTTCACTCCCCCCCATTGTCCCCCCCTCACTGCCTCCCTCACTGAACCCCCCCTACTGCCCCCTCACTGAACTCCCCCATTGACCCCCTCACTGATCCCTCCCTCTCACTGACCCCCCCCATCTCACTGACCCCCCCCTCACTGACCACCCCTTCTCACTGGCCACCCCGCCCCTCACTGACCCCCTCACTGACTCCCCCCTCACTGACCCCCGCCTCACTGACCCCTACCCTCTCACTGAGCCCCCCTCACTGATCCCCCCTTCTCACTGACCCCCCTCACTGACCACCCCTTCTCACTGGCCACCCCGCCCCTCACTGACCCCCTCACTGACTCCCCCCTCACTGACCCCCGCCTCACTGACCCCTACCCTCTCACTGAGCCCCCTCACTGATCCCCCCTTCTCACTGACCCCCCCTCACTGACCACCCCCCTCACTGACCATCCCCCCCTCACTGACCCCCCTTCTCACTGCCCCCTCCTTACTGATCCCCCCCTCGCTGAGCAGTGTTCCCCTCCCCTCAATGACCCCTCCCCCCCACTGAACAGCCTCCCACTCATGGACCCCCCCTCTCACTGACCTCCCCCCTCACTGAACCCCCCCCATCTCACTGTGCCAATGGAGTCGGGCGAGGGTGAGGGCGATGGGGTCACGGAGTCTGGTGTGGGAGAGGACACGAGTCTCAGACGTCTGGATGATCTGCATCCTGTGGAGGGAAGAGCTGCGGAGGCCGACCAGGAGGGAGTCTCCGCAGTTGAGCCTTGAGGTTACGAAGGAGGGTTTCGGTGGCCTGAGAGGTGAGGCAGCGGCAATGTTGTGGCGATGGGGGAAAGTACTGCGGGTCATGGCGTGGATATGGGGGAGGAAGGACCGTTGAGGGTTGAACACGACGCCCAGGTTCCTGACTGGCTTGGTGAGGTGTGCATCCGTGGTTGAGGTGCGGAGGTGCTGGCGCGGAGGGCCTCAGTCTGGCTGACTTTCCGCTGTAGAAAGCTGGTTCTCATCCGGGACTTGATGTCTGACAGACAGTGTGTCAGTGTGTGCCAGTTGTCCTGGAATTGAGGATGGAGGCAGAGAGGGAGTTGGGTGTCATCTGCGTATTTGTGGAAGTTGACCCCATGTCTGTGGATGATGTCACCAAGTGAGAGCACGTAGACGGAGGGGACCGAGGACAGAAGAGCCCTGAGGAACACCACATGAGACTGTGTGGGGCTGGAAGAGAAACTGTTGGCTGAGACAAATTGGAGGCGGTGTGAGAGATAAGACCTGAACCATTCAAGGACTGAACCTTGAAGGTTGAGGTGAGAGGAGAGGTGGTATATCAAATACAAGGATTATTATTAATAATAAATACAACTTGGAGGTGATGGTAAAATGTGTATTCTCGAAGGATGAGGTTATTGGGCCAATAACCCTAACGGCATTCTTCATCCAAACCAATCTTGTGAAATCTGCAGATGTAATACTTGTATTGTACGAACCCAGGTGTCTTGTTTGACCCTCAACTGTACTTTCTCCCCCACACGACCCGCTCTGCCATTCCCCCACCTCCGCAACATTGCCCGACTCCGCCACTGCCTCACCCCTCAGGCCGCCAAAACCCTCATACACGCCTTCAGTACAATTCGGCTCGACTATACCAACTCCCTGCTTGTCGGCCTTCCCAACTCTTCCCTCCACAAGCTGCAGATCCGCCAGAACTCTGCAGCTCATGTCCTCTCCCACACCAGGCTCCGTGACACTATCACACTCAATCCTCGCTCGACTCCACTGGCTCCCCATCCCTCAGAGGATCGAGTTCAAAATCCTCGTCCTCAACTTGAAGGCCCTCAATGGGTTTACCCCCCCTATCTCTCCGACCCGCTGACCCTTTATCAACATGTGCGCTTCATGTCCCCTGCCCAGCCCACCCCACCATCGGTGGTTGGGTCTTCAACCTCCCTTGAACGTTTTACACTTTCATTGTCTAGCACGTCAAAACATCTCATAGTGCTTCACAGGAACACTGACAAGTGTAGCGGCTGTTGTAGAGAACTGTGCAACATTTCGTGAAGGAAAACAACACCTAATTGGGATTATATCAAAATGAGGACAAAAACAACAGGAATTGACAGGATAGTGGGGAAACCTAAAATATCTTCACAACAACTCAATAATACTCTCTGAATATTACCTTAATAATCCTTGCATTTGATATTGCGTTTTATCACATCTTTAAGATGTCTCAAAGAGCTTCACAGGATATACTGTAAAGTGAATTGACTGTGTATTTTGTGGACAAACCCAGCAGTCAATTGCGCACAGTAGTGTCCCACAAACAGTTGTGGATTGTGTGACCAAATTATTATTTGTTTATTTTTTTCAATTATTACCCCCGGAAAAGTGATCCGCCTGTCGACTAACAACTGGCTTCCTACTTGCTGCTAGGTACATAGAGGTGTGTGGAGTCAGGAAACTTGCCAAAGATTTGCCAGCTCAGGAATCAAACCCAGGTATCTCGCTTGCAAGGTGAGCATAGGTGTATAAGAATAGGAGTTGGCCATTCAGCCCTTGAAGTTTGTTCCGCTATTTAATTAGATGGCTGATCTGTACCTCAACTAATCATTTCAAATCTAATTTCCTGCTTTCTCTCCATATCCCTTCGTACCCTGACCTATCTATAGCGAGTGCTGTAACCACAAGACTATAGGACTCCATAATCGTGAAAGGATCAACACAATAGTGAAAGAGTTAACACACACGCGCGCGGATCACTTATCCAAGTCCATATTTGCACACAGAAACATGAAAAGAACGATCATTGAAGAAATCTATGACCCATAATGGGATACTGTCATATCCTATTTTGAGACTCATAGAGAACACAACAACGTGCAAATCAAAGCTGCAAATATCCATTGTCCATTATTGGACTTGAGCCCTTGCAGAATGGCAGTGGGTAATGTGAGCTAGCCTGGTGTCTGACTCCAGCCCACCAAAGGACCTATTCACAAACCCTCTACTGTCTACTCAAACCAATTGCTCCAAATAGGCTCAACACTCAGCCAGAGGTTAGGAATATTTGGTAACAGAAGGCCATTCAGGGTTTTAAGACACACTATTCTACATCACCGCCCTGTTCCCCGGTATTTCTGCCCCCCACACTCTGGATCTCTATCTCACAATCTCTCCACCTCAGCCCCTCTCTTGCCTCCTTCAAGTCCCATCTGAAGACCTTCCTTTTCGACAGTGCCTTCAACCACCCTACAACCCCAACTCTCCCTGCCCTCAGCCACTCTACAACCCTCACTCTCCCTGCCCTCCTCCCCTTCTGACCTCAACTACCAGCTCGGTTCCGAAACCCATGATTGTCCAGCACCTTGGAACATCTTTCCAACATGAAGAATACTATACAAGTGTAATTTGTTGTGGTTCCCTTGTGGAGTCCTGGGCTCAGTGATTAGAACACTTGCCTCACAAGCGAGAGGACCTGGGTTCAATTCCCGGACAGGGCAAACCTTTTGTAAGTTTCTTTATTCCACACGCCTCCATTTATTTAGCGGTAAGTAGGAACCTGGTTGTTAGTCAACTGGCGGATCGTTTTCCAGGAATAATAATCCTTCCCAAAATAATAGATAGGCAGGGTATATCCCTCCAGGGAAAGTGCGCATTCCATTCCAAACACATCAATTTATCACAGGTAACAAGCAATAACCCGGTAACCTGTAACCTGGTGTCTAGGAATATCCCAGAAGACTCAACCACTTGCTAACCGCATTGGCAGAAACCATGTCCCCCGGAAAGCGATACACCAATCAACTAACAATCAGGTTCCTATTTACTGCTTTACTGGTAAATATAGGTGTGTGGAGTAAGGAAACTTGCCTGACATTTCACTCTGCCTCGGACATGAACCGTGTACCTGTGAGGCGAGCGCGCTAACCACTACAGTATGTGACACATCCATCTTGGAGTCCTGTAGCTCAGTGGTTAGAGCACTCGCTTTGCAAGTGAGAGACCTGAGTTCAATTCCAGGCAGAGGGCGAAACCTTGGGCAAGTTTCCTTACTCCACACAGAGCCTAATAATAATCCCTCCAAAAAAACAAAACAATAACAAGTTGGTCATTTTCAATCTACGACTGTTGATGGGACATTGCTGTGCGCAATTGGCTGCCGCGTTCACCCACAAATATACAGTCAATTCACTTTACAGTATATTCTGTGAAGCGCTTTGGGA